TTGAAAACCAAGTCCAGTGGATATTTTTTGAATTTTTACGGAATGACTATGACCTGGATGACTGAGAACCTTCATCAGCGATCCCATTTTTCATCTGCTAAATGTTTTTTTTCTAAACAAAAAAAAAAGGTACTCTGATTTTTTATAGCTGAATTTATCAGTTTTTCTGAGTTCTAATTCAGATTTAATAGAAAATGGCAATTTTAACTTAAGTAAATAAATATATAAAATTCCTAAATTATGAATGTATATTGACCTCATAAGAAATAGAATTTTTATTGAACCTAATTGAAAAGAAATTTCCCTTCATGCAGTTCTCTTAATATATTTAAATCCCTTGCCCTGTTTTTTATTTCATGCTTTTCTGTGCCCCCATGAAAACACGCTGGCACCCTCCTGGTCCCCTGGTGCATTTGTTCCACTGTGGCTGCTGCCGGCAGAGCTTGCCGTTCGGAGAGGCTGATGCTGGCTGCTGCCGGCACAGCCTGACATCGGAGAGGCTGATGGCGGCTGCTGCCGGCCGAGGCCACTTATAGGCAGATAAACTACTCCGTTCCATCAAGTAAATGTGATCGTATAAAAGTTTTAATGCAGTTTATTAAGCAATAACATCACAATAAAAAAAAAAAAACACATAAAGAGTACATTTTAATACAGGTTATTAAGCGATAACATCACTATCTATATATATATATATATATATATATATATATATATATATATATATAAAACAATCTAGTTAGAAGTACTATAAATAAGGCATTTGCCGAAAAATACCCAAAAAATAATTAAATACCAAAGAACAGCAATCAAAAAACTACATGACAAAATAATTCAGTGGCTCCGGCCAGTAATACGGCGTGCCATTTGCCAGCGAGCCACTGGAACTGCTGCAACGAGCCTCGACGAGCCATCGGAACTGTCACCGGAACTGCTGCTATATATATATATATATATATATATATATATTATTATAATAATAATAATGTGTGTGTATATGTATATATGTGTATATATTAGGGCTGCAACAACGAATCGATAAAAATCGACTTTTAAAAGCGTTGGCAACGAATTTAATCATCGATTAGTTGTGTTGCGCGATTAATGCGTCATCCGCCGCCGCCGTCATCACATCCACTAGACTGAAACGGGGGAAGGAATAAAAATACGGCGGAGCGAGCCAGCGCCGCATGTGCAGGTGGTTGGCCTACTACAGCGTGGCGCTTGGTTACAGGCGAGGACCGCCTCGGCGAGGGGGGTCGAGCGAATAGGGGAGGGAGGGGGTAGTTGGCAGCAAACATGGAGCGTGAGGCGTGTGCGGCCGAAACGGCGACTGTAGTTAGATATTGTTGTTAGGTGGATCGCACAGGCTAGTCGGTCTAGTTAGTGTGTGTGATGGGACGCTACTGATGACTGATTTGACACATGCGATCTTTGATTTTTGGGGCAAACAAGAACTCAGGAACCACAGGAAGTTCACCACATTGAAGAGAGCAGAAAACGAGGGTTCACCCACACGCGACAGACCGCATGTGACAGGAGGACTGAGCGCCGGAGATATCAGATCTCGGAAGATAATCGGACATGGATCTGTGGGTACATGTACCATCATCAGTGACGACACTAGTCTCTCACACGAACCTGAGCGTAAGCTCTAGAGCGCCGTGATCTCTGCGAAGTTAACAGTTTGATCTTTACACACATCACACGCTCACATGCTCCATCGCGCTAGCCTAGGAACATTGAACACGCCAATATATTGTCATAGCACACTCAAACAATTAAATAACATCATGTCTCTTGTCGTGCTTCTCTGTCACACATGAGACCTAGCTAAAGTCACACAACGCGCTCTTATACCAAACTGTACTAAAACATCTTCTGTAGATATCTAACAACTCACACAAACTGCGACAAATAGCACGCAACGAAGAAGACACCACCTGTACTATGCCCCATCTGACAGAACTCACACCAATCTTCTCTGTAGCGAAGTCCTAATCCTCACGCAGCGCAACGAAGAGACGCTGCACCCAGAGTATCTACATTGCGTACTCGACAACACAGGAGGCCACTTTGTCTTTGTGAGAGATCTGAGGAGATTTCTTGCGTCTAGTGAGAGCGAACACATTAAAGCTAGCTCGTCACTCTCTCTTCAGTGTTCTATTCGAGCGCAGCGATGACATCTATTCGCGCTAAGCATCTCTCTGAGTGTGAGAAGGTTACAGACAGTGTTACTAACACAGGTACTGCGGAGCAACTACTCATCTCTAACTCCTCTTACATACTTTTCTCATTATAGAATTAACTGCGCGTGTGCGCAGCCCACATGACGATCATATGCATAATTCACAAGATCTTCCATCTCTCTTATATGCAACCTCACCAACCAAACTTGCAAATTAGAAGTGTGCTACGTGCTTGATTCTCTTACACGCAGTTTACAGATCAGCACACATGCCTCCCACCACTTTATGGCGAACCTAAACACAGCCTGATCTTTAACTCTTCTGCGCGTGCATCATACATGCTCATCTCAACTAGCTTCTATATTGGGTATCTGGAGAGCGCTTGATCTTTTAGACATCGATTCATGTTAGTCCACACGATTCTGCACACTAGTTTGAGAGATCTTCGTGACTCACTTAGTGTGAGATGAGTGGTAGTGTTGTGTCAATGACCGCACACTTAGTCCTCCAGCGGGCTACAGCAACTAGTAACATCGACGTGTATTCACATGCATTCTAAATCAGTACGGGAGCTCATAGAAGGAGGGTGTCCACACTCTAACAGGAGGATGGGAGAGAGACAGCGAGAGTAGTGTGGTCTAGCACAATTGGATTATATCGGTGAATTAGTCCTCTCTAGGATTGTGTCTTGTACTTGACACAGAGTGATTCTGTGAGATAGTGGATGACATATGCTGAGGAGTGGATTGAGTAGATTATATATCTTCTGCGATGTGTGGTATGAAGGTCTCTCTCTCAGGAGGTGGGAGGGTGACATTTTCGGGGTTGTAGGAGTAATTCAATAGTTACGGCAATTGTTTTTTATTATTTGTATTTAGGAATTGGTATGTTGTTGCATAGTTATTATTGGTGTATAATGTTTTAATGGGGGATATACTGAGTGTGTTGAACAGGAGTAATGGAGATGTTGGGGAGTGGGGGGTTAGCGTATATCATATGGGTGGGGTGATGTGTGGAATGATAATGTAAAGTGTTTGTGACCACACACACACACACACATATAGTACAGTGTGTCAGCAGATGTCTTGATGGGCTGTGGCGTGGAACCTATATAAGGAGAGATAGGGGTGAGAGAGAAGATTAGTATGAGAGAGAGTGAGAGGCTTGGTGTGCATGGTATGATTGTTTTTTTAGGTATTGAGTTATTGTGGTATGAATCAAGTTGTGTTTGTATAATATGGTTTTGCTGATGATGTTATGTGGGTTTAGGTGGTAACGTGAGAGTTGTTGGAATTGTGAGTATTATTTAGTGTTTATTTGGGGGTAGACACCAGTGATTGTCATGTAAAAATTCAAGTGGTATGAACGTCTCTTTGTGAGTTCAAGTATGAATCATGCTAGCAATGACTTAGCACACTTTAGACACATGTTTTGGGATAGTACAGGTAGAGTAGAGAAAAACAGTCATTTGTTGTAGGGATGGGTATGGTATCGTGTAGGATGTGGAATGGGGGTACATGGGTTGGGGTATGGTTGGTGAGAAGGTAGTATTCTGGGGATTGGATGTTGATTGGGGGGTTTTTGGGACAGAGGGTTTTTGTGTCTATGGGATGTTGGAACCACACACATGATCGATATGTCAGGTAGAGAGCGAGGTATGAACTCAATGGTCCAAAGTGAGGGGGCGGAGCATATGAGTGTGAGTAAGATCTCTTCTCAGATATCTCTCTTATATGAGAGTCCTGTAGTTATATATCTGAGAGATCTCTTGAACGCTCATCTAGGTGAGCACTATCAGGCGCACACAGAAGGCGCGAGTGTGAGTGCTGGAGACAGTAGTGTGCTGTGGTGACAGGGTCTTCTGAGTGTGTAGGTCATTTTGATGGTGTGAAATATGTGGAGAATGATGTTTGTGGATGTGAGGGAATGATGGGTTGGGGTTGAGAATATGGTTAGTGGGTAGGAGATTTGGGTTTTTGAAATTGGTTATTGTGGTTTTTGGGGGGGGGGGGGTGGGGGGGGGGGGGGGGTTGTTGTATTTAGATTGTATGTTTTGTTTTTTTTTTATTATAATGAAAAAGTTGGAGGGAGTTTGTTGTTGTTTATAAAAAATGGGTAGGATGTGGGGTGGTGATGGTGTTTTTTGTGGTGGGATGTATTTTGTGTGTTGTTTTTTTGGTCGTGTGTATGATTTATTTTTAGTTTAGATGAAGATGAAGGTTTGATGGTAGTATGTGTAACATAGGTAACAAGTTATGTATTTTATAAAGAATTGTTATGTTGTTGTATGTATGTTTTTTGTAGTTTTGTTATTATGCAGACAGAAAGTTGTATTGAGGTATAAAGGTATATGATACGATTATATTTTACAAATTTACACTGTGGATTGTAGAATGGGATTTTATCTGAATTGAAATATAAGAATTGCACATATGTATGAGGTTGTGTAGTTTGGCTTTTGATCTTTTTAGTTGTAATTTAATTGTAACTTTTTCAGGATATATTTTAATTGTTTTGGTAGTACCTGTGTATATATAAATATGCTTTTTTAGTTCCATGCCTTGCTGCTGCTAAACTGTAATTTCCCAGTTTGGGATCAATACAGTACATCTGTCTGTCAAAAGTCTGAGTTGTATGATGTCCGTATGCTTCATTAGTGTGTTGCCTGCACTAAATGGTACACAGCACTCTCAGGTAAAGGGAACAGAATAGAGCAGACGCGACCTCAATGATACATTGATCTGGATGGGTCAGCATCAAAAACATTAGATGGCCACATAAAGGCTGATCAAAAAAGCAGTTTACCTGTACACTGAGCAACACAACTTGGAGAGTGCTGAGCATTGTCTGCAGGTAATACAATGAGACATAAGAACCTCAACCTCACTTTTAAAGAGTGCTGCATTTCTTTTTGAGTTCCCAGAATTAAATGCTGACTTATTTTATATTACTATAGGAAGAGGAGTTTTTGCCACACACCCCATTGAACCAGGGGACTTCGTCTTGGAGTATTGGGGTAAACTCCTGACACAGGAAGAATGCCGGTCAAGACAATACTCAAAGATTGAAAGCACATTTCTCTTTGACTTTGAGTATCGGAACAATCGCCTGTGGTAAGCATGAATAGATGGATGTTTTGTTAGATAGGATAAATTCTGATTTGACCCCAAAACATGGGTTTAATATTTGAATAATGTTTTAAAAGACACATACTCTTAGGTAGGGATACACGATATAATCGGCCCCCTATCGGTATCGGCCTGTATCGGCCTTAAAACTGAATATCGGACATCGACCACCCCACCGATATTTAACCCGATATTTGATCAGCTTCTGAGTTTCTAAAGTCTAAAAAAAAATAAATAAATACTACTACTTCTTCTTCCTCAAAAACTTCTTTTTTACAGACTTAAAAACTTCTAAAGATGAGGGAAAAAATATTGATACATTAAAATATCCCAATATCTTCATATGCTGATATATTGCCATTTAAAAACACCATATCAATCTCTTTTACTAATGAAATATTGCTGAATGTCATCGTTATGCTACGAAATCCCCCAAAAATTCACAAAATCTTGCCATATTTTTATATGTTGATATATTGATGCGGTATCGATCTATTTTACTAACAAAATCTCACAAGAATTTGCAAAATATCACGAGAGTTTGTAACAGAACGATGAAATTTCACCAGATTTTGAAAGTAAAATAGATCGATACCGCGTTTTTAAAAATCAATTTGATCAGAAATGGATAACAAAACTGCTATTTTCAATGACTACTTATTTTTGTCCAGCTTTAACATCGGTATCGATATCGGTTATCGGCTACATGAGTTTTAAATAGTGTTGCGCCAATGCCATTTTTGGCCCCGATACCGATACCCGATACCTGGCTGTGCAGTATCGGCCGATACCGATACCATAATAATGTAAAATAATTGCCATCATGGCTTTGTAAAGCTGCTGCCTACCTTTGTGAAGCAGGAAAAAATCTAATACAAAGTGAATCCAGTAGAACTTTGTATTGCCTACCAGGAATGGGTGACAATAGTTGAATAAACTTATGGCTCTCAAAATGGTATCGGTGCCCTATTTGTTGGTACTTACCGATACCACCATTTTAGGGCAGTATCGGGGCCCCGTCCGATACTGGTATCGGTGCAACACTAGTTTTAAATATCGGATATCGGCCAAAATCCCAATATCGTGCATCCCTACTCTTAGGAATTTCTTTTGAAAATGCATCTTTCAATAAAACTTTAAACTACAACAATTTTTCTTATGCTTTTCAGCCTGGATGCATCTGAAGAAGATGGATCTCTCGGACGACTAGTCAATGACAACCACAAAAATCCAAATTGTGCCATGAAAAAAATCATAGTTGACGACAAGCCACTCTTGTGCCTTTTTTCTCTTAAGAAAATAGGAATAGGAGATGAAACTGATTATGACTATGGTAAAGCAAAATGGCCTTGGCGTACTGAGGTGAGTTGGTTAGATTAGGTGTAGATTTCTTGATTTTTTTATTTTTATTTTTTACAAAAAACAAATGTTGTATTTCTCTGATATTATCGATGTTTCTAATATTACTCTGGACTATGACAATGTAAATGTGTTGAGTCTTTGATCTGTGATGTGATTTAAGATGAGTTCTTTCTGTGATCCAGGTGAAAAAAAACCCAAGCTCCTGCAGCAACAGAAGAAAAGCTATTGAGTGGTAAAGACCAGGTAATGTCACACACACCGTCATGTTTCCAGTCATGTCCTTATGGGGTCCTTCAATTTTCCAAATGCATTCTTTCTGTAGTCCCTCCTTTACACACTCCCTTGTCTCTAGTGTGAGCCATGTGGGGCCCTCCCGTCCAGTTCTTACTGTAACTGTTTTTAAGGCACCATGGTAACACCTGACATGACCTCAGCTGTGATTTTAACATTCATCATTGTGCACTCTCTGAGCTGTTGCATCTTTAAACACAATCTTTGCATTGATCCGATCATAATAGCTGCTGATGAGTCCTAAAGACCATGCTGTGCTCTTGGTTGAAGCACTGTGCTGTTTCAGAAATGTTTGACCACTAGATGATCTTATTTGCCTGTGAATGTCTCTTCATTCAGTTCTAAATCCATTCTTGTCCTTCTATATTTCAGGTGAAAGGCCTTCAGACTCCTGCAGCAGCAGTTGAGAATGAGACCAGCCCTGTTCCTATGACGTTAAATGATGGGCCAATCCCAGATGATCCCTGGACACAGGTAAAAGTACATTTAAACACATTCATCTATGCTGACTTGTATGCTATGGTGTTCTATTATTAAAGTGGCTCAATGCTTGCATGACTTGAAAGTTATCAGGTGAAGCTATTGAGTGGTAAAGACCAGGTAATGTCACACACACCGTCATGTTTCCAGTCATGTCCTTATGGGGTCCTTCAATTTTCCAAATGCATTCTTTCTGTAGTCCCTCCTTTACACACTCCCTTGTCTCTAGTGTGAGCCATGTGGGGCCCTCCCGTCCAGTTCTTACTGTAACTGTTTTTAAGGCACCATGGCAACACCTGACATGACCTCAGCTGTGATTTTAACATTCATCATTGTGCACTCGCTGAGCTGTAGCATCTTTAAACACAATCTTTGCATTGATCCGATCATAATAGCTGCTGATGAGTCCTAAAGACCATGCTGTGCTCTTGGTTGAAGCACTGTGCTGTTTCAGAAATGTTTGACCGCTAGATGATCTTATTTGCCTGTGAATGTCTCTTCATTCAGTTCTAAATCCATTCTTGTCCTTCTATATTTCAGGTGAAAGGCCTTCAGACTCCTGCAGCAGCAGTTGAGAATGAGACCAGCCCTGTTCCTATGACGTTAAATGATGGGCCAATCCCAGATGATCCCTGGACACAGGTAAAAGTACATTTAAACACATTCATCTATGCTGACTTGTATGCTATGGTGTTCTATTATTAAAGTGGCTCAATGCTTGCATGACTTGAAAGTTATCAGGTGAAGCTATTGAGTGGTAAAGACCAGGTAATGTCACACACACCGTCATGTTTCCAGTCATGTCCTTATGGGGTCCTTCAATTTTCCAAATGCATTCTTTCTGTAGTCCCTCCTTTACACACTCCCTTGTCTCTAGTGTGAGCCATGTGGGGCCCTCCCGTCCAGTTCTTACTGTAACTGTTTTTAAGGCACCATGGTAACACCTGACATGACCTCAGCTGTGATTTTAACATTCATCATTGTGCACTCTCTGAGCTGTTGCATCTTTAAACACAATCTTTGCATTGATCCGATCATAATAGCTGCTGATGAGTCCTAAAGACCATGCTGTGCTCTTGGTTGAAGCACTGTGCTGTTTCAGAAATGTTTGACCACTAGATGATCTTATTTGCCTGTGAATGTCTCTTCATTCAGTTCTAAATCCATTCTTGTCCTTCTATATTTCAGGTGAAAGGCCTTCAGACTCCTGCAGCAGCAGTTGAGAATGAGACCAGCCCTGTTCCTATGACGTTAAATGATGGGCCAATCCCAGATGATCCCTGGACACAGGTAAAAGTACATTTAAACACATTCATCTATGCTGACTTGTATGCTATGGTGTTCTATTATTAAAGTGGCTCAATGCTTGCATGACTTGAAAGTTATCAGGTGAAGCTATTGAGTGGTAAAGACCAGGTAATGTCACACACACCGTCATGTTTCCAGTCATGTCCTTATGGGGTCCTTCAATTTTCCAAATGCATTCTTTCTGTAGTCCCTCCTTTACACACTCCCTTGTCTCTAGTGTGAGCCATGTGGGGCCCTCCCGTCCAGTTCTTACTGTAACTGTTTTTAAGGCACCATGGTAACACCTGACATGACCTCAGCTGTGATTTTAACATTCATCATTGTGCACTCGCTGAGCTGTAGCATCTTTAAACACAATCTTTGCATTGATCCGATCATAATAGCTGCTGATGAGTCCTAAAGACCATGCTGTGCTCTTGGTTGAAGCACTGTGCTGTTTCAGAAATGTTTGACCGCTAGATGATCTTATTTGCCTGTGAATGTCTCTTCATTCAGTTCTAAATCCATTCTTGTCCTTCTATATTTCAGGTGAAAGGCCTTCAGACTCCTGCAGCAGCAGTTGAGAATGAGACCAGCCCTGTTCCTATGACGTTAAATGATGGGCCAATCCCAGATGATCCCTGGACACAGGTAAAAGTACATTTAAACACATTCATCTATGCTGACTTGTATGCTATGGTGTTCTATTATTAAAGTGGCTCAATGCTTGCATGACTTGAAAGTTATCAGGTGAAGCTATTGAGTGGTAAAGACCAGGTAATGTCACACACACCGTCATGTTTCCAGTCATGTCCTTATGGGGTCCTTCAATTTTCCAAATGCATTCTTTCTGTAGTCCCTCCTTTACACACTCCCTTGTCTCTAGTGTGAGCCATGTGGGGCCCTCCCGTCCAGTTCTTACTGTAACTGTTTTTAAGGCACCATGGTAACACCTGACATGACCTCAGCTGTGATTTTAACATTCATCATTGTGCACTCTCTGAGCTGTTGCATCTTTAAACACAATCTTTGCATTGATCCGATCATAATAGCTGCTGATGAGTCCTAAAGACCATGCTGTGCTCTTGGTTGAAGCACTGTGCTGTTTCAGAAATGTTTGACCACTAGATGATCTTATTTGCCCGTTAGTGTCTCTTCATTCAGTTCTAAATCCATTCTTGTCCTTCTATATTTCAGGTGAAAGGCCTTCAGACTCCTGCAGCAGCAGTTGAGAATGAGACCAGCCCTGTTCCTATGACGTTAAATGATGGACCAATCCCAGATGATCCCTGGACACAGGTAAAAGTACATTTAAACACATTCATCTATGCTGACTTGTATGCTATGGTGTTCTATTATTAAAGTGGCTCAATGCTTGCATGACTTGAAAGTTATCAGGTGAAGCTATTGAGTGGTAAAGACCAGGTAATGTCACACACACCGTCATGTTTCCAGTCATGTCCTTATGGGGTCCTTCAATTTTCCAAATGCATTCTTTCTGTAGTCCCTCCTTTACACACTCCCATGTCTCTAGTGTGAGCCATGTGGGGCCCTCCCGTCCAGTTCTTACTGTAACTGTTTTTAAGGCACCATGGTAACACCTGACATGACCTCAGCTGTGATTTTAACATTCATCATTGTGCACTCTCTGAGCTGTTGCATCTTTAAACACAATCTTTGCATTGATCCGATCATAATAGCTGCTGATGAGTCCTAAAGACCATGCTGTGCTCTTGGTTGAAGCACTGTGCTGTTTCAGAAATGTTTGACCACTAGATGATCTTATTTGCCTGTGAATGTCTCTTCATTCAGTTCTAAATCCATTCTTGTCCTTCTATATTTCAGGTGAAAGGCCTTCAGACTCCTGCAGCAGCAGTTGAGAATGAGACCAGCCCTGTTCCTATGACGTTAAATGATGGGCCAATCCCAGATGATCCCTGGACACAGGTAAAAGTACATTTAAACACATTCATCTATGCTGACTTGTATGCTATGGTGTTCTATTATTAAAGTGGCTCAATGCTTGCATGACTTGAAAGTTATCAGGTGAAGCTATTGAGTGGTAAAGACCAGGTAATGTCACACACACCGTCATGTTTCCAGTCATGTCCTTATGGGGTCCTTCAATTTTCCAAATGCATTCTTTCTGTAGTCCCTCCTTTACACACTCCCTTGTCTCTAGTGTGAGCCATGTGGGGCCCTCCCGTCCAGTTCTTACTGTAACTGTTTTTAAGGCACCATGGTAACACCTGACATGACCTCAGCTGTGATTTTAACATTCATCATTGTGCACTCTCTGAGCTGTTGCATCTTTAAACACAATCTTTGCATTGATCCGATCATAATAGCTGCTGATGAGTCCTAAAGACCATGCTGTGCTCTTGGTTGAAGCACTGTGCTGTTTCAGAAATGTTTGACCACTAGATGATCTTATTTGCCTGTGAATGTCTCTTCATTCAGTTCTAAATCCATTCTTGTCCTTCTATATTTCAGGTGAAAGGCCTTCAGACTCCTGCAGCAGCAGTTGAGAATGAGACCAGCCCTGTTCCTATGACGTTAAATGATGGACCAATCCCAGATGAGCCCTGCACACAGGTAAAAGTACATTTAAACACATTCATCTATGCTGACTTGTATGCTATGGTGTAGGGATGCACGATATAATCGGCCCCCTATCGGTATCGGCCTTAAAACTGAATATCGGACATCGGCCACCCCACCGATATTTAACCCGATATTTGATCAGCTTCTGAGTTTCTAAAGTCTAAATTAAAAAAAAATAAAATAAAAACGATGTACCAATTTAAGCCCCATCCAGCTCTGCTTGAACCAAGCCCACTTCACGTTTAGACCCCACCCACTTCGAGTATAGATGCAGATAATTTAGATGGTTGAACAGACACAGATAGTGGTGAACTTGCTCATCCCTACTGAGGTACACACCAAACCGTGATTTTTGTGTACCGTTGCAACCCTACAAAAAAGAGAAAAATTGCTTTTAGATGACAGAACATAACAGTTACTGCTTAATTGTTGCGTGGAAAATTATACTGGAAAACTCTGTGAATACAGAATTTTTTTTTGTGTTACTTGTAACTTGTTACGGGTATGACATATTTTATCTATCAAACAGTATTGCTATTTTAAGTGACTAAAATTTTCTTCACAAAAGAAAACCTACAATATTTTGTGTTTTTTGCCTACATAGGAAAGCAAACTGCTGTGAGGAGAAGCTGGACCCCAGACGAGTGTGCTGCAGTGAACACACATTTGAAGAGATTTATCAGAAGAGGTCAAGTTCCTGGTAAAGAAGAGTGTCAGCGCTGTATTGATGCAGAACCTCAAGCTCTCAGAAACAGGGACTGGAAAGCAGTTAAATACTACATTAAAAATCACATTACAGCCCTGAGAAGAAAGGTGTAGTGTGACAGCACCTAATGGAACTGAGGTAAAACCGAAGCATTTGAGGTAGGATCTTAAAATGTTTAATCCTTTATGTGTTCTGTTGTAGAGGTTTGCTCAGGATTTGTTACTGTCCCGTGGCCTACAAATATACACATTTCACAATTCTTATTTTATCTTATTTTTAATTTATTTTTATTACGGGCGCAGGAAATGTTATTTCAAAGGATTTTTTATTTGTTTAAATATCTCTGTATGATGCCTTTTAAATTTGAGTTTTCACTGGAAAAAAAAAAAAAAACTTAACATGACACTAAGGATGCAGTCCTAAAAAGCATGTAATTTCAGTATTTGTACAACAAAAACTGTTTGGTTTAGATATAAGTTCAGGCTGAGGCTGTTGTTGCCGCATAGCGGCACCGAAAACCCTACTGCATATTTTTGGATTAATCTGTTTGGAAAGGGACTCAGTTTGACAACTGTGGCATAAACTGTTAATGCCAACAATAAAAGTGGTCTTTTCATTTTTGTCAGAAAATTTTATGTGTAGCGTGCTTCTTTTTATGTCTCAAGGCAAATGGAAGGTTTTACATAAACAGTTGTGCTTGAAAGTTTACATCCCCTCCCGTTAAAGAAAAGGTTAAATTCACAATAGTGATTCAAATAAGTAGAAACTGAAAATGGTAAAAAAAAAAATAAAGATTATGAAATTATAATTTTATTTTATTTGAATATTGATTTTGAATTTTGTTTGAAAAATAATTTTTAAAAAGTGTCCCAGAGAAATTTAAAGGTTGGAGGGTTGCAGAATGAAAGTATAACATTTCATTAAAAAATTATTTTTAGCTTGATAATAATTATAAAAATATTTACGGCTTTGACAATGGCATTATGTTTACATCTATAAGCCATTGTTGGTTGCCAAATATGATCTCTGTGTGGCAATAGTATGTTTGGCACGGTTGCCAAGCTAGCACAGGGGGAAACAGGGAAGACTGTGAGTCAAGCAGCTGCTTCAGAGTCCTGGAGGTGTTCCTGAAGAGGAGTGACCTGACAGATTTAGGTTAAGACGACCCATATAAACGTTTTCTAAGCCATCAAAAACATGGAAATGGTGACTTTTCTCCTCGATCGGAAAGCTAGCTTGTTTGCTAACGTGGCTAATGTTAGCTGTGAGTTATAAACTCCTCCGTGTTACTTGTAGGACATGCTGCAGGCTGGTGGTCACTTGCATATCAGCAGCGAGCCTGGGATCCCAGCAGCTGGAGTTGTTTTTCGGCCGTTGCAACTACAACTTAGACACACGTGATCTTGCTGTTCTGCCCGTCTTCCATATTCAACCTTTAAGCAGCTTGTTCATTAACAGTGGACCAACATACCTGTCAACAGGTGTCATCTGATTGACCATTACAGAAAACACCCGATTGCAGTGATTACCTCAAATGGTCAGACTGTATGGCAGAACTGTGCATCATTCCTCATTACAAAAATAACTATTTTAGTCCAAAATGCGGAAACTGGGATTAATAATCAAGGCTGGTCTCAGCATCTGCTAATGGCGACCTTGGGCCCCATAAACACATAAAAACTTGATATGTATGTGTGTATGCGAGTGGACCCCACAAGTTGGCAATGCTAGGAACGGGATCCCACAAGTCGCCAAATGCCTTTTTGGATAAAACTTTAGAAATTTGTTGAACTGAAGTGATTTTAAGGATTGGGATTTTTTTTTAAATCCATCCCTTGTTTTTACAGCAGTGTAGGACCACTGGAAAGGGTGGATCCCATAAAGCACCAAAAAACTGGAGGACCCCACAAAGGGCAAAAACCAGAATGTGTGTGTGTGTGTGTGTGTGTGTGTGTGTGTGTGTGTGTGTGTGTGTGTGTATATATAAACATATATATGTATAAACATTTCTCATCATAATATAAATGTAGGTTTTGTGTTATTTTGGTGAGATAAATGATCCATCATAGAAAAACAGCAGATTTCTCATTTCTGCATTAAAACGAAAAGCGTAGTAATTTTTTCTTCTTCTTTTCACAATCTGACCGATCATTCTTTCCTCTGAGTCAGTTATAGAATAAACACCTGCAAGATTCAGCAAATTTGTCACGAAGCATAAGTTTCATAGACAATGGATTTAGATAAATGCCTGTATGAAGGGATGAAAAGACAATTTAATGAAAGACAATTTATGTTGCATTTTTAGTCAGAATGTCATAATTGTATATAAAGTAAATATGTGCTATATGTATGTATATATATATATATATATATATATATATATATATGTACACTCACCGGCCACTTTATTAGGTACCCCATTCTAGTAACGGGTTGGACCCCCTTTTGCCTTCATAACTGCCTCAATTCTTGGTGGCATAGATTCAACAAGGTGCTGGAAGCATTCCTCAGGGAGTTTGGTCCATATTGACATGATGGCATCACACAGTTGCCGCAGATTTGTCGGCTGCACATCCATGATGCGAATCTCCCGTTCCACCACATCCCAAAGATGCTCTATTGGATTGAGATCTGGTGACTGTGGAGGCCATTTGAGTACAGTGAACTCATTGTCATGTTCAAGAAACCAGTCTGAGATGATTCCAGCTTTATGACATGGCGCATTATCCTGCTGAAAGTAGCCATCAGAAGTTGGGTACATTGTGGTCATAAAGGGATGGACATGGTCAGCAACAATACTCAGGTAGGCTGTGGCGTTGCAACGATGCTCAATTGGTACCAAGGGGCCCAAAGAGTGCCAAGAAAATATTCCCCACACCATGACACCACCACCACCAGCCTGAACCGTTGATACAAGGCAGGATGGATCCATGCTTTCATGTTGTAGACGCCAAATTCTGACCCTACCATCCGAATGTCGCAGCAGAAATCGAGACTCATCAGACCAGGCAACGTTTTTCCAATCTTCTATTGTCCAATTTTGATGAGCTTGTGCAAATTGTAGCCTCAGTTTCCTGTTCTTAGCTGAAAGGAGTGGCACCCGGTGTGGTCTTCTGCTGCTGTAGCCCATCTGCCTCAAAGTTCGACGTACTGTGCGTTCAGAGATGCTCTTCTGCCCACCTTGGTTGTAACGGCTGGTTATTTGAGTCACTGTTGCCCTTCTATCAGCTCGAACCAGTCTGGCCATTCTCCTCTGACCTCTGGCATCAACAAGGCATTTCCGCCCACAGAACTGCCGCTCACTGGATGTTTCTTCTTTTTCGGACCATTCTCTGTAAACCCTAGAGATGGTTGTGAGTGAAAATCCCAGTAGATCAGCAGTTTCTGAAATACTCAGACCAGCCCTTCTGGCAGCAACAATCATGCCACGTTCAAAGTCACTCAAATCACCTTTCTTCTCCATACTGATGCTCGGTTTGAACTGCAGGAGATTGTCTTGACCATGTCTACATGCATAAATGCACTGAGTTGCCGCCATGTGATTGGCTGCTTAAAAATTAAGTGTTAACGGGCAGTTGGACAGGTGTACCTAATAAAGTGGCCGGTGAGTGTATATATATATATATATATATATATATATATATATATATATGTATAGCAACTGTTCAGTGTTGCCAACTCAGTGATTTTTATGCTATAATTAGCGACTTTTCAGACCCCTCCAGCGACTCTTTTTCAAAAAAGCGACTGGCGACAAATCTGGCGACTTTTCTGGTGTCTGCCGTGGGGCGCCTCCCCCTTCCAAACCCCGTTCTCCTGCTTCCACAGGAGTACCTCTCAGCGCTGGATTCAGAGCCACAGCATGTTTTCCCTCAGCGTCCTGACTGCAAGTGAACCACGCGTGTGCGCTGGGTTGACAGTGCAGGTTGATCACGCTTGAGTCAGCTCCCTCAGTTGCTGAACCTGCCATATATTTCTGTGAGCAGGCAAACACAGCCTGTATGTGTGGAGGGAAATCTAGTTAGTTTAAAAAAATAATAATAATTACAATTATTTGCTCACATTGTCATTAATTCTTTGCAGTCTTTTTTTGTTCCATTTAGATTTTTTTGTTGTTAATGTAATGTAAAAAAAATGTATGGTTGAAAATGTTCATGTTTTACCATGCTTTTTAAGCTCCTTTGTGGACCACATGGGAAAAAAGAAAAAGTTTTTAAAAAGTTGGAAAAAAATATACCGGTATATGCAAATTAGGCAATGACGTCATTCAGCGACTTCTAGCGACTTGTAGAACAGCCAATAGCTACTTTCCTTACTGAGGAGTTGGCAACACTGCAACTGTCACAGTATTGTGCACCCTGTTCTGTGTGCTTTATTCTACGCTATGTGTGTTAGAATAGTGAATAACCTGATAAACTTATAAAGTGATTACTCTTAATACGAAAACATTTAAAAAAAATGAGTAGAAATATGTTATCAGGTCAGTGTTATGCTGATGTGCAGCTCTGAATCATGTACCTTTTTATTAAGAACTGAAACTGATATAAGGACAAAGGTGATAAACCATTCCTGACGACGATATTTAGAGGTTTGTGAGGCCCTGGGAGTGATAAACAGCACCTTGTTAGGTTTATGCTTTATACATCATGTGCATTGTTACTTTATTAGCCAGATAGAGAGAGTAGAAGGCCTTCCTTCACATGGTGGATGTCACTGTGTATAAGGAGGTCATCTAATCAGGACAGCCTTCGTGTCTTTAAGAATACACAGGATATGGGAACACATAGACTCATGAGCTATAAGAAGGAGAAGATGGCCTTGTTCGGGGCTCAATCTTTGCCGGACGCTCGCGGACGTGATTTTTGAGCCGACAGCTGTGCGAACTCCAAGTATTTTTTTTTTCTGTCCTGTAACGACCTGATCTGGAATAAACTCTGTTACTTTTTTACTCCTGTTTTATAGTCCTTTTTTCATGGTTTTACCCAGTTTGAGTTAAGAGTAGTAAATAACTTGCTCCCAGGAAAAGAACCGTGAGGAATCCCCCGAGGCGCAACGGCTTTTTTTAGGGGACATAACTTCCTCATTTAACAACCTTTATTTTGATTTTTTTACATCAAAGATGGTTTTCACTTTTGCCTGCTTATCTAGTCTAGGGTGGAAACATTCTACTATGAAGCTTAAGCTGCACATTAGAATAAACAATCCTCTCCCTCTATTGTAAATGGAAAAGAAGTCTTTTTAGTTGAATATAAATCACCTTTTTTATTGTAATTTTCTCTTGGCTTTATTTTTGTTATTAGCCTGTTTAAATATTATTTAATATTTTCATTGATCTGTAGTATCCTATATTCTAGGAGATACTGTTATGTAATTTTTGCTTGCAGTATGTTGCAATGTACTCATCCTTTTTTATTAGTTATTTACCTGATGTCAAAGTTAAGCGCTAAGGAACGTAACCTAACACGGGTTTTTATTGCAATTTTTTAAACTGTATTTTTAGGGTGTTGAAACAAGGAAGCGTTCTCCAACTTTGAGCAGCCAGTTCAAGCGTTCCCTGGAGATGCTGATGAGGACGCTCAGCGTGTGCCAGCCGTTCTTCGTCCGCTGCATAAAACCCAACGAGTTCAAGAAACCAATGGTGAGAGTCTAACCGGTGACCACTGAGCTGATTCTGTGGTTTCCGTTTACCTACAGGTGCATTATTAGAGTGCATGTGTAAAAGCGTGTGTTATTCTCTATGTAGTAGTTTGATTAGTTACCTCATAAAGTGCTGATTAAAGCTCCTCTTAGATTACGGCATACGTGCCGCCACAGGAATATCATGGAATTTTACACATCTGTGCAAAGCTACATTTTTGCTATGGCTACATGTACCTGCTGTCGCATAATAAATTAGTTGGCAGACCAAATCTTCTTGATGGAGAAAAGTCTTCACATCGAACTTTTAGAGATGTAATACCAAGCAGTAGAAATGTAGCAAACTGGTACACCTCAACAGGAAAGGTGACAAGCATCTGTACTGCTCTCAGTGGAGGCAGGGGGGGATTTACCATTAGGCAATACTAGGCAGGTGCCTTGGGCCCCAGGTTCCTGGGGGCCCCATAAAACTCTGTTTACAATTACGGTTGATACAGCTATTCCTTATTTTTGCACATTAATTATATTTTTTTATAAAAATCCTTTCACTAAAATGCCATCAGAACGCTTATAATATTAAGTGTGTCTCAGCCCCCCCTTCAGTGTCCACCATATTGGATCAGTCCATTTGCTGCTCATGTTCAGAAAGGTCCAAGCAGACATTTACATTTACAAAACATAAATATTGCAACTTTTTTATTGTTCTAAATATGTGGCATTTTTTGCTTTCCATACATGCTCCAGACAAAATGTATCCTACACTGGAAAAACAATCTAGAAATAAGTACAAATTTCTTAAATTAAGTGTATTTACTCTTAATTTGAGTAGGTAAATGAGATGATTTGCCGATGGAGTGAGAATTTTTGCTCTTAAAATAAGATATTTAGATAAAATGCACTTGAAATAAGACAATGCAATTGTGTTTTCTTATTTTAAACGTAAATTGTCTTGTTCCGTTGGCAAAATGTCTCTTTTACCTCCTCAATTCAAGAACAAATGCACTTATTTTAAGAAAAAAATGACGTATCTAAATTTGGATTTTTTTCGTGTGTATTTCTGCCTTTGCGACATATTTAAACTCAGAATGTTGTGGTAAAAATCTTTCTGTAGCTGTTGAGATTTTACAACAGTATTTTTTTTTTCTCAGTTGTTTGACAGAGAGCTGTGTATTCGCCAGCTTCGCTACTCGGGGATGATGGAGACCATCCGGATCAGAAGAGGAGGTTATCCCATCAGATACAGCTTTGCTGAATTTGTGGAACGATACAGAGTCCTGATGCCTGGAATCAAGCCTGCTCACAAACAGGTATACCTCATTTTTTTCCCTTTTTTTTTTCTTTTACTCTTTTAATTTCTGATTGCATTTTCATGTACAGTAATAGCCATTTAAAATTTCCCCACTTTTCTTGATGGGCCCTTGGCTGGTCCTTGTCTGGTCCCCCATAATTCCTTTTTAAACATCACCCCATAATTCATCAATATTTGTACTAAAATTTAATAATATTAAAATTAAGTAATATTTCTGTCATAATATGTGGAGATTAATATCTATAGAGAAGCGTCATCTCCTGGTCAGACCCTGTAATTCAGTGACAGGGTGGAGTCAGACAAAAAAAAAAACATGTCGAGTTCATGGAGGGAATTTTGCTGGGAGTTGGAGGGAAGATGGCTGCCATTCAGCTGCCATTTGACTGGGAGGGGCCTTTAGGAATGGCTGTTACTGTACATTGTCAAGCTGCTAGATTGGTCTTTGCAGGGCCCTAAAGCATCCTAATGGAATATATTACGCTGCGTTCACACCGGACGCAGCAGGCGCGACAGAAGCAGCGAGTTTACATGCAAAGTCAATGGTTGACGCGCGTCAAGGTGCAGCAAAAGGTCCCTCAGCGCGTTTTGAGCAGCAGGCGCAGCGCGTCTGAGCAGCTGAAGCAGCGCGTCGGGCGCGTTTCTGTTCATCTGATGCGCGTGACGCGCCGCAAACGCGCTGCTGCTCGAGATGAAAAATGTAACTTTTGCTGCTCGACGCGCCGCGTCAACCAATCAGAGAAGCTGATCTGGGAGCTGGCAGCGAGAGAGACACAGCGCTGATGACACAGAGCGCTGTGGTCACTCCTCTGAAACTGTTTATTGACGCATAAATTAACTTGAAATGCAGAAATCTGCCGGCAGAATATGTTCGCTTTTATTATTCTGGTGCCTTTAGATCGGATTATTTAGATGAAAAACACCTACCAGCTGCCGCGGTGAACCGCGAGGAGGCGACCCGGCCAGAGGCTGCTGCTGAATGGGATCCTACTGACAGCGCACCGCTGGTATGTGGGGGTCTGAGCGGCTCCGACAGAAATAATATTAGAAGTTAGGATTGTAATCTGCACTGGTGAAGTTTTCAGGTGGATTTTCTCACTTAAAAACATATTAAAACTACTTAATTCCCACTGATCACAGCAAATATAGCTGCAAGGCAGAGAAAGGATAGTGAAGCTCCGCCCAACGCGCGTCAGACACACTTTGCACCGCGCAGCCAGAGCAGCAAAGCTGCTTCAGCCGCGCGTCAGAACTAACTGGTACAAGCAGCAGAAAGGAAGCAGCAGACGAGATTTTGCTGCTCTTGCTGCGTCCGGTGTGAACGTAGCATTATGATATAGAGCCAGGTAATTAAGTTTGAAATCATCAGTTTTTTTCTGCACTGCAAAAAGTCTAAATCTTGATAAGTCATTTCTTCTTAAAATAAGTGCATTTGTTCTTGAATTGAGGAGATAAAAGAGACATCTTGCCAATGGAACAAGACAAATTAGATTTAAAATAAGAAAACACAATTGCATTGTCTTATTTCAAGTGAATACTATCTAATTATCTTAGTTTAAGAGTAAAAATACTGATTGCATTGGCAAACTATCTCATTTACCTGCTCAAATCAAGGGTAAATACACTTAATTTAAGAAATGTTTACCTATTTCTACATCGTTTTTCCAGTGTGGAGTTTTCTAATTTTAATTTAAACAAGAGTTTTACTAGTTTTCTTACTTGTAACGTACTATAATTGTTTTAAAAGATTTTTGTAATGTAGACTTTATATGTAAAATGTCCTGACTATTATTTTTATTTTTTTATTCCTATTTAGGAAGACCTGAGAGGAACCTGTCAGCGTATCGTCTCAGCCCGGCTGGGTAAACAAGACGATTGGCAGATTGGAAAAACAAAGATTTTCCTAAAGGTTGTATTTTCAATTGAAAATGAACTGCCCGTCTTAGCAAATATTTTTATTTTTATGTTTTATTGTCCCTCAGATACTTTTTCACTGTGGTTTTCTCGAGAAAACAAGTTAATTTTCTAATTATCCAAAGATAAGGAAAGTCATTTTCTCATCATAACGAGATGATTGGTGTGTGTTAAAACTGTTTCCATCTTTCAATACCACAACAGCGAGAGAGGATTTATAAGTATAAGTCATGGCAGCATATGTGTAATAATGTAAACAATCCTGTGTTTAACTGTTAGGTAACGAGACAACATTGTTGGTTTGAAGAGAAAAAAAAAAAAAGAGAAGCAACTTTAACAAATACTTTTTCAAGTTTTTTAATGTTTTTGCTGTTGGAATTAGTGCACAACGCATCTCCATGGCTACTTCTTCATCGGTTATGTTAATTCAGTCTGGACTCACAAAAACTCAGAAGAGGTTTTGTTAATTTTCCCCTGTTACATCTGGATTTTCCTGGATAAGGTGTGTTGCGGTGGGACCATACACCATGCACTGTGGTCAACATATTTTTACTTTTTTTTTTTTTTTTACTTTTGTTTTAAGGTCAATACATCTCTGCAGTGCAAGTGCATTCATTCTGAAAAACTCACACAAAGAGATAAGACAATTAGAAGAAGTTTATTGATACAATTACTTGGTCTTTGGCGCTCAGACCTCGGCAGGAAACACAGCGCTTAATTTTGATAGATATGCATAACCAGCAATAAAGAATAGGGCTGTTTCCCCCAGGCCTGAAACTGGTGGTGGAGTGGAGATGGATAAAGGTGGTCAGTCTGTAGACTGCTGGTTAGAGAGACGGTCTGCTTAGCTTTATGGGGAGATCCAGTGCAATGAGTGAGCTGATACTAGAGCTTCACTCAGGGACCTGGAAGATGGAAGTCCAGTTGGATAACACAGGTTGAGAGAACCTGTCCATGATGAGCAAGCATGAAGCGACAGTGGAGAGGAATAACTCCCCATTGGGAAGAAACCTCTGGCAGAACCAGGCTCAACATGGCGGTCTTCTGCCAGACCGGTTGAAATGAGACGCGGAATACAGTAAGAGTCCGCGAGTAATGATACTCTGATGAAGCTTTAGCTACGGAGGTGGGTTGAAACGGGGTCATCTGAATAAAGTCAGACAGCACAACCGACATCTGCGCTGCACACTAGGTAGTAGACGAGTTGCGGATCAGAGGCCTTTTAAAATGAACTTTGGATGCCGATTGGCTTTTGTGGAGGCATGGTTCAAAGCTGATTGGCTGTGTCGCAGTTGGATGTAGGAGAGCAATCAGTTTATTCAGGTGAACTTCCGCCTAGGCTCCATTAATCCAAGTCAGTTACTGTAGTCTTTAAAATTTTCACTTATTTATAATGTCAGTACATCTCTGCAGTGCAAATGCAATAATCTAAGTCAACTACTGTGAATTCTTTCCTTAGCGCTCTACTGTGCAGATATTTTTATATCTAAGGGAAACATATTCCAGGACATTACGTTTTTCTTTTTTTATGCTTTTTTGTACTATATACAATCTTTTTATATTGTCTTTTGTATTTTTTTTCTTTAATGGCATCTTGCTTTTACTCTTTGTGCTCTATTTAAGCTGCTGGAACCTGGATTTCGTTAAGACCAAATCTATAATTTGTTATCTTCCTGTCTTAGGTTTTAAAAATCACCGGACAATTTTAGAAGCTTGATGTATTAACCAGGTATTAACAGTGGCGGCCGGCCCATAGGGGGCGCTGGGGCACCGCCCTCCCTGATAAGAAGAGAGAAACGTAAATATATTTTTAGAAATTAACTCAAAATGTCAGTTTTACTCTCTAGACTGTGTACCTATAAGCAAAACAAATTATATAAACTACATTTCCCTATCTACTGTCATTAATTTGTGGATTTCCACAGACAGACTCCTACCGTCTCTGTTCTGGGGGCGCTGATCAGACTGACCCACATTTGCAGAGAATCTGTCAATCATGTACTATTGCTAGGTGAATTTAATGGCCAATCAGCGTCTCGGAACTTTATGGTATTGGGGCGCTGAAAATACTGCGCTTTAACAGGCTTCTGAACCCAAGCGCAGGTGCAGACAGTTAGAGGGAAGATGGCGAATGTAACGACCGAGATGCAGCTTCCACCAAATTCGGTGAGATCCTTATTTATCTACCCGTTTGCCAGAAGAACATCCCTGTTGTAGGATATGAACATTTCATGTCATGGTTATTGTGACTGTGACGAATCCACCTCGTCGCTTAAAACAACCTCTCTAACTTTGCGCACCACACACACATTCTTGTTATACTGTGTTTGTGAGGACCAATACACTCGCGCTGAGACCAGTAGCTCCATGAACTTAAAACACACAAGCTGTTCCTGGTTACCTGCTGGCGTATTGAGGGTGCACACTTAATATTTCAGTGGGGTTATCCGTGTGTGTGTGTGTGTGTGTGTGTGTGCGTGTGGGTGTGTGGGGGGTGTGGGTGTGTACGTGTTTATGCTACGGGGACTTGTCATCTTCAGTCTGGCTGCGTCTTTGCTGGGTTCAAACCCAGTTTGGTGTAATTGAATAAGTCAATGAATCTGTGTAAAAGAATTAAGTTGTAAAAATTATTTGTTTTTGTACATCAATTGTTTGTGGAGGTAATATATGGACAAAACTGATTAATGAGAAGAAATCAGAAATAAGAGACCCTGAGGTGAGGGGCTTAAACTATTTAATGAGGGCTGTGGGAAGAAAAGCGGCAATTTTTGTTTTCTGTTTCTTTGTTACATTGCTGGTAACTGGAGGGAGGCTGAGGCCCAGAGGATCTTGTATGTTTAGTTTCTTTTGCACCCTGTTTTGAGTTTTTGAGCTCAATAAATCACCAACACCGGTAACCCGACTGAGACTGGATTCTTGGAGGCCAAAGAACCCCGTCACAGTGACCCAAATCATCACTGTTACTGTTATTATATAGTAAATTAAATCATTACTGTTAAATTGTATGTATTGTCCAATTGTTTATTTGAATTCTTATTCCGGATTAGTTGGAGACATACACTAGGCTATATCAGCCCCACCAAAAATATTTTTCACCAGCCGCCACTGGGTATTAAATACATTTAAGATACAGATTTTTTTTTGTTTTGTTCCTGCATTTTAAATAAAGGAAATCAAGATGACATCAGGACATCCAGAGTCATTAGATAGTGAGAATCAATCAAACTAAATAATCCTTTTTATATTCTTTGTCTTTTTTCCATAAATAGTCAAGTTGTTCTGCGAAGTCTGTGTAATATTTATTTCCTTACTTCCCGTTTTCTATTTTCCTGTCAGGATCAACACGACATGCAGCTGGAGATTGAGAGAGATAAAGCCATCACTGATAAAGTTATCCTTATCCAGAAATCTGTGCGTAGACTGAAAGCCAGGTAAGTAGATAAATCTGAGAGGTTTAATGTTCTAAGAACAGCCTTATTTTTTCCTCACAAACTTTTCACTCCCTTTTAGAATATGGGTAAAATTATGTAATTTATTTGAATCTACAAAATCTGTAGATTATTTAATGAATAACGAATACGTGAAACTCAGATTTAAAAATAACTGATATTTAATGTCGGCCTATCTCAATATATGGGCAGCCAGGCGGGGGCAAATATCGATCTGTGAGAGATGGAGGTATATATTAATAAATCCCTGCTAAAAAAATTCTGAAATAATCCAAATTATTTTCCAATAACTGATCGTTTTTGAAACATTTGGACAATAACACAGCGTCACAGGAAACCATTCCTGCCTGTGGTCATCTATCTACAACAAATCCCTCAGAAAGTCATACAAGCCCCCCTCTGTAATTCGGACTCAAATTACAGAATTATTGACAATTTTGACATTTATTCATTCTTTTGCACATTGCTATAACTTTTTTTTAATATCTGTAAATATATATAATCATATATCTATCCAAAGTTACATATGTATTTTATTTTTAGTGTGGAAGGTTGTATTGTATTTCTTTGTGTTGTATTTTAACTCTTTAGAACGGAGGTCTTCAAATGGGGGTCTGTGACCCCTAGGGGTTCCACAGAGGTACTGCATGGGGGTCGCGAAAGTTTTCTTTGATTAGACTTTTTTTTATATTCCCCCCTGCAATATTTCCCACTAATTGAAATGTCTTTAAATCCACATTAACATGAATTCAACTCACTGTAGTAATTTTCCTGAGAAAAAAATAAACAGCTACATTAGCAATAAATGTGTTTTAAAAATACTTGTATAATGTTGAAAAGTAGTTTGGGATTCTGGAGTTGTTTTTGTTTATTTCACAGGACAAACTTTCTCCGACTCCGGAGCGCTGTGGTTTTTATTCAGAAGGTCTGGAGGGGTTATAGGAGCAGGAAGAATTACCAGATTGTGAGCAGTTTCTGTTCTACTAATTAAAACTAATTTAAGCAATTTACACCTTGATTTAAACAATGTTTAGGCATAAAATGCTAGCCTTTTAAAGTCAGAATAAGCATGATTTATTTTAAAAGTTTTAAGAACTATTTATATAAAATATTAACTCTTCAGTTATCATGTGATCTGGAAAACCTTCATAAGTTTCTGTTACACTTGATTATTTACTTACACGAGGTTTAAAACAGAATACTTAAATGATGGTTCCTCTTCAGATGAAGTCGGGATTCATTCGCCTTCAGGCCGTCTGCAGGTCCAGGAAATACTACAGAAGCTACCGAATCACTCGGCATCGCATCACCCTCATCCAAGCCCGCTGCCGAGGCTTCCTGGTCCGGCAGAGTTATTGGAAACGTCTCCGAGCCGTGTTGACCCTCCAGGCCTACACCAGAGGCATGATAGCCAGACGCCTCTGCCAGAGGCTCAGGGCCGAGGTAAATGGTTATTACGTTTACTACTGCTTCCTTCATCTCATTGACGGGCCAGAAAGAGAGGCGGGAGAGTGAGTGCGAGAGATGGTGGTACCATGAAGTGCCTCTGTACACATCTGTTCATGTTGGGAGCTGAATAGACGTGACTCAAGTCTGGTTTATACTCAGAAACCAGGTCGTCTGCGTGTGTCGCAGTGAACGCAGGTGTGCCCTCCCCTCCTTCTGCACACCTGAGTGAAGTTGGCCCCCCCACCTTCTTCAAATCAGACAAAATTAGTGTTGAACATTTGTGCTCCTTTGGCTTTGAATATATTTATGAAAATGTAAAGGTCAAAAGGTCAACCAGCCCCCCACCTTCTTCAAATTATACAAAATTGGTGTCAAACGTTTGTGCAGCAAAAAATTTTGTTTGTGCCGCTATCATTTTAACGATATAAAGAAATGTTTCCAAAGGTCATCAAAGGTCAACCCCCCTCCCACACACACAAACACGCACACACACACACTTTCTAAAAATCTTCAAATCCAAAGCAGCACAAACGAAAATTTTTGCTGCACAAACAGAGCTGAGTTAATTGACACCTATTTCGTCTTATTTATATCATTTTAATGAAATGAAGAAATGTCTCTAAAGGTCATCAAAGGTCAACCTGCCCCCCCCTTCTTCAAATGAGGCAAAGTGGGTGTCAATTAAAGCTACAGTGTGTAATAATTACAGGGATATACAGTCAGAAATGTAATATATTATACATAACTATGTTATTTATCATCATCTACGAGCTCAGCCTCTTAACCTTAATATTTGCGTTGCTTTAGAATTCGTTATTTATAGTTACATAGGAGCGGGTCTCGCAGCCATGGAGGCAGACATCTTTGCGCTACGGCAGCGCAGAGCCAACAAACTAGCGATTGCGAGATCGCCAAAACGTCACAACGATGTAGAAAAAATAGCGGGTTTATTTATTATCTTAAGTCTACATGAAATCTATACCCTACACAGACTAATGAAATACTATCTGTAAAATTATCTATGTAAACAAACCTCATCACTTGAGAAGGTAGGTGATGCGGACGTTGTGGAAGACATTTTGTCCCGTAACGCTCGCCGTACTGTTGGGGGGGAGAAGCGGTGGGGGGGAGATGTTCATGTTGCTGCAGTCTGCAGTCTGACCGCTAGATGTCGCTAAAAGTTACACACTGTAGCTTTAACTCGGCTCCGTTTGTGCTCGTTTGTGCAGTTAAAACAGCTGTTAACTGACCTTTGATGACCTTTACAAAATATTATTAATATTATTGAAATGATAGCAGTACAAATGAACATTTTTGCCATACAAAAATATGAAAATTTTAAAATTACTTTTAAATATCAAATATTTAAAATAAATATATATCAAATTTAAAAATGCATATTTTAAAATATATACTTTTTTTGTACTGCTATCATTTTAATGATATTAAGAATTGTTTGTAGAAGCCATCAAAGGCCAGTGAACATTTGTTCATTCAGAAACTCTGAATTTTATGTAAATTATAAGTTGCTGACCTATGATTATGTGATTTTAAACTGTAAAAAAATGATAGCGGCACAAATGAAAATTTTTGCTGCACAAACGGAGCTGAGTTAATTGACACCCATTTCGTCTGATTTGAAGAAGGTGGGGGGGCTGGTTGACCTTTGATAACCTCTAGAAATATTTCTCCATATCTTTAAAATGGTAGCGGCACAAATGAACATTTTTGCTGCACAAACGTTTGACACTAATTTTGTCTGATTTGAAGAAGGTGGGGGGGGGGGGCAACTTCACTCGGATCTACTCTATGCGTATTTCCTGTTTGATACCTAATGGCAGAAACTCTGGCTGTAGTGCCGTCCACAACGCCTGGCACACCACAGACACCATCCCAGACACCGTGCAGGACGCTAGTTTGAAGCTCTGACCACGGCCAGTTTTTGGGGAACACTCACGGGTGAACTGTGTGTCATCCGGCGTTGGATGTGGGGTTGTAGACGGCGAACAAGCTCATCAAACCGACACACGGACACCCGCAACCCTAGCTAGTTCCTGGTTTTCCTTGTTGCATTGTGGCATGAAATAACATAGCGCCACGCTTCAAAATTGGGCATAAATCGAAAATATTTGCGTCATGCCTGCGATGAGCTAACCTGACTCCGCCAGATTGATTTGCTCCGCATATCCATCTGGAAACCTACCATTTAAGTAATTTTGGGAAGGGGCGAAAATACTGGTTAGCTGATTGGCCTATGTTGGTGATAGACGGGCCAAATAAACCAATCAGATCAACGAAGCATATGACGTACTAACAGAGCGACGACGAAATCACAACCACAAGCCAGGCTACTCTTGCCGAAACCAGTTGGGAGAAGAGCAAAAACATCTTTTCCTCTGAGAAAAGCCTCCAGAGCAGTGTTTAGCTCTTCTTTCAGTGAAGAAATACTCTGCAATTCTGATAAAACTTGCTCGATAGCCACGGTAACGCTAGTTTCATCGGCTGAAGCCGCCATGTTCTTTAGACTGAACTGTCGCGCTTCTCGTTGCGTCACACCTCAACCCGCCTCAAAGCCAACGCTGATTGGACGTTCGTTTGGTGAACGGCTCCAAATTTTCTTTAACGGAGAGTCTCCAGACTGATCTGCCAGTGAAACCTTGAAAGCTCGCGAAATCAGGATGGTCTCACGAGGCTAGCAAAGAGCTAACTGCGAAACACTGCTGTTGGAGGATAACCAGCCCTTTAGTGTTATATTTAAGTTTATTCTGGCCTGTAAATATCCCTCATTGGTTCCCGGATATTTTGCAGTTGCGTCTAACCCTCTTAGGCTCTTCTTTTGTTTGACTGGTTTGCCTTTCTGCTTTGAGAAAGTCAAGGAAATACGCTATAATAAAGCGTTTCATGTTTTGTAACATAAGTTACCTGCCAAATATTTTTGTGTCAATTGTCGTGTTTTTGGTTTTAAAAAGAGGCCAAGCAATCCGTTGTAGAGAAACTCCATCCCTTTATTTTTTAGCCTCTTTACCACAACCGGTGGTACCCAAAGTGCTTCCCATCCCCACCGGGATAGAATACAAGGTCTCCCTCCTCACACATCAAGGCATCCATGGACATGCCCCCCTCCCTACCTCAAAGAGCTTATCAAGCCACAGAATACGTCCCGCTCCCTTCGCTCCACTCACTCAAACCTGCTCCACATTCCCAGAACCACTCAGGACGATGGGAGCATTTTGTGCTGCTGCCCCACATCTGTGGAATTCCCTCCCTGACACCTTGAGGGCACCTCAGTCCACTGAGTGTTTTTAAAAAGGCCTTAAAACATTTCTTTTTAGCAAAACTTTTGGTCCACCTTAGATGTTTCTTTTTTCTCTTTTATTGTTGTATTTTATATTTTTTATTTCATTTTATATATATATATATATATATATATATATATATATATATATATATATATATATATATATATATTTTAAATTATTTCTTTTATTTCTATGTATTTCTTTTTTAATGCTTTTTTTTAATGCTTTTTTGTAGCACTTTGAGGCCTTTTTGGTGAAAAGTGCAGTGTAAATTAATTGAATTTATTATTATTCCTGTTCAGCCCTCCACAATAAAAGACCGTTTATAACAGATTACACCACACCGATATAAACGTTAAAATTAAATAACTTAATTTACAGTATTTTTTTTTGTTTTTGTTTTTAGTTTTACGGCACTAGTGGCTCATTTTTTCAACAGTAGGCTGACAGGATAGGGGTTTTAGAGAGGGGGAGAGACATGCAGCAAAGGAGCACAGGTTGGAGTCGAACCCGGGTCAACTAAGGCCTCTAAGATTGTGCGTGCCAACCACTGCGCCGCTAAAGCACGTTAATTTATTATTAAAATTGAATCCGAACCAACTTTATATAAGACATACATTCATCATTTCTAAGCTAGAATAATGAAGGGCTTTAGTGGATATCTGGAGAAATATTTTACTATAAAAAACAATTATAACAATAAAAAGAAAAAGCTTTCTTTCGTTGTGTGTTTTCTCCACTTTTCTTAACAATCATTCCTTCTAGTGTACTCTGAAAGTCTTTACTGATGCATTAATCATATTTTATTTACATCAACCCATGAAAATAAATGGATTAATTAAAATTGATTCACCACCACAGAGAAAAGAGTAAATAAATAACAGTTGCCTGGGCGATTGTTGTATTTAATGATTTTAAAAGGTTTATTTACTACAATATTAAGTCTTTTGTTTTATTTTATTTTTAATTTTAACTCTTACTTCGTTTGAAGAAGAGATGCTCTGTGATCCATGATATGTGGAAAATATTCTTTATTTTTGCTCATCTTGTCATAATAAAGTCTGTTTGTGAATGAATGGTTTTATTTAAAGGTACAGAGCTGCCGACACCACTGAGGCCAAAAGAGTCGAATATTTTTGTTGTTTTTTTTGTTGTTGTTGTTTTTCATAAGTTTATCATTTCTTTTAGATTTTTGTTTTAAGAATTTCAGTTTTAAGAGCAAATATTTGAGTTAATGGCTTGAGAACAGAACCTTCACACTGATATTTCATCTTTATTTACCTACAGCAACATGTCTGTGATTTGCACTATGGAAATGTATTTTAACCTTTAATTGCTCAGTGTTTGTCTAAAGGTCACCTACGGAAGAGGATTAGGGCCACTGAAAAAATAAAAAGTTAACTGATTTTTAAATTTTATTTCAGTTAAACACAGTGGCGGCTGGTGAAAAATATTTTTGGTGGGGCTGATATAGCCTAGTGTATGTCTCCAACTAATCCGGAATAAGAATTCAAATAAACAATTGGACAATACATACAATTTAACAGTAATGATTGAATTTACTATATAATAACAGTAACAGTGATGATTTGGGTCACTGTGACGGGGTTCTTTGGCCTCCAAGAATCCAGGCTCAGTCTGGTTACCGGTGTTGGTGATTTATTGTGCTCAAAAACTCAAAACAGGGTGCAAAAGAAACTAAACATGTACAAGATACTCTGGGCCTCAGCCTCCCTCCAGTTACCAGCAATATAACAAAGAAACAGAAAACAAAAATGGCCGCTCTTCTTCCCACAGCCCTCATTAAATAGTTTAAGCCCCTCACCTCTGGCTCTCTTATTTCTGATTTCTTCTCATTAATCAGTTTTGTCCATATATTACCTCCACAAACAATTGATGTACAAAAACAAATAATTTTTACAACTTAATTCTTTTACACAGATTCATTGACTTATTCAATTACACCAAACTGGGTTTGAACCCAGCAAAGACGCAGCCAGACTGAAGATGACAAGTCCCCGTAGCATAAACACGTACACAGCCACACCCCCCACACACCCACACACACACACACACACACACACACGGTTAACCCCACTGAAATATTAAGTGTGCACCCTCAATACGCCAGCAGGTAACCAGGAACAGCTTGTGTGTTTTAGAGCTACTGGGCTCAGCGCGAGCGGATTGGTCCTCACAAACACAGTATAACAGGAATGTGTGTGTGGCGCGCAAAGTTAGAGGATGTGGATTCGTCACAGTCACAATAACCATGACATGAAATGTTCATATCCTACAACAGGGATGTTCTTCTGGCAAACGGGTAGATAAATAAGGATCTCACCGAATTTGGTGGAAGCTGCATCTCGGTCGTTACATTCGCCATCTTCCCTCTAATTGTCTGCACCTGCGCTTGGGTTCAGAAGCCTGTTAAAGCGCAGTATTTTCAGAGCCCCAATACCATAAAGTTCCGAGACGCTGATTGGCCATTAAATTCACCTAGCAATAGTACATGATTGACAGATTCTCTGCAAATGTGGGTCTGTCTGATCACAGCCCCCAGAACAGAGACAGTAGGAGTCTGTCTGTGGAAATCCACAAATGAATGACAGTAGATAGGGAAATGTAGTTTATATAATTTGTTTTGCTTATATGTAAACACTCTAGAGAGTAAAACTGACATTTATGAGTTAATTTCTAAAAATATATTTTACGTTTCTCTCTTCTTATCAGGGAGGGCGGTGCCCCAGCGCCCCCTATGGGCCGGCCGCCACTGGTTAAACATGGGAAAAAAGTCGGAATTCTGACTTTAATCTCAGAATTCTGACTGAATTCTGACAATAAAAAAAAAATCAGAATTCTGAGATCAGAAAAAAAATCAGAATTCCCATGTTTACCTGAAATAAAATTTAAAAATCAGTGAACTTTTTTTTTTTCAGTGGCCCTAATCCTCTTCCGTAGACACCAGACGGAGTTATTAATAAAAATTACCTTAGAGTATTTTTAACTTGTTAAACAACATCCATCAGAAGAAAGCTGATTGGTTGATAAACCAGCAACCTCTTTTAAATATGACTTTTTTTTTTTATAATATATACATTTTTACATTCTAATTGTCTTTTTATTTATTTATTTTTTGTATTTTTATTTATTCATTGTGTTTTAACCTCGTCCTTCATTGTCATTGCAGTATTGATGTCAGAAAGTATCTGATATTAGATATGGGCCTTAAATGATTCTTCTCTGTTCTGTTTGTGTTTTGTAAAAATAAATAAAGGTTTACTTTAAAAAGAAAAGGTCAGAGATTTGCCATTTTGATGTTTTTAGTGTTATCCTAGAATAGGATTAAACTGCTGTGGATTATGGGCAGAATAAAACGATATCAGAGCTGCGGAAATTAGGAAATACTACAAAATAAAAGTACTGAATCAACTGCACTAGGATTTTACTGAGGTTAATTAATGAATTGATTCTTTAGAAGAACTAAGAAGTGACTAGAAAGTTTTTATAATGAATTTATAATAAGCCTGAAATGATTAAATGGTTTTAGTTATAACTTTATATTGATTTTTTTATAATTAGTTTTCTTTTAGTAAATGGCTTTGTTAACATAAATGTTAGATAGATGTGAAGCTTCTGCTTCTAAGTTTAATTATTAATGTAGAAATATAATTTTATACTTTATCCTTTAATGATTAAAGAAAAAAAATGACAAAAATCTTTTTGTTAGTATATATTCTGATGGAAATATTTAAAGAAATTACTGTAATAATTAAAATTTTAAAGAATCTAGTAAGCATCAAACAGGAAATCAGATGCTTATATATCTCTCTCAATAGTATAATTTGTTTTTAATCGTTTTCTGAAGTCTTTACCTGCACAGCTGGAGTTTTAAATAGATTGTCTGTCTCTGTAAAGACCTTTTCTTCTCTTTTCTGACCTTACAGCGGAAGCGGCGCCTGGAAGCCGAACGGCAGCGCCTGGCTGAGGAGGAGCAGCTCCGGAACCAGATGACGGTTCGGCGAGCCAAGGCAGAGGCCGAGAGGAAGCACCAGGAGCGACTTCTCCAGCTGGCAAAGCAGCAGGAGGAGCGGGAGAGGGAGGAGAAAGAGGAGGCAAGGAGGAAGAAGGAGCTGCTGGAGCAGATGGAAAGGGAGAAGGAGCAGCCAGTGGACCACTCAGACATGGTGGACCGGATGTTTGGTTTCCTCGGGGACTCGGGACCGTTACCCAACCAGGACGGACAGGCACCGGCTGGGTTTGAAGTACGTTTATGACAGAGCATTCACCAAAAAATGGACGAGTCGACTGATTAAATAGTCGACTCACATCTGGATGACTCAAAAATTGAGCCCAAAACTCATCCTGATGTGCAAGTTAAAGCTTCAAATAATCTAACTGGATAACCAGTGAGATACAGGAAGATAAAACACACATTTCTTGAGGAAAATCACAAAATATCTTTAAAGAGTTTAATAGAAAATAATAAATCCACTACCCCCCCAATCTCAACCCTGTAACCAACACAGTTTGTCATCTTGAAAACATGCTGACATCCTGCCTTAATTTCTCTCTAACTTAAAAAAAATGATATTCTTATATCAGAATGCGATCTATGAGCAGACCAGGGAAGCAAGCCTAAATGTTACTGTCCATCCTTAAAACTAGACATGCCATGACGAAAAACAGTTTCATAGCTGACTGATATTAGTTGGGCTTTTACTAGTGTTGCGCCGATGGCATTTTTTGGCCCCAATACCCGATATTAGGGATGCACGATATTGGGATCTTGGCCGATATCCGATATGCCGATATTTTAAAACTCATGTAGCCGATAACCGATATCGATACCGATGTTAAAGCTGGACAAAAATAAGTAGTCATTGAAAATAGCAGTTTTGTTATCCATTTCTGACACTTTGAAAAATAATTTACTCAAATATATTTTCATATGCTGATATGAAATTGATTTTTAAAAACGCGGCATCGATCTATTTTACTTTCAAAATCTCGTGAAATTTCATCGTTCTGTTACAAACTCTCGTGATATTTTGCAAATTCTTGTGAGATTTTGTTAGTAAAATAGATCGATGCCGCATCAGTATATCAACATATAAAAATATGGCGAAATTTCGTGAATTTTCGGGGGATTTCGTAGCATAACGATGACATATAGCAACATTTCACTAGTAAAAGAGATTGATATGGTGTTTTTAAATGGCAATATATCAGCATATGAAGATATTGTGATATTTTAATGTATCAATATTTTTTCCCTCGTCTTTAGAAGTTTTTAAGTCTGTAAAAATAAGTTTTTGAGGAAGAAGAAGAAGTAGTATTTTTTTTTTTGTTCTTTTTTAGAATTTAGAAACTCAGAAGCTGATCAAATATCGGGTTAAATATCGGTAGGGTGGCCGATGTCCGATATTCAGTTTTAAGGCTGATACCGATAGGGGGCCGATTATATCGTGCATCCCTACCCGGTACCTGGCTTTGCAGTATTGGCCGATATCGATACCATCTGTTTGAAATTGATGTGTGTGTATAAATGAAGAACTGCAGACTACCTGGATGTAAAATAATTGCCATCATTTCTTTGTCAGGCTGCATCCTACCTTTATGAAGCAGGAAAAAGACTAAAACAAAGTGAATCCAGTAGAACTTTTTATTGCCTAACTGGAATGGGTGACAGTAGTTGAAGAAACTTTTGGCTCTCAAAATGGTATCAATGCGCTATTTGTTTGTACTCACCGATACTGATACCCCCATTTTAGTGCTGGATCGCGGCCCCTCCCGATAACATTAGTTGTTAGTGATAAAGTAAACAAGACACATTAAGCTGGAAAATACTATTTTCTCTCTGATATTATACTAAATAAACACGCAGCTGTATATGGAAAAAAGCCATCGATACTGTGGTTTGGTCTGTTTTTAGTTATTTCTGATTATTTTTTACCATTAGCTGTAAATTTAAACTAGATTTAAACAATTTTTGTCTTTCTTTTTTTACAGCTGTCATGACATTTCCATTCCATAAAGTGCAGAAGTGATCGAATGTAAACAGTGTGGGAGAAAAAAAACAGTGCAAAAAACACATTGATATAGAAGTTCAGAGCTTTAATATTTATGGTGCAAATATGCAGAATTTTGGATTGGTTTTATCCATGTGATGCGGAGTCAGTGACATGATTAAGAGTTTTCACAACAGTTTATCAGTCTGATGGCAGTGAGGAAGAAGCCGTTACAGAACCTGCTGGTCCTGCATTGAATGCTGTGAAGCCTCTTCCCAGAGGGCAGCAGGAAGAACGGTCCATGTTAGGGGGGGGTGATTGATGATGTCACGGGCTCGGGACACGCAGCACTGGGATGAAATGTCTTTAATGGAGGAAAGAGGAGCCCCCATCATCCTCTCTGCTGTTCTCACCACTCTTCTTTTTCTTCCAGTCTGAGAAAGTGAGAAGAGGGATGAGAACAGCAGTGAAGATCATCAGGGCTCCTCTTCCCTGCATTAAAGACAACTGTCAACTAAAGTGACACTCTTTACATGACGATCTATCGTCATTTAGCCGTGCAAACCACCGAAGGTGCAGTACAAACTTTATGATCCGCTTCTCTGGCTGCAGTCCAACACTGGTTGAACAGATCTTCTACTGCAGCCTCTCCACATACAGTTCAAGAAATATTGAAATGAAACACCCCAAATGTCCTTATGAATGACACTAAACATAATTTGAAGTAATTCTACTGAGAAAAATTGTTGCCCTGTTAGAAACTTTTACAATTGTTCCTATTTTTACAAGGTGCTAATTTCCAGTTTTCTACCTTAATGAGCAAAAGTGTAATTTAACTGTGTTTTTGGGATGGAATAAATCTGCTGTTTGTGTCAAAACACAGAAACTCGTTAGATTTTAAAGCCTTAAAAATACACAGCTAATTAAACTGGGTCCAACTTACCAGCTAATGAGTAAGCTTTATAGGATTATTAAAGAAAAACAATCCTCAATAAAAAAAATGTTCCCATCTAAAACAAGTTGATTACATTATGAAACTTAACGTAGATGATTTTAAGTCCAAAAGCCTCCTCAATTTTCCTCTGCGCACCAAGGAAAATCTTCCCCATCTGTTCAAAACACAGGAATGAGCTCATAAGTGAAATAAAAAAACAAAAAAAATTTTTTTTTAACATTTCTACAAACAGGGGTTTCCTTTTATGTAAAAAAAAGATTCAAATTTATGCATAAATTAAAAACTTTGAACTGCATTAAGTTTAAAAAAACAACATTTTAACCAAAAAGATCTGATCATTCATCTGCGCTAACACCCATGTGTTCACTACCAGTATGCCCTGCATGGTGCCTCTAAAAACATTAACAACCAGTTTGATGTTTTGCCATAAAAACATATCCTGTCACACTGACAATAATGGAGATCTGTTATTAACCAACACTAGAAATAGTTTTCTAGAGAATTTAGAGCACCAAATATTATTTAGTGAGTTCAATTGAACCTGACAAAGAGAAACCCCAGAGATGTCCTCCTTTGTTTGTTCATCCAGAGGGTGAATCTCAGTGTTGAGTTCACCTCTCTGATCTTCTGATGCTCTAAAATCCACCTCCTACTTTGTTTTGTTCCCTCAGGACCTGGAACAAACTCCTGGCGCTGATGAAGCCGAAGAGGAGATGCTGAACGAAGCTCCACCGCTACCCGACGAGGAAGAGGAAGACTTGTCCGAGTACAAGTTCTCCAAGTTTGCCGCCACCTACTTTCAGGGTCTTTCCACCCACACCTACATCAGACGACCCCTGAAACAACCTCTACTGTTTCACGAGGATGAAGGAGACCAACTGGTGAGACCCAGATGTGGGATTTGTTATGAAGGTCCGCTTTGGTGATAAAATCACCTGGTAATTGCTCTTCATCTTTGTTTTTAAAGGAATAGTACACCCAAAACATGATTAGCCTTCATTTTTTACTCACCCCCATGCTGAACAACACTCTGGAGTACTTTTTTGATATCTCAAATGCATCTGGAGATCTGGGAGGCTTCTTGCTGTCTGCTGACATTCAAATAATGGAGGTCTATGGCGCCCGAGAAAGAAAGGTCCATAAAAGTCCACAAAAAACGTGTCAATATTCCTCCATACTGCTCGTCCAATGTATTCCAAGTGTCCTGAGTGGGTAGCATCCAGAATTTACTCGAAACGAAGTCATTTAGAATGTTTTTAGAGCATAAACAGTAGTGTATAAGATTTCCTAAAAGCTCGTTCACGAGTCTACGGAAACCGCGGCAGACCAAACCAGATGAAAGTGCGCATTCAGCTCGGCAAAGAACTCATGCTCTTCCTCAACACTGAAGTCCTCAGACATTTTTCTTTCATTGTTTCTTTCTTTGCACAGGTAAACAGCACATTTCTTCTTCTACGCTTGCATTATCGGCAGAGCAGACGCTGAATGCGCACTTTCATCTGGTTTGGTCTGCCGGCTTCCGTAGCGTCGTGAACGCGCAGGCGCGCGCTTTTAGGAAATCCTATAAACTACTGTTTATGCTCTAAAAACATTCTAAATGACTTCGTTTCGAGTAAATTATGGACACTACCCACTCAGGACACTTGGAATACATTGGACGAGCAGTATGGAGGAATATTGACACGTTTTTTGTGGACTTTTATGGACCTTTCTGCCTCGGGCGCCATAGACCTCCATTATTTGAATGTCAGCAGACAGCAAGAAGCCTCCCAGATCTCCAGATGCATTTGAGATATCAAAAAAGTACTCCAGAGTGTTGTTCAGCATGGGGGTGAGTAGAAAATGAAGGCTAATCATGTTTTGGGTGTACTATTCCTTTAACAACATGAGATGGAACAGAAAAGTCATTGGAACTTCTGCGATTAGTAATTATCGTTTCTAAGTCGTGTATAAAAATGTACATGGACATAGGCTGAAAACCTGTTGCAAAGCCGACCAGCAGTCGGATTGCTCTGAATTTGAAGTTTAGTTACCGCTTGGCTGATGGAAACTAGTCCAAGTCAACTTTTCTTAGAGCTTAATCTTTTGTCCTGATACTGGTATTAATAATTCACTTAATTCTTCATACGTAAAACGGTTTGTCTGTGTTTTATAGTTGATGGAATCAGCTGGTTTTCCTTAGATAGAAAACTTTAAATCAATCTGACTGGAGGATCTGGTGGAAAGTGCCTGGAAAGTGCCTTGAGATGACATGATGTGAATTGGCGCTATATAAATAAACTGAATTGAATTGCAATTTCTTATTTACACACTTTAGTCCCTAGCTAGAACTGTTTTACTTGCTGTTTCTTGTACACCCATAATTCAGACACACAAGCAGCATTCCACACAAACAGAGGTCATCAGAGATTTTCATAAAAACCCTTCCACCCATATTTCCCAGGCTGCTTTAGCTGTGTGGATCACCGTGTTGAGATTCATGGGCGATCTGCCTGAACCTAAATGCGAAATGGTCCTCCATGACGGCAGCGAGAAGATTCCTGTCATGACCAAGATCTACGAAACCCTCGGCAAAAGGACCTATAAGAAGGAGCTGCAGGAGCTGCAAGTGGAGGAGGAGGTGAGATGCTGCTGGTCAGTGTATCCAGCATTTTAAGAAATGTCTGGTTTGTTAGGGTGCGGAGAATAATTTAACCATGTTTGTCTACAGAACAGCTCCGCAGACTCTCAGAAGAGGAACAGCATCAGACATAAACTGGTGTCTCTAACACTCAAGAGGAAATCAAAGATAACAGAGGAGGTGATGCTCCATTTTGTAAAAACAGCTACTCATTACCTGATGTTTAAAGATCTCATTTATCCTTACATACAATATTAAAGTTAATTCAGAGGTTAAAAACACATTTAGGGTAAAATGTAAAGCTTTTAATATGCTTTAATAATAGTAATTGAGCTTCATTGATCTCACATTAGAGAAATTGACCTCTGCATTTAACCCAGTGGGCTGCCATTGTGCGGCGCCCGGGGAATAATTATATTTGCAGTTTTCCACCTGTTAAACTTTATTTTAAGCACCTTTATTTACATAATCTCAAAGCTTTTAGGTTGTACTTTTCTTTTCTCCCTAAAACGTCTAAAAAAAACAAACTTTTATGGTTTGTTGAAGGTCACCAGGCGGCTGACGGAGGGCGTGGATTATGGGCTTCAGGGGAACAGCATGCTGGAGGATCGACCCACCTCCAACCTGGAGAAGCTTCACTTCATCATCGGAAACGGCATCTTACGGCCAGCCCTCAGGTTCACTGTGCAGTTACTCTGGTGTCGATGTGGTTTTTATCAGATAAGGCAAACGAAACTCAGACTGACAGATAAAAGTTGAGGTCATTACTGTAACATTTGACATAGAAAGGTCATCATATTATACTAACCTGTTTCTGCAGTGTTTTACTGGACCGTGGAAAAGCTTTCACCCACACCTTGTTATTTTTCCAACTTGAATTGATGCAAAGTTTCATTAAAATAAGCAAAACTATTGTAGAATCAGAATCTAATCATTGGTAGCAGGGGGGATTTACCATTAGGCAAAACTAGGCAGTTGCCTAGGGCCCCAAGGAACCATAAAACTGCTTTTACATGTATGGTTAATGCAGCTATTACTGATTTATGCACATTAATTATGTTTTTGATAAAAATCCTTTCGCTAAAATGCTCTGTTTAGTGACTACATCTAAAAGCAGCGAACTCTGCTCTCCAGAGCGAGTAGATTGGTAACCCCGCCTCCTGCTCTCCTCTATCTTGTCTGCTGTCATGATTTATGCAGCTATTATTTCATCCAAATGAAAAATGGAGAACAGATAAGTAGATCATGGCTTGTCTACAGTGAAAAGAAGGACTGGGTTATTTACTTTGGCCTTTTTGGAAACACAGGAAGGAGCAATCAGCTAAGTGAGCTTAGTGCTTGGAAAAAATCTTTCATTCCTTTAGAGACAGCATGAAAAGTCAGCTGAGTACAAAACATAGAGAGGAAAACAAGAAGAAAAGGGACAAGAAGAGAGGGACACAACCTAGAACAGATAATGGATGTCTATTCTGTTAACATTTCTCTATTCAGAGGGCCCCCTGCCTGTCTTTGCCTAGGGCCCCAAATTTCCTAAATCCGCCCCTGGTTGTTAGTACAGTCCTCTGAAAGCTTTCAGGTGCAACGACCAAACTAAAAGTATGACAAGGTGCAGCAGATGAGGAAAGAGAGTTTAAAGAAAGACAGAATCGGTGACTGAGAATCCGTCTATAGTTACCCTCTCCTAAAAAACACTGATCATACAGTACAGGCCTTTTTACGGAAGAGGATTAGGGCCACTGAAAAAAAAAAAAGTTAATTGATTTTGAAATTTTATTTCAGTTTAATATGGGAATAAAAAGTCAGAATTCTGACTTTTTTCTCAGAATTCTGACTTTTTTCTCAGAATTCTGACAGCTAACAAACATGTTAGCATCAAGCCATAGCCATGTCTGTTTTAAAGACTAGCTCTCTTCTGAGATTAAAGTCAGAATTCTGAGATTAAGTCAGAATTTTAAGATTAAACTCAGAATTGAGATTAAAGTCAAATTCTGAGAAAAAAAAGTCAGAATTCTGAGAAAAAAGTCAGAATTCTAAGATTAAAGTCAGAATTCTAAGATTAAAGTCAGAACTCTGAGATTAAAGTCAGAATTCTGAGATTAAAGTCAGAATTCTAAGATTAAAGTCAGAATTCTGAGATTAAAGTCAGAATTCTGAGATTAAAGTCAGAATTCTAAGATTAAAGTCAGAATTCTAAGATTAAAGTCAGAATTCTGAGATTAAAGTCAGAATTCTAAGATTAAAGTCAGAATTCTGAGATTAAAGTCAGAATTCTGAGATTAAGTCAGAATTCTAAGAAAAAAGTCAGAATTCTGAGATTAAAGTCAGAATTCTAAGATTAAAGTCAGAATTCTGAGATTAAAGTCAGAATTCTGAGATTAAGTCAGAATTCTAAGAAAAAAGTCAGAATTCTGAGATTAAAGTCAGAATTCTGAGATTAAGTCAGAATTCTAAGAAAAAAGTCAGAATTCTAAGATTAAAGTCAGAATTCTAAGAAAAAAGTCAGAATTCTAAGATTAAAGTCAGAATTCTAAGATTAAAGTCAGAATTCTAAGATTAAAGTCAGAATTCTGAGATTAAAGTCAGAATTCTGAGATTAAGTCAGAATTCTAAGAAAAAAGTCAGAATTCTGAGATTAAAGTCAGAATTCTAAGATTAAAGTCAGAATTCTGAGATTAAAGTCAGAATTCTGAGATTAAGTCAGAATTCTAAGATTAAAGTCAGAATTCTAAGATTAAAGTCAGAATTCTGAGATTAAAGTCAGAATTCTAAGATTAAAGTCAGAATTCTGAGATTAAGTCAGAATTCTAAGAAAAAAGTCAGAATTCTGAGATTAAAGTCAGAATTCTGAGATTAAGTCAGAATTCTAAGATTAAAGTCAGAATTCTGAGATTAAAGTCAGAATTCTAAGATTAAAGTCAGAATTCTAAGATTAAAGTCAGAATTCTGAGATTAAAGTCAGAATTCTAAGAAAAAAGTCAGAATTCTGAGATTAAAGTCAGAATTCTGAGATTAAGTCAGAATTCTAAGAAAAAAGTCAGAATTCTAAGATTAAAGTCAGAATTCTGAGAAAAAAGTCAGAATTCTAGGATTAAAATCAGAATTCTAAGATTAAAGTCAGAATTCTAAGATTAAAGTCAGAATTCTAAGATTAAAGTCAGAATTCTGAGATTAAAGTCAGAATTCTGAGATTAAGTCAGAATTCTAAGAAAAAAGTCAGAATTCTGAGATTAAGTCAGAATTCTAAGATTAAAGTCAGAATTCTAAGATTAAAGTCAGAATTCTGAGATTAAAGTCAGAATTCTAAGATTAAAGTCAGAATTCTAAGATTAAAGTCAGAATTCTGAGATTAAAGTCAGAATTCTAAGAAAAAAGTCAGAATTCTGAGATTAAAGTCAGAATTCTGAGATTAAGTCAGAATTCTAAGAAAAAAGTCAGAATTCTAAGATTAAAGTCAGAATTCTGAGAAAAAAGTCAGAATTCTGAGATTAAAGTCAGAATTCTGACTTTTTTTCCCATGTTAAACTAAAATAAAATTTAAAAATCAGTTAACTTTTTTTTTTTCCAGTGGCCCTAATCTTCTTCCGCACCTTTTACAGGCTATATAGTCTGTAGATATAAAAGCAGTTAAATGATTTACATTTTTAACCAAAAATGCCAAATTTATTTTTTTTTTGTCTTCAATAACTTTGTAAAGTATTACAGGCCTTATGGAGATCAAAGTCTGGGGGTCAGTTTAGAGGTATGATGGGATTAAAATGTTTTCATGTCAGGGATGTACTGTTAATGCTGTGGGTAAATGTCACGGTGTTCTGCCTAAATGCACTACTGTATCTAAATGATTTTTACTTGTGTTTCAGGGATGAGATCTATTGTCAGATCTGCAAACAGCTCACTCAGAACCCGTCCAAGAGCAGCCACGCCCGAGGGTGGATCCTCCTGTCTCTTTGTGTCGGCTGCTTTGCTCCCTCCGAGAAGTTTGTCAAAGTAAGAAAGCTTTAGAGTCAAATGAGAAAATCCTTTTCCTATTGTGTTTTTTTGTGTAAAAGTTTATTGTATGACAAAAACGATTGAATATAGTTCAGGTGTTTGTAAGAAACGTAAGTTTTTTCTCTTTTTTTTTTTTGATAAGGTTTTGATGCATTGCTTTTTAGTTTCTAAGCTACTTTCTGCAAACCTTTAGGTAGAGAAATGTCTTCATTCTATATGCCTGGAAATAATTAAACCTGCTTGTAGAATGTTAGATTAAAGCAAACAAATGTCTCTAATCTCAGTAGATGCAAAAACCAGGTTAATTTGAAAGAACTTCTAGTAAAAACATTAGAAAATATGTATCTTGTTTTTAATTAAATCAACCATTAAAGCTGACCAAAAACAGCTAAACCAGTAGAAGTAAAAAAAAAAATAAATAAAAAAGGGTAAATACATATTCCAGAAAATGTGAATTGTTTTTGCTGCTGTTTCGTTTTTTCAGTATTTACGGACCTTTTTGAAAAACGGTCCTCCTGGTTATGCTCCGTACTGTGAAGAGAGGCTGAGGAGGACTTTTGTGAACCGAACGAGAACACAGCCACCGTCCTGGCTGGAGCTGCAGGTACGTGGCTGCAGGTGGCTGTTTTAACCCTCCAGCAGGAGCAGGGTTTAAACTTAAAGATGTTCCAGTTTGAAACTAGAAGCTGATTTAATTATTTAAATTCAAGTGTTTTTTTGTTGGAAAAGTGTATAAATCCCAGATAATTAGAAGTTCGTCCTATGGGGCACCTTTTGTAAAGTTAAGCAGTCAAAATTAGGAGGAATATTTATGGTTATTTAGCACATTTTAAGAAAGGAGTTTATTTATTTTCCAAGTAATTTTTTCACTATGTCATTCATTCATTTATAAAAGTCTTACTTCTTCAAAATAAATATTTAGTTTGGAGCTAAATATTTAGTTTTTAAATTAAATATTTATTTTGTTAAATACATTTTCCAAAATGATTTGGGGAAAAAATAACCTCCTTATTTTTCTCTTAAAACACGCTAAATTACTATAAATATTGCTCCTAATTTTTGACTGCTTAACTTTTCAAATGGCGCCTCATATTATCCAGAATCTGGAATTAGATAAACTGACTTATGTTTTAAGCACTTAAAGCTACAATGGAGAACAAGTGTCAGCAAAATGCTACTGTTGTAGAAAGCTTGAAAGCACTGCACCTAAATCATCAGCTAACATGTCATAAATAAAAGCTATAAATTAGCAGGTTGTCTAATTAGGTTAGTTGTGTTTATTTTTGGGGGGATTCTTTCAGGCCACCAAGTCTAAGAAGCCCATCATGCTTCCTGTGACCTTCATGGACGGCACCACAAAGACGCTGCTGGCAGACTCCGCCACCACAGCCTTCGAGCTCTGCAATGCTCTAGCAGACAAAATCAACCTGCGCAACCGTTTTGGCTTCTCTCTGTACATCGCCCTGTTTGATAAGGTATGATGTTAATTGGTTGCAGGAACGCATTCACTGTGATGTGCTGGCGAAGCTTCTCAGTCATTCAGGTCAAAATCAATCCACTGGACTTAGTTTCCAAATTTGAAGACGTTTCTCTTCCAATCCAAGAAGCTTTTTCAATTCAAAATGTCAGAAATTGCGTTGAGTTCAAGGCTTTATAGAGTGGACCTTTTTTTGGCTGAGAAAACAAGTAAATTGAACCTAATGAGCGGGTCCAACCCTTTGGAATGGGGGTAGTTTTGTTTCTTTGTTGGCCTGTAATACACAAAACCTGTCTATGTCCCTTAAACAGGGGGTTGTTAGAGGGAATTGTTGGCCTGGCTGAAGAGGCGAGGTTATCTGGTCCCCTGTATGGGGGTGGAGGTTGCAGGGATTAAAGTATTCCGGCCCCAGGCCAGCTTTCCACCTCATAGCGTTTGCCTGTGGGTAAAAAAAAATCACGAGAAGATAAATTGACCATCAAAATCCCTCTTGCATTTGTCAGCCAATGGTGGCAAAGGAAGGCTCTGAAACTAATAGTGTTAGCCAATCAAAAGAAGAAGGGGCGGGTCTTAGGAACGCCTGAACTTCCTCCTAACGTTTCTTGCTAAGGTCGCCAGATACATTGTGTTGCAGTGCTAAAGTTCTACACGGAGAGTCACCTTGCGTCGTTTACGGCTCCATCCAAAGGAGAGATGTGTAAAAAGTCAGAAAATAAATAAATTAAACTTTGTGTTTGGAGAGAAGAACGATAGAGAGAACGAAATTGCATGGAGTGGGCACAATGCAGCTCTGGGGAAGATATCACGACCATAGATAAAGGTCTCAAAAATAAATATCGCTGGGCATGGCTGGAGGAGACACGGCGAGATGGCGAGTTATTTAGCAGCTGGTGCAGGAAGTTAGATGAACCAGGCGCTTGCTTCGCATGCTGGGCTCCAGGAACACTTAGCAGCAAAACTGGATATTAAAAGACATGTGGTTCATGCAAGCGGTAGATATAGATGCACTTTAGCCATGTTCTGGCCGCTTTTGATATTGGATCAAAAGTCAAATTTAGTCTTCAATCAGCCATGCAATCTCTGATCCCGTGCCCCAACACCCCCCTGGCATGGCTTGAAAATAAACACAAACGCAGAGATGTGCATGTATAGTATATATATGTAATATATATAGCACATAGTTTGTTGCCTGTGTCAGGCAAACAAAGGCTCAGGCTCAGGATTTTTTTTTTTTTTTTGTTTTTTTTTTGTTTAAGATTGTTTTTTCTTTCTTAACATAGATGGCTTCCTTCATACCTGTGTTCTTTGTCCAAAATGTGAACATTCTGGTTCTCAAAAGAATGTCCTTTGTCCATAAGGCGTAGATGTACCGCAGGGTGTCGCTCTTATGTGTTGGGTCATGGGAAGTGAAACGTCTTTCAAACTTGGAAACAAAGTCCAGCGGATTCTTTTCTTATCTTTTTTGGAATATTCACTGTGATGTCAGCCTCGCCACTGATGGAAGTCTGTGTTTCTGTCAGGTGTCTTCCCTGGGCAGCGGCAGCGACCATGTGATGGACGCGGTCTCCCAGTGCGAGCAGTATGCGAAGGAACAGGGGGCCCAGGAGAGGAACGCCCCCTGGAGGCTGTTTTTCAGGAAGGAGATCTTCAGCCCCTGGCACGACCCCACAGAGGACTACGTTTCTACAAACCTCATCTACCAGCAGATCGTTAGAGGGGTGAAGTTTGGAGAGTACCGCTGTGAGAGGGTGAGTCCCAGCATCCCTCTGACGCCTTGTTCTAGAGATACACGTATGAAGGATTTAGGATCCAGATTATATTGCATGTTAACACCCCCTCTGCAGGAGGAAGATCTGGCTGAGCTGGCCTCTCAGCAGTACTTTGTGGATTACGGCCCTGAGATCCTCCAGGAGCGCCTGCTCAGCCTCATCCCGTCCTACATCCCTGACAGAGAAATCACCTCAACTAAGACAGCAGAGAAGTGGGCTCAGCTCATCATCAATGCCCACAAAAAGGTAGCTGCTACTGCTGCGACTTAAACAACCCATTTCCTTTTTTTTTTTTCTATCCTGCTGAAAGACTGTGACTAACAGCCTCTCATCCTGCAGGGATTATACCACAAAAGGAGGCAGAGCACTCAGAAGGTGAAGGAGGATGTTGTGGATTTTGCTCGGTTAAAGTGGCCTTTACTCTTCTCACGCTTCTATGAGGCCTTTAAGTTTTCAGGTGGGATTTTTATTCAAACTTAAAGGTACACTATGCAACCGGTGTTGATTTTCCAGCGAGGCTCCCCCCAGAGGGCGAAAGTAAAAGTGCACTGTTGTAAAATATGCTCAGCTGTTCTCCTGGTTTCTCCGTCAAGCCAGACGCGGTTGTTTTGAGCTTAGCAGACAGGCGAACGCAACGAATCGCCATGTCTACTGCGGTAGAGAGCCCTTTTCCTCTTTCTTGACTGCTCCGACATGGGCTTTCGCTGTTTTCTTGCTGGTTCCGCCATGATAACTGCAAAAATATCACCACTGCGCTAGCAACGAGCATGCCTTTCACTGGGGGAGTGTAGCAGTTCTCGCCGTAAAGCAAGACCGACTCTCGCGAGACTTCTGAGCCTGTGGGTGCGGGCCGAGGGCTCCTGCAATTGCAAGTACGGTATTTCCCCTACAGACCACCAGGGCGGCCGAGAAAACCTTTGTTCGACCTGAAATGACTCATTTAATCATCCAAAACGTTATGGAACACATTAATTAACTGAAAAATGTTGCATAGTATGCCTTTAAAGGAAAGTCCGGTCAACAACCTAAAACTAATACGTTTGCGATGATTTAATGAATTTAGCGTTAATCAGTAAAAAATTTAAATAATAATTTTTGTTGCAGTCACCGAGTCTAGGAGCGGCCATTTTTGCCCAAATATAGTACCCCCTCCCTCCTGCCATCTTCCAGCAGTGACGTCACGGTGCGGTAAGCCTAGCGCCATTCTCCCCGCTTTACAAGCTAAATCAATGGGAACTACTAGACACATCTGCAATCAACAACAATTATTGAAGATTTCCAGAGGACTTCACCATTGAAATTCACCAGAGCTATAGTGAAAGGTTAAAGATCTTTGCTGACACATTTTTTACCATGTGGCTTAGAGATCTCCCCACAGCCGTTTAGCAAGCAGTGAAATGAAAATAAATGGTCCCGCTACAGTGAGAAATCAATGAATAACCCCAAGCAATCACAAAAGACGGTCCGTTGTACACGATTGGTTCCTGACACGTCAATCATGGTCGTCTGCTTGTCCCTCCCCCCTGTGCGCGTACCCTGACACATGAACAAATCGATTCCCCAATGATCATGCAGGACGCCATCGCTGGAAGCTAGCCACTGTTATGCTACGTTTACACTTAAAGCAGTGAAACTGACAATGCCCACGTGCATGGCAGCTGGATGCTGGAATACATCGGGTAAAAGTGAAAAAATAAAGAGTTATTCCACCTTTCTGATTCCTGATCCTCCACGGACGGGTTGGTCGTTGGATCGCCAACTTGAAGAGAACTTCTGGCCAGAGAAAAAACCCGTAATATGTAGCCAACATTTGGAAGAAGAATGTTTTCAAGATGACTTGGATAAAAACGCGTTGTGACCAAAACACCAGATACAGCACTAGGACTTGATCAACAGCCGATACCGCACCGTGACGTCACAAACCAGTAGGTGGCAGTAGTGTTCTTTGTCAACTAAAACACTTATCATTTATTGAACAGTATGTAATAATTTCATATTTAAGGTACTTTCAGAAGTTTTAATTATGATTATGACCGGACTTCTTTAGGTATGCCTTACAAAAGCATGGGTGGTGTTGCTCAGTTTAAATGGGTTTAATGTTTTGCTAAAGGTCCCAGTCTGCCAAAGAACGATGTAATTGTTGCTGTGAACTGGACCGGGGTTTACTTTGTGGACGAACAGGAGCAGGTCCTCTTGGAGCTGTCCTTCCCAGAGATCACAGCTGTGTCCAGCAGTAGGTAAGACAAATTCACTGAATGTAAATGTGGTCAGTGATAAAAAAATATGTCGTTATTTAGAAACCATCATTATCAAAATCACTTTGTTAAAGTTAGAATATAAACTCCCTCTCAGAGGCGGCAAACTGCAGGGTCAGAGTTTCACGTTGGCCACCATTAAAGGAGACGAGTACACTTTCACCTCCAACAACGCAGAGGACATCCGGGACCTGGTGGTCACCTTCCTGGAAGGTTTGAGGAAGAGGTCCAAGTATGTGGTGGGACTGCTGGACTGTCCCAACCCTGGTAAGCTTCTGTGATGTTCAGAGAGGAAGGTTCTGGCATCCTGAGCTGAGCTGTGACTTTCATCCTGCAGCTGGAGTGGACTCCACCTTCCTGAGTTTCTGCAAGGGGGATCTAATCATCCTGGACGAACATGACGGAGAGCATGTGATGAACTCCGGCTGGGCTCACGGCATCAACGACAGGACCAAACAGAGGGGAGACTTCCCAGCTGATGGCGTCTACGTGCTGCCCACCATCACCAGACCCCAGTATGATATCGTGGTAAGACCAGTTTCAGAAGATGGACTGTTTTCAACTCTCACTCTCAAATAAAGCCGGGCATACACTATGTGATTTTTTTCGATCGTTGCACGCAGCTACAGATCACACTGTGTAGAGTAAGTTCACAGCCCACTATGTTTGTTGTCACACTGTGCAGCCCAACGATCTGATGTGATCTACGGTCTCACACTGTACGTCTAAAAACTACGTGAGATGGCGCTATTCGGACTCGTCTATCTGGAAACCAAACCAGTAGAAGAGGAATACAATGCTCACTAGAGTGGAACTTTGTGCAATTTTGTGCTGAATTGGCAATTTGTGCAATTTTGTACCCTAAAAATAAAAGGCAACGACGTATTTGGACAAAGACATGGCTGAGCAAACGTGGCTACTATAGACTGTTGCACCCCCTCCATGCTTCTGTGTTACCATCTGAGAGAGGAGGAAGCCCACTGAGCGATTTGTCCACGGCCGCCTTACGACAGTCAACTGAATTTCGAACATGTTTGATTTTCTCCCGACATTACGATTCCTGATCGGGAGGTGGTTGTGAGTGTCATGGTGTGTTTTTAAAGTTGTGACCCAAAGATGCTGAGAACCACTCAGAGAACCAGGTTTAACAGGTTTATTGGGATGAGGGTACAGGGGAAGTGTGATCTGGAACTGGGGTAGCTGGTGAACAGGAACTTGGATGTATGGAGGGGATATCACAACAGTTAGTTCAGGAACCGAGGGAATCTTGAATGCAATAGGGAAAATGCTAGTGAGGGACTCACGTTTGGGGGTGGGGGGGGTCTTCTCTCACTAGCATCCAGTCTGTGTGGGTTGATCAGAAGAGAGGGAACATGTTGAAGAGTGGACAGGTAGACATTCTTTGGACCCGTAGGAGCACTGGAATGGACTGTCACTTGGAATTCCGTGAGGGACTTGAACGGCACATGTGGAGGTTTCTCCCCTGCTCAGTGTGAACTCAGTAAACAATCCTTCCAGGGGAAGAAGGCCAAACATCCAGTATGCAGGAGGACTTCCCAAAACTGGCAAACACTCTGGAGTCGAGGTAGTGACAGTCCACTGCTTAAGTACTCCTCCAGATAATGATCCAAAGAGCCGCAGGTGTGCAGGGAGGACCAACAATGACAGGGCGCCGCCTGGTGGTGGAGGGAGAGACAGACACAAAACAGACCACACAAACTGGATTCCTGACAGTGAGAAGCTGATCGTTCCTTGTTACCACGTGTACACTACGCGACGCACGATCAGGGTGAAAGTCGGCCCAATCGAAAATAATTCTCGCACGACTGGAAAGTCTGCCCAAAAAGGCCAAAAAAATCATACAGTGTACGCCCGACTTAAAGTAACAACTGCTTTGATTTGGTTTTATTTATTGATATTGTTTAATTATTTTATAGTTCAAAAACATACAGATATACTCTAGAAACAAAACTGCTTACAGTACTTTATGTTTTTAATTAAAAAAAAAACATTTGATGGTTAAAAGATCTTGATTTTAAAAATTTAGACAAAAATTTGTTTAAATTGCTTCTTTTTTTTTTCCAGAATCCAATTTTCAGTGTTTTAGCCTCTGTTTTCCTAAAGGTTTAAGATTTTCTTGTGGAAATTATTCTCTGGTTCCACCTTTATCAACCAGGCCTTTACAAAGCTCACTGACATTCCAAGGAAGTGATTCCTCCTCTTGATTTGCGTGTCATGCAGTAGCTACGGACCTGAAAGCTGAAGGACCGTAGAGCTCGAGGACTGGATGCTCTAACCTGACTCCGCCAGATGGATTTGCTCCGCATATCCATCTGGAAACCTTCCGTTGAAGTAATTTTGGGAAGGGGCGAAAATACTGGTTAGCTGATTGGCCTATGTTGGTGATAGACGGGCCAAATAAACCAATCAGATCAACGAAGCATATGACGTACTAACAGAGCGACGACGAAGAGGAGCCGATTGATAGATCAAACTCTTGCCGAAACCAGTCGGGAGAAGAGCAAAAACATGTTTTCCTCTGAGAAAAGCCTCCAGAGCAGTGTTTTGCTCTTCTTTCAGTGAAGAAATACTCTGTAATTCCGATAAAACTTGCTCGATAGCCACGCTAACGCTAGTTTCATCGGCTGAAGCCGCCATGTTCTTTAGACTGAACTGTCGCGCTTCTCGTTGCGTCACACCTCAACCCGCCTCAAAGCCAACGCTGATTGGACGTTCGTTTGGTGAACGGCTCCAAATTTTCTTTAACGGAGAGTCTCCAGACTGATTAGCGAGTGAAACCTTGAAAGCTCGCAAGATCAGGATGGTCTCACGAGGCTATGGATGCTCTAGACCAGAGGTCACGGATTAGTGGACCAGGATCCGGATCCTGACCCACCTGCTGGCTAATCCGGATCCAACCTGATTTAAAACTTTCATAAATTACCGCATGTTGTCCGACGACAGTGTCTTTAGATTTTAAAATGGAAAAGTGTTCTGTTTTTTATATTTCTTATTTAAAAATTTTATATATAACATGGATGCATAAAAAACTCTTAAACTTTTAATCGATTCTTAGCAAGCTCTGCACTGGTGGTAACGTTATAATGAGGCATATTCCACAGGAGGAGACCATGCTGAAATTTCCTCTTCTCGCAGTTCTCTCACAGTTGATGGTTACATCATGCTAAGAATATGAAAAACACATGTAGTAATAATTACCTTCTGCCGTTAGTCCTGGTTTATAAATCTCTTCATTTCAGTCTTACGCTCATCTAACTCTGATGTTCTGGTCTCAGGCTCTGGTGACGATGACCCCTAATCAGAGGAGAGAGTCCCTCAGTTTGTCTCAGACCAGCCTTTCTGAGATGGACAAATCCAAGGCCTACACACTGGAAGAGTTCTCCTACGACTACTTCAGGTGCCCAAGCAATCAAATCTTTCTCACAGAGAAACTACACTGGAAACAAATCGAAATCTAGAAATGTAATTTTTTTCTTAAAATAAGTAGCATTTGTTCTTGGATATGGAACAGGACAATTTACACTTAAAATAAGAAAACACAAATGCATTGTCTTATTTCAAGTGCATTTGATCTAATTCTTATTCTAAGAATAAAAATACTAATTCCATTGGCAAACTATCTCATTTACCCACTCAAATTAAGGGTAAATACACTTCATTTAAGAAATTTCTACTTACTTCTAGATTGTTTTTCCAGTGTATAGAAGGCATCCCTGAGCACTGGAAAAACAATCTACAAATAAGTAATATTTTCTTAAATTAAGTGTATTTACCCTTAATTTGAGTAGGAAAATTAGATAGTTTGCCAATAGAATGAGTATTTTCACTCTTAAAATAGGATAATTAGATAAAAAAACACTTGAAATAAGACAGTGCAATTGTGTTTTCTTATTTTAAATGTAAGTTGTCTTGTTCCATTGGCAAAACTTGTCTTTTACCTCCTCAATCCAAGATCAAATACACTTATTTTAATAAAAAATGACTGATCTAGATTTCTATTTTTTTCCAGTGAGGGCCGCTGTCCTGCAGGTTTTAGAGGTTTATCTGCTCCAGCACAGCTGATTTACATTAATAGCTGATTAACAGGCTATTGCTGAACTGCAATCATCAGAAATAGCTGTGCTGAAGCAGATAAACCTCTAAAACCTGCAGGACAGCCGCCCTCAAAGACCGACTTTGGGGATGCCTGGTCTATAGCCTCATTTACACGACCTTTTTGAAACCGTGCCTAGATCGGTCCGAGCATGGTAACCAGAGATGGGAAGTAACGAAGTACAAAAACTTCGTTACTGTACTCAAGTAGATTTTTCTGATATTTTTACTTCACTTTACTACTTATTTTTATGGCAACTTTTTACTTCTACTCCTTACATTTTTACACAAATATCTGTACTTTCTACTCCTTACATTTTAAAAAATTGGCTCGTTACTTTAGTTTTGAATCATTTCAATGGAGTTACCGTTATTATTTTTCACGTCATCAATACCAAATTCAATCTAATTGGATGGGAATCTACGTTGCATTTGACGCACCACTACAAGATGAATCGACAGATTCGGCGGTATTCATTGGCGGCAAATCATTGCAGCTTGGTGGCGGTGGCGTTAGCATAGTAGCATGGACGACGAGATGATTGAAAATGAACACAACGGAGATCTAGTCCTATTGGCAGACATCCATTTAAAATGTAGGCAACGACATGAAAAAAGTGGTTTCTACTTTTACTTTTATACTTTAAGTAAATTTACAAGCCTGTACTTTGTTACTTTTACTTGAGTAAAGAAGTTTAATCAATACTTCCAGTTTTACCAGAGTATTTTTTAACACAAGTATCTGTACTTTTACTCAAGTACGGAAAGTGAGTACTTTTGCCATCTCTGACGGTAACAGAGATAAATGTTGAGTGTAAAAGGCCGCCCCACTGAACCAGACAGCGCCAGATACAACCGAACCGCGCTAACATGGTGCTAGTTCCTCAGTAAGGCTCATCACGGTTCAGTTGAGGCACGCTGCTCAGATAACAAAGAGCACATGGGCAGACAGCGTCATCTCCTTACAGTCTCCTTACATATCATCAAAAATCCTAGTTTGTCTACCGTGCCACATGCTTTCCAGTGATGATTCTGCTTAGCACAAGTACAAGTAATTTCCCTTTGGGATTATTAAAGTATTTCTGATTCTGATGGATCTCAACGTCTGCACTGGAAAAAAATCTAAATCTAGATTAGTCATTTTTTTCTTAAAAAATGTGCATTTGTTCTTGGATTGAGGAGGTAAAATAGACATTTTGCCAATGGAACAAGACAATTAACACTTAAAATAAAAAAAAACACACTGCAAAAAATCTAAATCTTGATAAGTCCTTTTGTCTTAAAATAAGTGCATTTGTTCTTGAATTGAGGAGATAAAAGAGACATATTGTCAATGGAACAAGACTATTTAGATTTAAAATAAGAAAAAAACAATTGCATTGTCTTATTTTGAGTGAATACTATCTAATTATCTTATTTCAAGAGTAAAAATACTGATTCCATTGGCAAACTATCTCATTTACCTACTCAAATCAAGGGTAAATATACTTAATTTAAGAAATTTTTACTTATTTCTAGATTGTTTTTCCAGTGCACAGTTGCGTTGTCTTATTTCAATGCATTTGATCTAAATATTTTATTTTAAGAGTAAAACTACTCATTCCATTGGCAAACTATCTCATTTACCTACTCAAATTAATGGCAAATACACTTAATTTAAGAAATGTTTACTTATTTCAAGATCGTTTTTCCAGTGTGTCACTGTTTCCTGCGTCTCTAAGCCCTGATTAGGCTATCGTTTGTCGTATCCATTTCCCAAAAGCCGACTCTGTCAAGTAAATTCACTAAAGGCTTCTTTGCACTGGAAAAACAATCTAGAAATAAGTACAAGTTCCTTAAATTAAGTGTGCTTTCCCTTAAATTGAGTAGGTCAATGAGATGATTTGCCAATGGAATGAGTATTTTTACTCTTAAAAAAACATATTTAGATAAAATGCACTTCAAATAAGACAATGCAATTGTGTTTTCTTAATTTAAATGTAAATTGTCTTGTTCCATTGGCAAAATGTCTCTTCTCAGTTCAAGAACATGCACACTTTTTAAGAATTTTGAGAAAAAAATGACGTATCTAGATTGTGATTTTTTTCCAGTGTATTTCCTGAATTTTATAGATGCCACCATGTTGATTAGATTGATTCCCTCTAGAGAGCAGTAGTACCGTAGATCCCCACTAGGAGGCGAGGAACCGTGCTAGCGTGGTGTGTAAATGTGAGGAATCGAGCTCGGCACAGATCGATATTCAGAGGGTAGCGTACATGGGGCTTAAAAGAGGAGGACCTAATGGGCTTTTGCTTAAACCTTTAAAACCCTTCTATGTTTTCCAGGCCGCCTCCAAAGAGCACTCTGAGTCGAGTAATGATGACCAAAGCTCGAGGGAAGGAGCGTCTGTGGAGCTGCATCAGAGAGCCTCTTAAACAGCCTCTGCTGAAGAAGGTCCTGGCTCATGAGGAGCTCTCCCAGGAGGCTCTTCTGGCCTTCATAGATATCTTTTATTTCTTATGTTTAATCAAATTTCTGCTCTCTGTGACAGCATTTCAGTTTCAGTTTAATCATAACAACTAAACATTTTTTTTGTATTTTCTTCAAGGTTTTAAAGCAGATAAAAAGTCAACTCTGACACACTGGAAAAAATCTAAATCTAGAAATTTCATTTTTTTCTTAAAGTAAGTGTTCATGAATTGAGGAGGTGAAAGAGACATTTAAAATTTAAAATACAGAAAACCCAATCACATTGTCTTATTTCAAGTGCATTTTATCTAATTATCTTATTTGAAGAGTACAAATACTTAACTTAAGGGTAAATACTCTGAATTTAAGACATTTTAACTTATTTCTAGATCATTTTTCCAGTGTGCAGTTTTATACACTGGAAAAACTATCTAGAAATAAGTAAAAATGTCTTAAATTAAGTGTATTTACCCTTGATTTGAGTAGGTAAATGAGATATTTTTACTCTTAAAGTAAGATAATTAGATAGTTTTCACTTGAAATAAGAGAATGTGTTTTCTTATTTTAAATCTAAATGGTTTTGTTCCATTGGCAAGATGTCTCTTTTATCTCCTCAATTCAAGAACAAATGCACTTATTTTAAGAAAAAATGACTTATCAAGATTTTGATTTTTTGCAGTGTAGCAGGATGTTTACATCCAAAATTTTTTACTTCAAATAAACAATTAATTCTTCCTTTGCTTTCAGTGTTTACGTGTTTTATCCTTTTAAGATTGAAGGAAATATTTCTCTCATGTTTGTAGAATTAATACATTCCAGCTACAATGTCTGATTTTAAACATGTAAGAAGGGAAAAGACTAATCAATTAAGAACTTTTTCCAACTTTAATGTGAAAATCTTAGACTCTTAGTGGGATAAAGAACATTTGTTAGGATGGAAAAATAAAAAAAGCTGCAATAATGTGGCTTTATAAGGATTTATCTGTACCTGAGATGCGGGTTAGTGAAATTTCCTTGACCCTCTGTGCACCTATAATGAAATATATGGGCGACTATCCGTCCAAACGAGCTCGATCCGTTAACGAGCTCACAGATCAGATATTTGAAGGAGCGCTGAAGGCGGAGCCGCTCAAAGATGAAGTCTACTGTCAGATTCTCAAACAACTCACAGAAAATCACATCAAGTAAGTCTGCTGGAAAATTTAATATCTCAGCTGCATTTAACTACCAAAAAATATAGAATGCCTTTTTTTTTTCTTATTTAGCCACTTATCTTTATCTCCCTGTTGTTGACTCTGAAGGTACAGTGAGGAGAAGGGCTGGGAACTGCTTTGGCTCTGCACTGGTTTGTTTCCTCCCAGTAACATCCTGCTTCCTCACGTCCAGAAGTTTCTCCAGGCCAAGAAACATTACCCGCTGGCTCCGGACTGCATGCAGCGGCTGCAGAAAGCCCTGCGGTACATGTCTGCCCTTATCTGTATTTATTCATTTGAATTAGGAAAATGCACATTTATCAACATGTCAGCTTAAAGGAATAGTACACCCAAAACATGATTAGCCTTCATTTTCTACTCACCCCCATGCTGAACAACACTCTGGAGTACTTTTTTGATATCTCAAATGCATCTGGAGATCTGGGAGGCTTCTTGCTGTCTGCTGACATTCAAATAATGGAGGTCTATGGCGCCCGAGGCAGAAAGGTCCATAAAAGTCCACAAAAAACGTGTCAATATTCCTCCATACTGCTCGTCCAATGTATTCCAAGTGTCCTGAGTGGGTAGCGTCCATAATTTACTCGAAACGAAGTCATTTAGAATGTTTTTAGAGCATAAACAGTAGTGTATAGGATTTCCTATACACTATTTCACTTCGCGCTTTGGTGACGTGGTTGATTACGTTACTGTTGATCATCTGTCCATCATCGTATAAAGCCCGCCCTGACAATTTGATTGGCCCGCCAGATATTGGGCTAGCATACTCGCGCTACTATTGAGCAATGCCAGACCGAACTTCCCGACCTCAAACATTGTGGGCGGGACTAAGTTCGGAATGGCACCGAGGCTACTTTTTACCCACTAATCACAGCAAATGTAGCTGCCATTATTACGGGCAGGCTACGATTGAAGAAATCGCACAGTGTATGCCCGACTTTAGACACAGCAGGCAAACCTGTGGCAAGCAGGGCGATGGGAAAGAAGGAGAAGACGATGAGAAAAAGAGAGCAGAGAAAGTGTGGAGTGCTGGAAGAACTGCGGTGAACTGATGAAAGAAAAGTGAAATGGCGTGCTCAAAGATGACCCTGCACATTTAGAGGATGTTTGGCTCAACCTGCTGCTGTGAAGCAGGATTCTCCACCATGAACAGAATCAACAATAAATCTGGATCCAGGCTCAAAATGAGCTCCTTGATATGTGCTCCATTCAGGAGACTAAGCCATTAGTCTCCTGAATGTTTTAAAATGGAAAAATTTTTTTTAATATATTTATTTTTTTATTTAAAAACTCAATTTATAACATCGATGCATAAAATAACTCATTTTATTTCAGTGTTAAATTCTGGTTAAAGTAACAGATTTTAATTAAAAATTTCTCCGGACCTTTACTGGTTGATGATTTTCTTTATTCTGAACCGGCTGACTTTTTTTTTATTGGTTTACCTCCTGTCTTTCTGGTTGCTTTATCTCTTCCCTCCCTTTCATAATTTGTACAGAAACGGATCTAGGAAGTACCCCCCTCACCTGGTGGAGGTGGAGGCAATCCAGCACAAGACTACTCAGATTTTCCACAAGGTTTACTTCCCTGACGACTCGGACGAGGTGAGAAAACTTGGATGGAAACTGTTTAGAAGTAGTAATTATGACTTTCTATTTGGCATTTTTTTTATTTTCATGTGGTAGAAACGGGCTTCCATATGTTTCAGCTGCCTTTTTTATTTCAACTTTCAAAGTCATAATTATGAGATATTCGACTTTCAAACTTTGTAATTATGACTTTGAATCTCATAATTATGACTTTCTATTTGGCTTTTTTTTTATTTTCATGTGGCAGAAATGGACTTCCATATTTCAGCTGCCTTTTTTTATTTCAACTTTCAGAGTCATCATTACGAGATATTCGACTTTCAAACTTTTAAATATGACTTTGTAACTTGAAATTATGACTTTGAATTTCATAATTATGACTTTCTTTTAGGCTTTTTTTATTTTCATGTGGCAGAAACGGGCTTCCATATATTTCAGCTACCTTTTTTATTTCAACTTTCAAAGTCATAATTATGAGATATTCGACTTTCAAACTTTTTAATTATGACTTTGTAACTTGAAATTATGACTTTGAATTTCATAATTATGACTTTCTATTTGGTATTTTTTAATTTCATGTGGCAGAAACAGGCTTCCATATGTTTCAGCTACCTTTTTTTATCTTGATTTATCTCAATAATCTCTTTTACCCAGGATACACTTTTCTTGACTTTTGAACATGATGATCAAATACTGATGCTTAAAAACCTGAATCCCTTCTAGTCATTTCCGTCTTTCTGCCCCACTTTCAAAACCTGAATGAACCTTAATAATTACAAACACCAAATCATTTAACAAAAATTGAATGGATAAATATCCTAATATTTTTGAGTTACATCGAAACGTCAATAAAATGGTTAATTAAACTGTAAAATGTCCCAGAGATCATTCAGATATGATACACATGGATGACTTTTGCTTTCTACTTAGGGTAACCTAGCCTAACTAAAACAGTGTTTAAATGATAAGTTTCCCAAACGGATGCATAATTGATAGTTTATGGTCTCTGTTAAATCATTTTTCTCAGGTGTTTGAGGTGGAGTCGAGCACGAAGGCTAAAGATTTTTGCCACAACATCTCCGGACGGCTGATGCTTAAATCCTCTGAAGGCTTCAGTTTGTTTGTGAAGATCACAGACAAGGTGAGGATGCAGTTTCACTCACAAAGTTTTTCAGTCATGGTTCTCATTGTAGTTTAGCATCTATGAAAACCTTCCTTTTGTCTCATTCTATCCTTCCTGTCACCTAATTGCTTTGACTCAGAAGAAGTGACGAATGAAACGAAGAGCTTCCTTTCAGACAGTGCAGTAATATTACAAATACAAACAAACGTGATGTATAATTAGCAATATATTGAAAATACTTTGTGACTGATTGATTGATTGATGGATGGATAGATTTTATTGATCTCACAGTGGAGAAATATACTCGTTACATCGGCTCAATAGTCAAAAAAAAGGTGCCAAAAGGAGGAAAAGGTATATAAGGTATATATACAGTATATACGGTGCGTCCACACATATGTGTATATATATATATATATATATATATATATATATATATATATATATATATATATATATATATATATATATATATATATATATATACATATGTGTATATATATATATATATATGTATGGCATGCCGTTCAGGAAATTATTATTATATATAATGACAAGAGTTAGAATATATTGAATGATTTCCTGAGAATATTGAATGAAAGTTGAATATTTAGAATGAAAGTTAAATATTTTAAATGTTTTCCAGAGAATATGGAATGAAAGTGGAATATATTGAATGAATTCCAAAATATTTTTTCAGTAATGAATTTGCGAATAATTTTTTCAGTCAGTTTTGTCATTTCCAGGGGCTGTACTCTTTCTATCTGAGCTTCTCTGCTCCCCCCACCCTGTTCTTCCCAACTCCTTCTAGTTGCCCTCGTCTGTTATCCATTTCCAAAGGCAGAAATGCAGACAAGTCTGGTCACTTAAACGACCACCTTAAATTGCCAAATCAGATCACCTAAATCTACAGTGAGGGAAAAAAAGGGATTTTGAGTGGATTTTATTTAACAATGTTTTTATTTACTTTTATTTTATTTACACTGATTAGGTTAATTCATGATTGATTCTAAATTAACACAAATTAATTCATTTGTTTTGAAACTACATTACCCATGATTCTTTCAGGGCAATTTTCATTCCATATATTCCAAGATTTCAATCAATATTCTCAGGAAATCGTTCAAAATATTCAAGTTTCATTCAATATTCTCAGGAAATCATTCAAAATATTCAAGTTTCATTCAATATTCTCAGGAAATCATTCCAAATATTCAAGTTTCATTCAATATTCTCAGGAAATCATTCAAAATATTCAAGTTTCATTCAATATTCTCAGGAAATCATTCCAAATATTCAAGTTTCATTCAATATTCTCAGGAAATCATTCAAAAATTCAAGTAATTCAATATTCTCAGGAAATCATTCAAAATATTAAAGTTTCATTCAATATTCTCAGGAAATCATTCCAAATATTCAAGTTTCATTCAATATTCTCAGGAAATCATTCAAAAATTCAAGTAATTCAATATTCTCAGGAAATCATTCAAAATATTCAAGTTTCATTCAATATTCTCAGGAAATCATTCCAAATATTCAAGTTTCATTCAATATTCTCAGGAAATCATTCAAAAATTCAAGTAATTCAATATTCTCAGGAAATCATTCAAAATATTAAAGTTTCATTCAATATTCTCAGGAAATCATTCAAAATATTAAAGTTTCATTCAATATTCTCAGGAAATCGTTCAAAATATTCAAGTTTCATTCAATATTCTCAGGAAATCATTCCAAATATTCAAGTTTCATTCAATATTCTCAGGAAATCATTCAAAATATTCAAGTTTCATTCAATATTCTCAGGAAATCATTCCAAATATTCAAGTTTCATTCAATATTCTCAGGAAATCATTCAAAATATTCAAGTTTCATTCAATATTCTCAGGAAATCATTCAAAATATTCAAGTTTCATTCAATATTCTCAGGAAATCATTCAAAATATTCAAGTTTCATTCAATATTCTCAGGAAATCATTCAAAATATTCAAGTTTCATTCAATATTCTCAGGAAATCATTCCAAATATTCAAGTTTCATTCAATATTCTCACGAAATCATTCCAAATATTCAAGTTTCATTCAATATTCTCAGGAAATCATTCAAAGTATTCAAGTTTCATTCAATATTCTCAGGAAATCATTCCAAATATTCAAGTTTCATTCAATATTCTCAGGAAATCATTCAAAATATTCAAGTTTCATTCAATATTCTCAGGAAATCATTCCAAATATTCAAGTTTCATTCAATATTCTCGCGAAATCATTCCAAATATTCAAGTTTCATTCAATATTCTCAGGAAATCATTCAAAATATTCAAGTTTCATTCAATATTCTCAGGAAATCATTCCAAATATTCAAGTTTCATTCAATATTCTCAGGAAATCATTCCAAATATTCAAGTTTCATTCAATATTCTCAGGAAATCATTCCAAATATTCAAGTTTCATTCAATATTCTCAGGAAATCGTTCAAAATATTCAAGTTTCATTCAATATTCTCAGGAAATCGTTCCAAATATTCAAGTTTCATTCAATATTCTCACGAAATCATTCCAAATATTCAAGTTTCATTCAATATTCTCAGGAAATCGTTCAAAATATTCAAGTTTCATTCAATATTCTCAGGAAATCATTCAAAATATTCAAGTTTCATTCAATATTCTCAGGAAATCGTTCAAAATATTCAAGTTTCATTCAATATTCTCAGGAACTCGTTCAAAATATTCAAGTTTCATTCAATATTCTCAGGAAATCGTTCCAAATATTCAAGTTTCATTCAATATTCTCAGGAAATCATTCCAAATATTCAAGTAATTCAATATTCTCAGGAAATCATTCAAAATATTCAAGTTTCATTCAATATTCTCAGGAAATCATTCAAAATATTCAAGTTTCATTCAATATTCTCAGGAAATCATTCCAAATATTCAAGTTTCATTCAATATTCTCAGGAAATCATTCAAAATATTCAAGTTTCATTCAATATTCTCAGGAAATCATTCAAAATATTCAAGTTTCATTCAATATTCTCAGGAAATCGTTCAAAATATTCAAGTTTCATTCAATATTCTCAGGAAATCGTTCAAAATATTCAAGTTTCATTCAATATTCTCAGGAAATCATTCAAAATATTCAAGTAATTCAATATTCTCAGGAAATCATTCAAAATATTCAAGTTTCATTCAATATTCTCAGGAAATCATTCAAAATATTCAAGTTTCATTCAATATTCTCAGGAAATCATTCAAATATTCAAGTTTCATTCAATATTCTCAGGAAATCATTCAAAATATTCAAGTTTCATTCAATATTCTCAGGAAATCGTTCAAAATATTCAAGTTTCATTCAATATTCTCAGGAAATCATTCAAAATATTCAAGTTTCATTCAATATTCTCAGGAAATCATTCAAAATATTCAAGTTTCATTCAATATTCTCAGGAAATCGTTCAAAATATTCAAGTTTCATTCAATATTCTCAGGAAATCATTCAAAATATTCAAGTTTCATTCAATATTCTCAGGAAATCATTCCAAATATTCAAGTTTCATTCAATATTCTCAGGAAATCATTCAAAATATTCAAGTTTCATTCAATATTCTCAGGAAATCATTCAAAATATTCAAGTTTCATTCAATATTCTCAGGAAATCATTCAAAATATTCAAGTTTCATTCAATATTCTCAGGAAATCGTTCATAATATTCAAGTTTCATTCAATATTCTCAGGAAATCGTTCAAAATATTCAAGTTTCATTCAATATTCTCAGGAAATCATTCAAAATATTCAAGTTTCATTCAATATTCTCAGGAAATCATTCAAAATATTCAAGTTTCATTCAATATTCTCAGGAAATCATTCAAAATATTCAAGTTTCATTCAATATTCTCAGGAAATCATTCAAAATATTCAAGTTTCATTCAATATTCTCAGGAAATCGTTCAAAATATTCAAGTTTCATTCAATATTCTCAGGAAATCATTCAAAATATTCAAGTTTCATTCAATATTCTCAGGAAATCATTCAAAATATTCAAGTTTCATTCAATATTCTCAGGAAATCGTTCAAAATATTCAAGTTTCATTCAATATTCTCAGGAAATCGTTCAAAATATTCAAGTTTCATTCAATATTCTCAGGAAATCATTCAAAATATTCAAGTTTCATTCAATATTCTCAGGAAATCATTCAAAATATTCAAGTTTCATTCAATATTCTCAGGAAATCGTTCAAAATATTCAAGTTTCATTCAATATTCTCAGGAAATCATTCAAAATATTCAAGTTTCATTCAATATTCTCAGGAAATCATTCAAAATATTCAAGTTTCATTCAATATTCTCAGGAAATCATTCAAAATATTCAAGTTTCATTCAATATTCTCAGGAAATCATTCAAAATATTCAAGTTTCATTCAATATTCTCAGGAAATCATTCAAAATATTCAAGTTTCATTCAATATTCTCAGGAAATCATTCAAAATATTCAAGTTTCATTCAATATTCTCAGGAAATCATTCAAAATATTCAAGTTTCATTCAATATTCTCAGGAAATCGTTCAAAATATTCAAGTTTCATTCAATATTCTCAGGAAATCGTTCAAAATATTCAAGTTTCATTCAATATTCTCAGGAAATCATTCAAAATATTCAAGTTTCATTCAATATTCTCAGGAAATCATTCAAAATATTCAAGTTTCATTCAATATTCTCAGGAAATCATTCAAAATATTCAAGTTTCATTCAATATTCTCAGGAAATCGTTCAAAATATTCAAGTTTCATTCAATATTCTCAGGAAATCATTCCAAATATTCAAGTTTCATTCAATATTCTCAGGAAATCATTCAAAATATTCAAGTTTCATTCAATATTCTCAGGAAATCGTTCAAAATATTCAAGTTTCATTCAATATTCTCAGGAAATCATTCAAAATATTCAAGTTTCATTCAATATTCTCAGGAAATCATTCAAAATATTCAAGTTTCATTCAATATTCTCAGGAAATCATTCAAAATATTCAAGTTTCATTCAATATTCTCAGGAAATCATTCCAAATATTCAAGTTTCATTCAATATTCTCAGGAAATCATTCCAAATATTCAAGTTTCATTCAATATTCTCAGGAAATCATTCAAATATTCAAGTTTCATTCAATATTCTCAGGAAATCGTTCAAAATATTCAAGTTTCATTCAATATTCTCAGGAAATCGTTCAAAATATTCAAGTTTCATTCAATATTCTCAGGAAATCATTCAAAATATTCAAGTTTCATTCAATATTCTCAGGAAATCGTTCAAAATATTCAAGTTTCATTCAATATTCTCAGGAAATCGTTCAAAATATTCAAGTTTCATTCAATATTCTCAGGAAATCGTTCAAAATATTCAAGTTTCATTCAATATTCTCAGGAAATCGTTCAAAATATTCAAGTTTCATTCAATATTCTCAGGAAATCGTTCAAAATATTCAAGTTTCATTCAATATTCTCAGGAAATCGTTCAAAATATTCAAGTTTCATTCAATATTCTCAGGAAATCGTTCAAAATATTCAAGTTTCATTCAATATTCTCAGGAAATCGTTCAAAATATTCAAGTTTCATTCAATATTCTCAGGAAATCGTTCAAAATATTCAAGTTTCATTCAATATTCTCAGGAAATCATTCAAAATATTCAAGTTTCATTCAATATTCTCAGGAAATCATTCCAAATATTCAAGTTTCATTCAATATTCTCAGGAAATCATTCCAAATATTCAAGTTTCATTCAATATTCTCAGGAAATCATTCCAAATATTCAAGTTTCATTCAATATTCTCAGGAAATCATTCAAAATATTCAAGTTTCATTCAATATTCTCAGGAAATCATTCAAAATATTCAAGTTTCATTCAATATTCTCAGGAAATCGTTCAAAATATTCAAGTTTCATTCAATATTCTCAGGAAATCGTTCCAAATATTCAAGTTTCATTCAATATTCTCAGGAAATCGTTCCAAATATTCAAGTTTCATTCAATATTCTCAGGAAATCGTTCAAAATATTCAAGTTTCATTCAATATTCTCAGGAAATCATTCAAAATATTCAAGTTTCATTCAATATTCTCAGGAAATCATTCCAAATATTCAAGTTTCATTCAATATTCTCAGGAAATCATTCCAAATATTCAAGTTTCATTCAATATTCTCAGGAAATCATTCCAAATATTCAAGTTTCATTCAATATTCTCAGGAAATCATTCAAAATATTCAAGTTTCATTCAATATTCTCAGGAAATCGTTCATAATATTCAAGTTTCATTCAATATTCTCAGGAAATCGTTCAAAATATTCAAGTTTCATTCAATATTCTCAGGAAATCGTTCAAAATATTCAAGTTTCATTCAATATTCTCAGGAAATCGTTCAAAATATTCAAGTTTCATTCAATATTCTCAGGAAATCGTTCAAAATATTCAAGTTTCATTCAATATTCTCAGAAAATCGTTCAAAATATTCAAGTTTCATTCAATATTCTCAGGAAATCGTTCAAAATATTCAAGTTTCATTCAATATTCTCAGGAAATCGTTCAAAATATTCAAGTTTCATTCAATATTCTCAGGAAATCGTTCAAAATATTCAAGTTTCATTCAATATTCTCAGGAAATCATTCAAAATATTCAAGTTTCATTCAATATTCTCAGGAAATCATTCCAAATATTCAAGTTTCATTCAATATTCTCAGGAAATCATTCCAAATATTCAAGTTTCATTCAATATTCTCAGGAAATCATTCCAAATATTCAAGTTTCATTCAATATTCTCAGGAAATCATTCAAAATATTCAAGTTTCATTCAATATTCTCAGGAAATCATTCCAAATATTCAAGTTTCATTCAATATTCTCAGGAAATCATTCCAAATATTCAAGTTTCATTCAATATTCTCAGGAAATCATTCCAAATATTCAAGTTTCATTCAATATTCTCAGGAAATCATTCCAAATATTCAAGTTTCATTCAATATTCTCAGGAAATCATTCAAAATATTCAAGTTTCATTCAATATTCTCAGGAAATCATTCAAAATATTCAAGTTTCATTCAATATTCTCAGGAAATCGTTCATAATCAAGTTTCATTCAATATTCTCAGGAAATCGTTCAAAATATTCAAGTTTCATTCAATATTCTCAGGAAATCGTTCAAAATATTAAAGTTTCATTCAATATTCTCAGGAAATCGTTCAAAATATTCAAGTTTCATTCAATATTCTCAGGAAATCATTCAAAATATTCAAGTTTCATTCAATATTCTCAGGAAATCATTCCAAATATTCATGTTTCATTCAATATTCTCAGGAAATCATTCAAAATATTCAAGTTTCATTCAATATTCTCAGGAAATCATTCAAAATATTCAAGTTTCATTCAATATTCTCAGAAAATCGTTCAAAATATTCAAGTTTCATTCAATATTCTCAGGAAATCATTCCAAATATTCAAGTTTCATTCAATATTCTCAGGAAATCATTCCAAATATTCAAGTTTCATTCAATATTCTCAGGAAATCGTTCAAAATATTCAAGTTTCATTCAATATTCTCAGGAAATCGTTCAAAATATTCAAGTTTCATTCAATATTCTCAGGAAATCATTCAAAAATTCAAGTAATTCAATACTCTCAGGAAATCATTCCAAATATTCATGTTTCATTCAATATTCTCAGGAAATCATTCAAAATATTCAAGTTTCATTCAATATTCTCAGGAAATCATTCCAAATATTCAAGTTTCATTCAATATTCTCAGGAAATCGTTCAAAATATTCAAGTTTCATTCAATATTCTCAGGAAATCGTTCAAAATATTCAAGTTTCATTCAATATTCTCAGGAAATCATTCAAAATATTCAAGTTTCATTCAATATTCTCAGGAAATCATTCCAAATATTCAAGTTTCATTCAATATTCTCAGGAAATCGTTCAAAATATTCAAGTTTCATTCAATATTCTCAGGAAATCATTCAAAATATTCAAGTTTCATTCAATATTCTCAGGAAATCATTCCAAATATTCAAGTTTCATTCAATATTCTCAGGAAATCATTCAAAATATTCAAGTTTCATTCAATATTCTCAGGAAATCATTCCAAATATTCAAGTTTCATTCAATATTCTCAGGAAATCATTCAAAATATTCAAGTTTCATTCAATATTCTCAGAAAATCGTTCAAAATATTCAACTTTTGTTCAATATATTCTAACTCTTGTCAGTATATATAATAATAATTTCCTAAACGGCATGCCATCTATATATGTATATACACATACAGTATATATATACATGTATGTGTGTATATATATATATATATATATATGTGTATAGATATATGTGTATATATATAAACCAGTTACTGCAGTTATAGTGCCGCATTCTAGAGTCTTGTTGCAGCAGGGGGATGAATGACCTGCGGTGGCGCTCCTTTTTACAAACAGGATGTAAAAGTCTTTGACTGAAGGAGCTGATCAGCTCCTCTACAGTCTGCTGCACAGGGTGGAAGTTGTCGTCCATGATGGATGGAAGCTTGGACAGTACTCTCCTCTCAGCAATGTGGCAGAAACAGGCTTCCATATATTTCAGCTACCTTTTTTATCTTGATTTATCTCAAAAATCAAAGATTATTGAGATAAATACAATTTTATTTTATTTTGAACATGATGATCAAATACTGATGCTTAAAACCTGGAACTTTCCCACTTTCAAAACCTGAATGAATCTCAATAATGACCATTTTAAATTGAATGTTTCCTTAGAATTTCTGGCTTTGCAGCAGAAATTGCAGCTGTTCATGTCAGACTTAATAATATTACTTTAGCGATAGTTTCAAGGTGTTGCTTTATTGTATATCTCGTACCATGTCTTTCGGTTGTGCTGTTCTTTTTTCATCTCGTTACAGGTGATGAAGCAGACTGAAAATGTTTTCTCATTATCTCCTTTCTATCTCCTCTTTCTTTCATCGTATCTCTTTTTTTCTTCTCTTATTTCCCTTTTCTTCTTCTGTTTTTCTGCTCTATTTACATTGCAGTGTCCATATAAACTGTAAAACTCCCTGCATAATTATAATAAAGCAATTTATATGCATGAAACAAGTGGAGCAATATGGCAATTGCCATACTGCTCCACTTGTGAAAGTAAAATCTGTTGGGCTCTTTTTGGCATCAAGACAATTATTCTTATTGTACATTGCCAGACAGGACACTGTAAAAAAAAGAAAAAAGAAAATGCAGCTGTTTTATTTTAATTTAAAAGTTGCATTTCTCCCTGATCTTTAGGTCATCAGTGTTCCAGACGGTGACTTTTTCTTCGACTTTGTAAGGCACCTGACTGACTGGATTAAAAAAGCAAGACACAGTAGAGACGGTAAAAAGCAATGGCAGACATGAAATTGTTATTTATTTTAACATTTTTGTTTAGGATTTGGGATGTTTGGAGGGTTGGGGTGGAATTTGTTTCTCAGTCATTTGCAATTGGAATTTCCAATACATTTAAATACATGTAAGAAAGAAAGAGGATATGATTTTGTTTATAATTTCCAATTTATAACGAATCTAACAAAGATACAAATCTAAAATACAAATGGCATATGTCAGCATGTACGTAGAGCTATACCAGTACAGGCTAATTAACATCTTACCATGTAAACCAGCGGATGCAATTTTTCTTTAAGGATTTTAATTTGCTCTTGTTTATAGAAAATTTGAATGATTAATTGACAAAAACAGTAACTAAGTGACTTTGACTTTTAATTTTTATTTGATTAACATTTTGCACAGGTAACTTTATAATTGAGTAAAATAGTTGCTTAAGTTACTATACTATTTATTTATTTATTTATTTATTTATTTATTTATTTATTTATTTATTTATTTATACTAATTACACTCATTTTCACCCCCCAATTACTGACTTTTAACTGTTTGGCTGCCTGCAGGTACTGCAGGTGTGATGCCTTCACTGACCTATCAGGTGTTCTTCATGAAGAAGCTGTGGACCAACACGGTGCCAGGCAAAGACTCTATGGCAGACTCCATCTTCCACTATTACCAGGTGATTTATAGAAATGTTTACACCGGGTATTAAATGGTTTGCTTCACCGTGAAGATGTGAATAAGGACGTACAAACCAAGCAGGAAGCATCTACCCAGACATCCTCTGGCAAATGTGGATTTCTTAGATGTATGTTTTTCCTGTTAAATGGGCAAACTAAATATATTATAACAATAGTGTTTATTTAGTCCTTTTTGAGCCTGAAAATATTTGGGCACAATCAGCAGAGATTATCATAAGCAGTCCCTACCTGCTCCCTACCACATTTATCAGCTTGCCTACTTATAATGCTACGTTCAGACCGCAAGCAGCACGAGCAGCAAAAACGCGCGTGCTGCTTCATTTTTGATACTTGTACCAGTTTAGTTCTGATGACGGCTGAAGCATCATTGCTGCTCTGGCTGCTCGGTCGAAAAGTGGGTCTGATGCACGTTGCGCGGAGCTACCCTATCCTTTCTTTGCCTGGAACAATGGCAGCTATATTTTCTGGGATCAGTGGGTAAAAAGTAGGTTGAATCTATTTTGAAGTAAGAAAGTCCACCTGAAAACTTAATCTATGCAGTCAGTTCATCCAGATTACCATCCTGCCTTCAAATATTATTTCGCTGTCAGAGCCGCTCAGACCCCCACATACCGGTGGTGCTCTGTCACTGGGAATCCCGTTCAACAGCAGCCTCTGGCCCATTCGGCTCTTTGAGGTTTTTTGCTACTGTTCGCGGCGGCTGGAAGGCATTTTTCATGTACGTAATCCAAACTGCAGACACCAGAATTATAAAATTGAACATATTCTGCTGGCAGGTTTCAACATTTTAAGTTAATTTAGTAATTAAGTTACTTTAATAAACGGTTTCAGAGGAGTGATCATAGCGCTCTGCATCAGCAGTGCTGTGTCTGTCTCCCTGCCAGCTCCAGGATAAGCTTCTCTGATTGGTCGATGTGGCGCATCCAGCAGCAAAACTTCAAATTTTTTCAACTTCAGCAGCTGGTGCTTCTGAAGCGCGTCAGATGCTCATGACTCGCTGCTTCTGCTGCTCAAAACGTGCTGCAGGACCTTTTGCTGCGCCCTGTTGCGCGTCAACCATTAACTTTGCATGTGAACCAGCTGCTTCTGTTGCCTCTGCAGCGTGCGGTCTGAACGTAGCATAAGACTTCAACTCCCAACTCATTGAACACTAATGTTCATTTATGCTACAAGTAACGCCCGTGTCTTATTCTGCTGATATTCTTTACACGTTTTTACACTTGATCTTGTTAAGTCAAATACCTTAAAGTTTACTAATGAACAGAGATAAAACAAAGTGTAAAACACAAATATAATAAGCAAGTAGGGACCATGAAGTAATAGGAAAGCTTTCCTATGCATCCAACCAGAGTCTGGTAATGTCATAGGAATTATTGAACTAACAGTGTTTAATTCTATGGAGGACCAACTCTGCCATATTTAAAAATAAATACAGAAATAAATAAATACTCAAATAAATAAGCATACAATTAATTGCCACCAAAAATACAATAAACAAATAAATGTAAGTAGAAATTAAATTATACAGTGAGACATAAATGTATATAACTCTTTTAATTAGCTTCTTTATTTATTTGCCTTTGTATTATTTACCTTATTTAATTTTTTTGTCCTTTATAATCTTCAACTTTATTTTTTAATTACTTATATTTTTAAGAATTTATTAATGTGCATGTTTCGTCTGTATGCAGTCAGGTTTTCCCAATGTCCTCATTATTTGAGTCGGATTTGTTGAAGCTGAGATGTATCTAAAAAGGTCAGGAGGACAACTGACCTCGAGGACTGGAATTGAAGAACCCGGATATTTAGTCTTTTTTTTTTCACTAGCTGCTTTTTAAGGACAAAGTGTCTGTTTGTGCAGGAGCTGCCCAAGTATCTTCGCGGCTACCACAAGTGTTCAAGGGAGGAGGTGTACCAGCTGGCGGCTCTGATCTACCGGGTGAAGTATGAAGAGGATAAATCCCATTTCCAGAATATTACTAGGATCCTGAAGGACCTCGTCCCTCAAGACCAGATCCGACTTCTGTCCCCAGAGGACTGGAAGAGGGTGAGCGGAGCAGAGCGAAACCAGGTTCACTGTCAACAGCAGCGATAAACACAGAGGGAATTAATGAATCACCATTTAGTATATATTAACTGTAGTTAATAGTACATTTTAAAAACCCGACATTCTTTTACAGCATTATAGAAAAAGGCAGACAGACCAACTATAGGGTAGGGTGACCATATTTTCATTTGGGAAAGCCAGGATCTCTGTTCCCATGCATAGAGAACAATAACATGCAATAACATGATATTTACAGTTGGTTTATTAAAAATGCTTTTCAGTGAAAGTCAACAGCAATAACTCCAATAACAAATGATAATTTAATTCAAAATGTATTTATTAAAAAATGCTTAACAATTCCTGTAATGAATGAAATAATGTCTCATCTAAACATCCCTCACTTAACAATAAAAGTTAACACAGGGGTTGACGTTGCCCTTCGGGCAAGTGACTTTCACATTTCATTTGCCCAGAGACAATTTTTACTTGCCCAGTATAATGTTTGATAAATATAGTTCCTAATATTTATTTTTGTATATATATCAATGAAACATGTTTGTTTTTTAAATGTTTTTTGTAATTCAGTATTTTTTAAGTTTCCAGGTTCCTGGTGTGTATCTGCATGCGTCAGATAATGAACTCAAGCCTACATTACCGTGTTAACATGCTTTTCCATCCTTCCTGCACATTCTTTTCAAACTAAACTTTGCTTTAAACTGTTGTGTGCTTGGAAAAATATAAATTGTAATGTTAAAAATCTAAAAAAAACTTGACAGGTTAAAAACTTACACTACTACTACTCACCAATTTAACATGTTTAGCTCTATAACATTTAAATGCACCACTCCAATGTCTAAGAGAAAAAAACTTAATGAACATTTTTTAATGTATGACCACTGTACAGCAGACTGCCATATGATAGAAATATTTACACTGTGCGCATATAATTATTATTATTTTCCTAATCCCTGACTGATCATTTTTAATGTAGCGTGTAGCAAATAATGTCTGTTCTGTAGGTTATTGGAAAACATAAATGAACAAATGAGCTAATTAACAAAAAATACCTCTCGTGTAGCAAAAATAACTCAAAATGTACCAAAAACGAACAAACATATCAATAGACTATCTTTACTTTCGGTGTCCAGGTGGCTTTTCAGATCCCTTGCACCTCCATTGGACACCGAGACATATGTGCCTGCTTTGCACACTGTGCACAAGGCCTCCCGTTTGTCTCGACCCGGTCTGAAAGCGGGGAAACTCTTTTGTAAATCGTCGGTAAACATACATTTGCGCTTTTGCATGTCGTTGGCGTACTGACAGCACCGCTATCTATCTTCTGATTAAGAACAGGGCTGCCCGCACTGACGCCGCTCAGGGATTACGTCACACACAGCGCAGTGCCCTAGTGCCTGTAAATGTAATGGTCCAATTAAGTTAATTTTAAAAAACAGGACAGTTCCTCACTTTCTAAAAAAAAAACGGGACGCCCGGGACAGGACGTGAAATACGGATATGTCCCGGGAAATACGGACGTTTGGTCACCCTACTATAGGGGAGGTTGGGTGAGGGTTTGGAGTTCTGGTGAGCTGCTTCAGAACCCTGACTTCAAGCCTTTTAATCTAAAAAACTCCATGAATGTCTCCAGTAAAGCACATTCAAATGAAAATTACTCTTAATTAAAAACACTTATTTATTTATTGAACAGTATGTAATAATTTCAAATTCAAGGTACCGTAAATTTACAATAAACACTGCGGCCTATCATATAGGGCGGCTAATACGTGTTTTTTTTCATGGCGCTGAAGCTGTTCCATTCAGACACCGAGGAAGAGGACTCTGAGGGTTTTAGTGTGCAGGAGGAAGAAGAAAGTGATTAATGACTTTTCCTGATCGGCTGCCATGTTCTGTGCGTTGTTCAGTTAAAAGTAGCGGTATATGCAGCGTTATTTGCGTGTTACCGACACATACGTATATTTAAATGTGTTACAGGTAGTTTAAAAAAAAAAAAGCATTCATAATATGTGCCGTATTTGTTTGTTTTATCATACGGATTAAAAAAATGCTCACGTGTAATATCTTTATTTGTAAATATCTCATACAACGTGGGAAACCTGCGGCTTAAAATCCGGTGCGGCTTATAAAAGTACAAAATTTATTTTCTTTCTAAAATTAGAGCGTGCGGCTTGTAATCAGGTGCGTTCTATAGTCCGGAATTTACGGTAATTTAGAAGTTTGAATTCTGAATGTGACCGGACTTTTCCTTTTTTTTAAATCACTGTGTACTTACAGTTTTAATAAATTAATGATGCATAAAAAAATTTCATACGGTATTTATTTTTTTAACTTTGGCACTTTTCACCCTCCATAGTGATTATCCACTGTGATGTAAAAGAGTAACTGCAAACACGTTTAAGAGATTTTTTTCTGCTTAAATGACACCAGATCAATTTAGCTTTTTTTATCCTTTCATGAATAAACCAATTGGAAAACTGCATTTTATACTTTTCTCAGTTTGTCTGATATTGCGATTATGTGAAACTATAAAGTATATGAAGCTAAAGGTATATATAAAGTATTTGTCAATGTTTTTTTTTAAAGTACTTTAAGTCAGTCAGTAAAAAACAAGGATTAAGAAATACTGACTGAAAGGTCTTAGTTGATTTACAGCATTTTTCTAGTGGACCAGTGATGAATAAAGGTCAGTCATGCTTCGGTTTTTGTTCCCCCTCAGTCGATCATGACGCTGTTCAACAAACAATCAGGGAAAACGGCTGCAGACGCCAAACTCTCCTTCCTGAAAATCATTTACAAGTTGTCGACGTTTGGCTCCGCCTTCTTTGAGGTTAAGGTAAAGATGCTGTGGTTTGATAAAAGCCACAAAACAATATATGTATCTTTGATGTATTTATGAGTTTTGGTTTTCTGCAGCAAACAACAGACCCAAATTACCCAGAAACTCTCCTGATTGCGATCAATAAACACGGAGTCAGCCTGATTGACCCGAAGTCTAAGGTGAGAACTGATCTGACAGCTTTATTCTTAAATTTAAAGAAGTTCTGCTCCTCGGTTCCTCGCTGTCTTCTCTGCTCATTTTCCAGCATTTTATTGTCACAAATACAGAGCAACGAATTCACTCTCTGCATTAAATCCCCATCTCCTTGGGGAGCAGTGGGCTGGTTAAAGGAATAGTACACCCAAAACATGATTAGCCTTCATTTTCTACTCACCCCCATGCTGAACAACACTCTGGAGTACTTTTTTGATATCTCAAATGCATCTGGAGATCTGGGAGGCTTCTTGCTGTCTGGTGACATTCAAATAATGGAGGTCTATGGCGCCCGAGACAGAAAGGTCCATAAAAGTCCACAAAAAACGTGTCAATATTCCTCCATACTGCTCGTCCAATGTATTCCAAGTGTCCTGAGTGGGTAGCATCCAGAATTTACTCGAAACAAAGTCATTTAGAATGTTTTTAGAGCATAAACAGTAGTGTATAGGATTTCCTGAAAGCGCGTTCACGAGTCTACGGAAACTGCGGCAGACCAAACCAGATGAAAGTGCGCATTCAGCGTCTGCTCTGCCGATAATGCAAGCGTAGAAGAAGAAATGTGCTGTTTACCTGTGCAAAGAAAGAAACGACGAAAGAAAAATGTCTGAGGACTTCAGTGTTGAGTTCTTTGCCGAACTGAATGCGCACTTTCATCTGGTTTGGTCTGCAGCGGTTTCCGTAGACTCGTGAACGCGCTTTTAGGAAATCCTATACACTACTGTTTATGCTCTAAAAACATTCTAAAGTGAAATCCTCGATCCGGCCTTTGAATTGCAAACCGCTCAGCGCTCCACCATATTTCTTCTGCTCCGCTCTGCTCACATTCCCTATCCGTGGGAGTGGGGCTTGAACTCAGAACCTCAGGATTCCAAACTCTCTACCCTGACCACTATGCTGACACTCCCCCAACAAATACTGAGTGTGTTTCTGTGCTGATCCACCTGTAGGACATCCTGACCACTCATCCCTTCACAAAGATATCCAACTGGAGCAGCGGCAACACCTACTTCCACATCACCATCGGAAACCTGGTTCGAGGCAGCAAGCTGCTCTGTGAGACGTCGCTGGTGAGCCTCTGAATTTACAGCAGTGTCTGCAAAAATCTTTATCAGCAATGTTCTGGCTGTCAGCAGGAAAACATAGCAGGTCAGATCTGTTGAATCGTGTATTCAGGCTGGTCAGAACTTCCAGGTTACCCGCAGGTTTTGTCAACAGTGATGCTATTGTAGTAGCCATTCAAACTTTCCTCACTTTCCTTGATGGGTCCTTGGCTGGTCCCCTTCAATTCCTTTTTAAACATCAATCTTTGTACTAAAGTATTATTTCTGTCATGATTTGTGGACATTAAGATCTAAAGAAAAGCGCCACCTCCTGGTCAGACCCTGTAATTCAGTAAAAGGGTGGAGTCAGAGTAAAAAAATATGCATGCTCAGGAGAAGGAGGGGTACGGAAGAGGATTAGGGCCAGTGGGAAAAAAAAAAAGTTAACTGATTTTTAAATTTGATTTCAGTTTAGTCTGGGAAAAAAGTCAGAATTCTGACTTTTTTCTCAGAATTCTGACTTGAACTTGAAACTGAAAACCTAGAGAAAAACAACAGAACCAAGATCGTTACAGTTCCCTATCAAAATGAGAAAATCATTGTTTGATGCTGTAGCGCAAATATTGTTTACTTTGCGACTGGTCTAACTAGGGAGTACCAATATGGCGGACGGTGGCTCCACTTCAACCCCGTACTACCAACACCAATCAGCAATCCAGTGAATACCCATTTTTCTCCAAATATAGTAGCCCCTCCCTCCTGCCCTCTTCCAGCAGTGACGTCACGGTGCGGTAAGCCTAGCGCCATTCTCCCCGCTTTACAAGCTAAATCAATGGGAACTACTAGACACATCTGCAATCAACAACAATTATTGAAAATTTCCAGAGGACTTCACCATTGAAATTCACCAGAGCTATAGTGAAACTGACAATGCCCACGTGCATGGCAGCTGGATGCTGGAATACATCGGGTAAAAGTGAAAATAAGAGTTATTCCACCTTTCTGATTCCTGATCCTCCACGGACGGGTTGGTCGTTGGATCGCCAACTTGAAGAGGGAGGATTTGCCATCGAACTTCTGGCCAGAGAAAAAACCCGTAATATGTAGCCAACATTTGGAAGAAGAATGTTTTCAAGATGACTTGGATAATAGCGCGTTGTGACAAACACCAGATACATCACTGGGACTTGATCAACAGCCGATACCGCACCGTGACGTCATAAACCAGCAGGTGGCAGTAGTGTTCTTTGACAAACATGGATGCCTCCAGTAAAGCACATTCACATGAAAATTAATCTTAATTAAAAACACTGATCATTTATTGAACAGGATGCAATAATTTCACATTTAAAGTACTTTCAGAAGTTTAACTTCTGAATATGACCGGACTTTTCCTTTCATTCAAACTGACTTAAGGTGAGATTTATATAGACCAAGAGTCACCTGATGGGTTAACATCACTGTTAACATTCTGTGTCTAACTGCTCTAGGGCTACAAGATGGATGACCTCCTGACCTCTTACATTAGCCAGATGCTGACAACGATGACCAAACAGCGAACCTCCAAAGGCAACAGCAAGTGATCCAGCCACCATCAGTCCTGAACTCATACTTCAATAACTCCTCAGGAAAACCTACTCTTCATTCATCTGTCCTGTCTTAAAAACTCACCTTTTGCCTTTAAAAGTCACCTCAGAACAGACACTAATCTCACTCTAGTCAACTACAAACCTTTGATACTTTGTTTGAGAGATTTTGACACACCAACAAAAAGTACCACTTAGTTATGGATTAGGGGTGTAAATCACATCCATCATGGCAATTCGATTCAGTATCGATTTCCTGACCCAACGATTCGATTGTTTTCGATACTCAAGAATACACCACGATACGATTAATCGGTTAATTTATTTATTTATTTATTTTTCCCACCTTACAGGTAAACAAAGTTTCAAGAAATAAATCAATGAAAGCTGTAATATCGTTATGCATTTTTTTTTTTAGAAACAACAGCAAATAACAGAAGTAGAAAAGTTGCATCAAAAAATGCTGCAGAAAATCAGTGCAATGAGTGCAATGCAATACCTCGGCTCCAGAGGCTCCGCCCCCTCCACAGACGCTCCGCTGCTCCTCTCCCAAATTGTAGCTGACCCCAGACAGGAGGCCGGCTTGTTTTGTTTTTATGACCGAAATTGCGGAAAACAACTCGTGAAGTTTGACCCGCTAGAAGAGCGAGGTGCGCGAGAACGCTGGGACCCTTTTTCCACCTGGATCTCCGCTCTTTTTGGCCCTCATGTCCCTCCGTCGTCGGACTAAACTCGCCCCCACTTCCTCAGCGCCTCGGCCGTATCTAGACCCACAGCGTGTAGCTCAGACCACGCTTCAATATTGAGCATAATTTAAAAATGTCTGCATCAAGCTCACTGCAACACACTGCTGTAAGTGTATAACCAGGAAGCGCGGTAGGAGAGCAAAATAGGTTTAGCGCCACCGCAGCACGGGAGGGAGAATTACGCCCAGGAGCAAATGGATAAAAATAGACCGGAGGAAAAAAAAATCATGAATCGATTCTCTTGCGGACGTGTCGATGCATCAGATCGTCGGCTGTTGGATCGATGCAAAACGATTATTATTTACACCCCTAGTATGGAAGCAAGATAAGTCCTGCAAAACACCAGACCACACTGTAAAACATGGTGGGGGAAGTGTCATGATGTGGAGATTGTTTTTCCAGAAGGTTCAGAGTTGATTGGGTGCAGGTTCACCTTCCAGGAGGACAACCACCCAAAACCTGCAGCCTGAACTACAACAGAATGGCCTAGTCAAAGCCCACACCTTAATCCCACTGAGAGTCTGGAGCCAGATTAGAAAACTGATCTTTGCAGCATGATTCGTCCAGTGACTAAAAAAGAAAAAGATTGTTTTTGTCTTTAGTCATGGAGACGGATCCCAAAATGCATGACGCTGTAACTGCAGTGAAAGTATTCATTGAGTCTGTGTTGAAAATAAAAGCAGGAAGTACATTCCAGGTTAATGAAACATTAGTAATTCATCCACTTCAATATTAAACACCAGACTGTTGCTCTACTACACAAGTATCCATTGAATCCAAACATTGCAGAGGCTCAATTAGGCAGCATGTCCCCAAAGATAAAAAAGAAATAATGTAGTTAATGTTTATTTAACACATGCGTCTGGATGACAGACCACAAGAGAATCAAATAATTTTCCTTTTTTCAAACTGTAAATACTAATTGTTGACTTTAACGTGTTTGTTGTTGGATTTTTGTACCTTTGACTGATACAGGGTTGAATTAAGACAGTAAATGCATCACATGAAATGAAAACCATCTAATAGATGCCTTTCTTCAGTCTTTCTGTATTTAGAGTACCGTTTTTAGACAATAAAGCGACATTTAAATAATGCTGGTTTAATATAGATTTAAATGTAATTCTAGCTGATAGGAAATGTGATTTGTTCTATTCTGAGGCTGTGCCACAAAGTTCAAACGCCATCTTTGTTTTGGTTAAAAGGATTGTTTTTGTTTTACTGTGGCTAAAGGACTCTGTCTTTGATATTTTGTTTTATTAGCAATAATTAGTGTGTAAAGTCATAATATAAGTCTTTGGGACTTCATTGGTGGATAAACTAATTTTATCAAAGCATGTAACAACTTTATGTAGCCCTGAATAAATGTAATTTTGCAAAGAAAGTTGGGGTTCAATTGCTCTTGTAATATGGCCGCTCACACTGAGCCTGGTTCTGCTGGAGGTTTCTTCCTGTTAAAAGGGAGTTTTTCCTCTCCACTGTCGCTACAAGCATGCAATAAGTCAAGCAATCAGCTGGTTTTCCTTAGATAGAAAACTTTGAATCAATCTGACTGGATGATCTGGTGAACTGTAAAGTGCCTTGAGATGACGTGTTGTAAATTGGCGCTTTAGAAATAAACTGAATTTAATATAATTGGTGCTCTTGGCCACAAAAAGATTTCTTTCATATTTAGCCAGGGAAGAGGGTCCTCGACTATTTAAATAGCAGAAGTGGCAACACTTCCATTAAACAGGCCAAAACATCCATCCAATCATTGCACCACAACACTGCAAAAAATTGAATCTAAATAAGTAATTTTTTTTTTCTTGAACTGGGGAGGAAAGTGGGACACTTTGCCAGTGGAAGACATCCATTTTCTTACACACTTAATCCCAAGTGGGATCTTCAGCTGTCTACAGGAGAGAGGCGGGGTCCACCCTGGACAGGTCTCCAGTCCATCGCAGGGCAACACAGAGACAAACAGGACAAACAACCATTCACACACACACTAATCTCTAAGGAGAATCTAGAGAAGCCAATTAACCCAACAGTCAGGTTTTTGGACTGTGGGAGGAAGCCAGAGTACCAGGAGAGAACCCACGTATGCTCAGGTAGAACATGCAAAACTCCATGCAGAAAGACCTCGGTCCAGGAATCGAACCCGGAACCTTCTTGCTGCAAGGCAGCAGTGCTACCCACTGCTCCCCTGATCAGCCTGCTATTTCAAGTGCACATTATCTAATTATCTTATTATAACAGTAAAAATACTAATTCTATTGGCAAATCATCTTATTTATCTACTTAAATTAAGGGTAAAAACAATTTAAGATTTGTTTTTACTTATTTCCATATTGTTTTTGCAGTGTAGGCTCTAAATTTCGGCTGTGCTGGTTGTTTGATATCTATTTAGTTTATTTTCAATTCAGTTTATTTCTATAGCGCCAATTTACAACATGTCATCTCAAGGCACTTTCCAGTTCACCAGATCTTCCAGTCAGATTGATTCAAAGTTTTCTATCTAAGGAAAACCAGCTGATTGCATCGACTCGAAGGCAATCCCTCACACTAAGCATGCTTGTAGTGACAGTGGAGAGGAAAAACTCCCTTTTAACAGGAAGAAACCTCCTGAAGAGAAACGCTTACTGCAGCACATCTCACCATTTTTACTGGTTGGTTAAAATAGGGAGACAGACGGGCAGGAAACTGAACTATAGAAGCGTTTATGTTTCTGAATAGAACCGTTTTAAAAAAAGATTCCTGGGCGCTCAGCTATGGGCAGTGGCTTGTTGACAAGATGCTGGTTCTGATGCCTGAAGTGCATATTCCCTTCAAAAAGTTTTCCGGTTGCTTTTTAAAGGTGTCATCATCTGGCAATCAGACTTTTTAAAGTTAAAAAAGTGTGTTGGTGATGGGCTTCAGTTACAATCTGCTTCTAAAACCTGAGTATAAAAGTAGAAAAACTAGAAAATAGAAATGTGCATAATAGCGCACTCTCCGCAAACTGGGATTTTGATTCTTTTACATTAACCTGATTTATCCGCCACCAAATGTGAATAAACCATGAGCTATTAAACTAAATTCAAATGCTTAAAATGTTAATTTAAGGGCAATAAATAATGTGCTCCAAGGGGAAAAAAGGTAATTCCTTTTTACTGGTTAAAATTAACTTAAAACAAATCAGATTTGTCAAAGTTTCCATCAGCAGAAACATAAATCCAGACAAAATAGATAAAAATTGTTTATTGATCTTTACGCAGACAAGCTTATGAGTCACATTGTCAAAGAAAGCTATTAGGAGTTTACTGCAGCGTAACTTTATTACTATTAAGGTAAAATTACTAAAGGAATTGAACCTGAGAACATTTGATGTTTGTAGATTTTTGCAATCATCTTCCGTCATTGCGGTGGTTTGATTGCAGTGTTGCAGGAAGCTTTCAGGCTGGTGGGTTGCAAGATTGGCGCTGTCCAGAAGACTCTCAGGGCTCCGTCACGGTAGGCATGTTGACCATCTTCTCTGTTTGACAGTTTGAACTGGAGACTGACCAGATGTTTTCCATCTCTGTAAGGTGATCAGGGAGAAAAATTATAGAAAGAAAAAAAATCTAGATGATAAAATAATTGTCTTTAACGCAGACACTAATGCTACGTTCAGACCGCACGCTGCAAAGGGTGCAGGAGCAGCTGGTTTACATGCAGTCAATGGTTGATGAGCATCAAGGCGCAGCAAAACGTCCCGCAGAACGTTTTGAGCAGCATCTGAGGCGCAACGTGCTTCAGAAGCAGCAGCTGCTGGAGATGGAAAAAATTGAACTTTTGCTGCTCGACGCGCCTCATCAACCAATCAGAGAAGCTAATCTGGGAGCTGGCAGGGAGCTTTTATTATCCTGGTGCCTTCAGTTTGGATTACATGACAGGCAGCGAACAGTATCGATAAACCGCGAAGAGAAGGGTGACCAGATTTGGGTTTCTGAAAAGAATGACACTTTTTTGGGGGGCTGCTGGGCTAACCTGACTCCACCAGATGGATTTGCTCCACATATCCATCTGGAAACATCCTTTGAAGTAATTTTGGGAAGGGGCGAAAATACTGGTTAGCTGATTGGCCTATGTTGGTGATAGACGGGCCAAATAAACCAATCAGATCAACGAAGCATATGACGTACTAACAGAGCGACGACGAAAACACAACCACAAGCCAGGCTACTCTTGCCGTAACCAGTCGGGAGAAGAGCAAAAACATCTTTTCCTCTGAGAAAAGCCTCCAGAGCAGTGTTTTGATCTTCTTTCAGTGAAGAAATACTCTGTAATTCCGATAAAACTTGCTCGATAGCCACGCTAACGCTAGTTTCATCGGCTGAAGCCGCCATGTTCTTTAGACTGAACTGTCGCGCTTCTCGTTGCGTCACACCTCAACCCGCCTCAAAGCCAACGCTGATTGGACGTTCGTTTGGTGAACGGCTCCAAATTTTCTTTAACGGAGAGTCTCCAGACTGATTAGCGAGTGAAACCTTGAAAGCTCGCGAGATCAGGATGGTCTCATGAGGCTACTGCTGGGCCGATGACCGGATCGGATCAGGCATTCCAACCGAGCCATCAGCTCTAGGCTGGTCTGGGTTCGGTCGTTCCGCCCCCCCCTCGGGCCAGATTTCCCGGTCTGACCCCGGAGCTCACGGCTCGGTTCTGCTCCACTGTAGTCGCCCAAAGTCCTAGACGATTTTGAAATTCCCCTGGAAATTTTTTTAGGTATGAAAAATGGGACATGTCTGGAAAAGAGATTACATCTTGTCCCCCTACCGTATCAACTATTTAATATTTCAGTGAGTGAGTGCTTGTTGCTATGATGCGTCTTTGCTCATCAGCTTTGCTCGTCGTAAACCAACCAATCAGAGCACAGCTCATCTAAATATTCATGATCATACCATAAAAGGAAGAAAACCTGTGGTTTCATTCTAGGGCTTTTAACCAGGCTGCATTAGGGCTCATAGAACAGCTAATATGCCATTTTCAGCCCAACCAATGTTACACACCCTATTAGAGACCTGAATGACCAGATACCCTATAGAATCATTCTATCACCCTTTAAGACCATTTTTATATATTTTAATTAGTGTTTTTAGTCTTTTAGGGGCAAATTTTACAAACGCTCTTTTCAAAGGAGGAGTTTCCCAAATTTTTTATGTTTTAATCAGTGAAGCAAAGATGGCCGTTTATTATCCCATAGAGACAGACTGCAGGAGAAAGCTCACCTCTATGTCGTGGCTCTGTGGAAGCGCAACCTTAAAGCCAGAAATAATGATAGTGAAATTAATATTTGAAGGCAGGATGGTAATCTGGATGAACAGATAAGGTTTTCAGGTGGACTTTTCCACTTAAAAACACATTAAAACTACATTTTACCCACTGATCAGAGCAAATATAGCTGCCATTGTTGAAGGCAAAGAAAGGATAGAGTAGCTCCGCCCAACACGCATCAGAGCCGCGCAGCTAGAGCAGCAAAGATGCTTCACCAGCGCATCAGAACTAAACTTGTACAAGCATGAAAAATTAAGCAGCACGTTTTTGCTGCTTCTGCTGCATCCGATCTGAACGTTAAAGTGCGCCTCCTGGTGGACAAATGAATGCTTAAATCACTTCCAGTTTCTTAAAGTTGAATCTTATCCACTCCTAAAAATAAAAATAACTTTTACACATCGCCATCCATCTAATGTCTGTACCGTGCTCGTCTTTGCAGGGCATGCAGCCGCTGCAACAGCTGCGTTTTTGGGATATAGACCAAAAAGCACCAATCTATACACAGTGGAGAACATGCAAAAACTCCACACACAACCCTGGCTTCAAATCCAGGACCTTGTTGCTGCATGACAACAGAACCTCAAACCCTGCAGCTCACTGTTGTTAAACATTCAGATTTTATAATGAACCTAGCAAGTCTAACACTTTGTTCTCAGGTATAGATATATTTTCTTCCCTTCCAATATTCACCAGAATAAATATTAAACCTGCAGAGATATTGCAGCAGGTTACCTGTTTTTATTTGGCTGTAGCTGCTGTTATCCAGCTTCCTTTCTTCCTCTGAGCAGAAAGCCCGTTCTCGCCATCTGCGATTAAAAACAAAAGTATATTTTTATTTGCGTGGGTTTTTAGATTTTATCCAAGCAGGAGACGGATGGAAACCAATCATTTGTGCAGGTAATAAACCCAAGTGGAACGGTTCACCTATGAAAGTAGAAGATTATGATGACCAACAGGAGGGAGAGGACATCAGTGAGAATCCACATCAGTCTGTATTCTTCTGGACTCTGAGACACACAGACAGGACTGTCAATCACAAGTATTAAACTTTTTTTTTTTGCAGAAGAATGTAGAATAAAACTCGATGACGTGTGTTGTGAATTGGTCCTATATTCAATTCAGTTTAATTCAGTTTATTTATATAACACCAGTGAACACTACACTGGAAAAAAATCACAATCTAGATAAGTAATTTTTTTCTTAAAATAAGTGAATTTGTTCTTGGATTGAGGAGGTAAAAGAGACATCTTGCCAATAAAACAGAACAATTTAGACTTAAAATAAGAAAACAATTGATTTGTCTTATTTCAAGTGCATATTATCTAATTATCTTATTAAAAGAGTAAAAATACTCATTCCATTGGCAGATCATCTGATTTACATACTCAAATTAAGGGTAAATACACTTAATTTAACAAATGTTGACCTATTTCTAGATTGTTTTTGCAGTGTATATTTCACTATATTTCTCTTCCTATGAACGGGATATGTCTCACCAACAGCAGTAGCACCCTCTAGTGGCTGTAGACAGCATCTTATCATCTGATCTGCAGCACTGGACTGTTTTATAAATTAACTGAATTAAATGATGTGTTACAAGGTCCAGATCACTACAGGATTGAAAAGCTGTAGAGAGACCTTCATGGGGCTGTGCAGAAATTAATTCCTGCAAACCTTAATTACCCAAAGCAATGCAGGAAATAAAAGTCAACTTAAACATCTGCACAAAGAACCTGACCGCTAATAGCCTCGTGAGACCATCCTGATCTCGCAAGCTTTCAAGATTTCACTCGCTAATCAGTCTGGAGACTCTCCGTTAAAGAAAATTTGGAGCCGTTCACCAAACGAACGTCCAATCAGCGTTGGCTTTGAGGCGGGTTGAGGTGTGACGCAACGAGAAGCGCGACAGTTCAGTCTAAAGAACATGGCGGCTTCAGCCGATGAAACTAGCGTTAGCGTGGCTATCGAGCAAGTTTTATCGTAATTACAGAGTATTTCTTCACTGAAAGAAGAGCAAAACACTGCTCTGGAGGCTTTTCTCAGAGGAAAAGATGTTTTTGCTCTTCTCCCGACTGGTTTCGGCAAGAGTAGCCTGGCTTGTGGTTGTGTTTTCGTCGTCGCTCTGTTAGTACGTCATATGCTTCGTTGATCTGATTGGTTTATTTGGCCCGTCTATCACCAACATAGGCCAATCAGCTAACCAGTATTTTCGCCCCTTCCCAAAATTACTTCAACGGAAGGTTTCCAGATGGATATGTGGAGCAAATCCATCTGGCGGAGTCAGGTTAGACCGCTTAGAGTCACTGCAGCCTCCTCAGTCATGGGCTCTACTTAGTTTATCCACATAAAGCTTTGTTCATTGCTCAATATTTGTTTGATAACTAATAAACACAGAGAGTATCTGGTTTATACTTAAAATTAAATATTAAATAAGGTTAAAACCAGAAAAAAAAGGATTTGTTTTGCTAAAGATCTAAAACCTTAGAACTGAAATAATTTTTAACATGACTGAAATCAAACATATTCCAAAATGAGATTTGGTTTTTTTACAGTGACAATAATTTCAAATGTTTCATTTCCACTTTTAATGATAAATCTAAGGACTCCTTTCCAGGCCTGATCCTGGATCCTTGCTTCCCAGAGCAAAGCGGACCTCTGCTCCTCAGCCTGGACCCACAGAGAATGGTTTTATAGAGTGTGAACCAGAAAGCTGTTTCAGGGTTCCTACAGCATAAGGCGAGTTAAATTCAAGACTTTTTAAGACTTTTTAAAGCCACTTGAAATAAAAATTTAAGACCAAATTCACAAGAAACACAAGAAAAACCTGCTTGCAACAACTTAACTCAAAGGTTTATTTTAACATAAACCACTGCACTAATGTTTCAAACTTTGAAAAGCTTCCCATACAGGAAGAAAGCTAAAAACACACAAATGACAGATATATTTGAACAATTATTTAACTGAATTCACAAACTTTGTTTTAGCAGGGAACAAAACAAATCAGTTTTTAAGCCACAACATAACCAGTGCTAAGTCTTTTTTGCAGCTATTTTTCTTAGTATGTTTGATTTGGTGATAAGTGGAGGCGTTGCAGAGACAAGGGTGGAACTAAACTGAGAAATACCGGCTGTTTCTCTGTAACTCCATTCTGACGCTTTGTGTTTCGTGCTTCGCATGTGCGACTCCACTTGTCATGGTCTTGTTTCTATTTTGCTTTACTTTGCTCCTTGTTTCCTAGTTTTATTGGTTTAATTCCAGTTTTGTTGTAATTTCTAGATTTATGTTAGTTCTCATGTTTTTCTGTTGTCCTCTGTTGCCCTCTTGTGTGTCCCCTTGGCTCCCTCGTTGTCTCCTCTCACACCTGCTCCTTGTCAGCTCGTTAGCCCTCCCTTTGTCTCTGTCAGCTATATATACTCTCCCCCTGCTCTCACTCTTGGTTGATTCCCTGTCCATGTTGTCCTCCCATGCTGTTGTCCATCTACCTTGTCTCTCCCTGGCTCCTAGTGTTTGGTTTCCCCAGATGTCTCCATAGTTCTGGTTTGCTTTTCTTTATTAGTTGGATTTTAGCATCCCTGCCTTTGTTTACTTTTTCCTTTGATTAAATCCACAAGAAATCACCTCAGCCTCTCTGCCTCTGCATTTGGGTCCTAAACCACAACCAACCCTGACTCCACTGCCTTAATTCCCATCGTTCTGAGCTTGAATGACTTCTTGCACTAAATCCACTGAGCCTCATGTGTGTTCCCTGGTTTTAGCCATGGAGAAAACTCTTGGCTGGAGACAATTTTGGTTACATTTACATTTGCTCATATTTCCAGACAAAAAGTTAATGGCGCATCTCCCAAATGTCGTGGCCGCAACAACGCTTTATTGGTTCCGCTATCGGGACGGAACCAATAATGGCGAGACGTTATTTTTTTAAATAAAAAAAAATTATTGTCAATTTTAATGTTTTATTGAGATTGCAAAAATAAATCGTAATAAAAATAATCCTATTTACGATGTTTTAAAAATTAAGACCTACGAAAGACTGATTTAAGACATTTTAATACCAATTAAGGCCTTAGTTGTATTTTGAAGAATTCAATGCCTTTTAAGACTTTTTAAGGACCCGCGGGAACCCTGTGTTTACCACAGCTGCATAAAAGCAATAGACCAAAGACACCTTCAGAACCGGCCCGTCTGCAGCTGGACGGAAAAACTTCCCCCAGGGGAGGACTTTATACAAGCCTCCAATCAAAATCTTGTTATCTCCAATGGAGGATTTTACACGGTGCCATTTCCACAAACTAGTTTTTATCGGTTATTAATCGGGTTGTTTTAAACGAGGGTCCTTTCTGCAGTCTGTCTGAAAATGTGTTCCACGTTTTTATGGACTGCATAAAACTTAAAGGGGTCATAGAATGCAAAGAGTTTCTATTGTCATAGATGAATAACGATAGTTCAGTGGGTGAAATGGACGTACAGAGAAATTTAAACCCCATCATCACCTCCTTTCTCTGCAAATCTCACAATTCTAAGCTTCTACCATAAAATGGGTGAATCCAAACGAAGCCCAGAGTTGATGTAAACTCAGGGATGTTGCCTTACTTGGTTATGGCCTGTGGTTTTGTCACGCCCCAACCTTTACATCCAGACCAGCCCACTGATTCACTGCCCAAGAACATGAATAGACGTAGATGGAAGACAGCAGTTTAGCTGTTTAGCCTACAGTTGGGTTTACTTCTACAAGAATTACAAAGCAGGAAGTTTCTCTATTGAAAATGAGCCAGAAGCACGGCGGAAATGCAGCGTTCCAGGCTGCAAGGAGGAAGGGGAACATTTTCAGTTTTCCCAAATATCCAAAGACTCGACAGGCATGGATTATTTTTGTCTATCAGACGATCCCTGCAAAGTTTGATGCTCAGCTGTTCATTTCCTCTAAACATTTTACCGAAGACAGCTTTCACAATCTTGGACGGTTGAAAGCAGGATTTGCTAAACCTTTTTTACAAAAACGAGGGGCTGTTCCCACCGTAAGGCCATCACAACCGCAAACTGGAAATATGATTCTGTCAATAAGCTGTTGATAGCAATATTTAGCCTTTTAATTAGTGTTTTTAATCTTTTTGGGACAAACGTTCTTTTTATAGAAGGACTTTGCCAGAAGAGAAAAAAAACAAGCCAAAGGCCCGAATTTTACCTTTTTTAATCAGAGAAGCAAAGATGGCCGTTTATTGTCTCGCAGAGACAGACTGCAGGACGGAGCTCACCTTGATGCCGTGGCTCTGTGGAAGTGCAACGTTAAAGCCAGAATAAGGCCTACGGTGGCCCTGAAGTGCAAACTGCAACTACAAATCTAAAAGCGCAACTACATTAAGAAAAACAAAACTACATAAAGCAAAGCGCAACTACATTAAGGAAAACACAATTACATTAACCTACCAGAAAAGGCAGGTACCAGTGGGAAACATGAGACATCGCTGATTGGACGACGGCGCCGTTGGACCCTTGAACCGGAAGTTGCGTCGTCTGAACAGTCCAGCTTCTTTTAAGTGTGTCTTCAGTGTACGCAAACTAACTGAAATTTCGTGATTAGTCTTGAGCATATCCAGTATCACCTCGTACGTATGTCCTGATTCTAAATATTCCTGGATAACGGCAGCTATGTTTGGGGCGCCGACAATATCCATGTTTTCAAAAGCAGCAGCAGGCAGAATTACTTCCGGTTCAAGGGTCAAACGGCGCCGTCGTCCAATCAGCGATGTCTCATGTTTCCCACTGGTACCTACCTTTTCCGGTAGGTTAATGTAATTGTGTTTTTCTTAATGTAGTTGTGCTTTTAGATTTGTAGTTGCAGTTTGCACTTCAGGGCCACCATAAGCTCCTCATATAATGATTTTTAGCTGACACTTGTTTTATATCAAAATTTGACTTATTGTTTGAATTGTGTATATAAAGTGGCGTTAAAATCCTCTTTTAATAATACAGATAAATAATTTTGCTCCTAATAAATTTTAAAATATTCAGTTTTTGCAGTGTGATGAAGATTATGAGCTTGTTTCTTCCTCATTAGCAGAGAAATGTTTTTAGACTTAAAATGAGCCATAAAAATAGCAGCATGGCTCTAGTTGTAGACAGACCCACCATAAGGAGAAGCGGGGATTTGAGGGTCCGAAGCAGCTGGGGAGCGTTGGTGGTGACCGAATGGACCCCCGAGCACCAGGCTAGAGAGTAGAGCCACGGCTGGCTGATCACATACAGGTTGGTGGTGATGTTTACTGCAGAGTACTCACTGCAAGTGACAACAGCAGCGATGGTGTTAGAAAAAACTAATAAATCTCTGCAGGTTTATCTGCTCAGTATTGAAAAACACACGGTGACCACCTGATGAGTTCAGCTGACATGGAGCTATAGGGCAGGTTGAGTTTCATGATGTGGTTACGCTGCAGTTCCTCTAGAGGGAGCCGACTCCCAGACGTCTGTTGGAGGTCAGGATCCGTTTGATGGACCAGAGACCTCATATCTGAGGGCAGCCACAGCACCTAAAGGTGCAAAGACAGACATCAGTTCCTGCTAATTAGTAACATGGTGACATCATCTGTTAGCAAAACAAAGGTTTTATTATAGGATGTTTAATTATTGTGCTTTCAGCCCCTCTTCCATTAACATAATAAGAAAAATGAGCCTGGTACAATAAATCAGTTCTGTCCCACAGTTTGCAACCTTTGACCCGCATTTGATTTGCAGTCGAACTGAAAAGTGAAAAGTAAATAACCCATTTCCTTTTCAAAAAAATAAACCTCAGCAGTGGCAGTTCTAGACCAAATGTACCAGGGGGCCAAGAGGGGGCCAGCGTGTTTTCATGGGGGCACGGAAAAAATATTTAATAAAAAACAGCAAGGGATTCAAATAAATTAAGATAGCTGCATGAAGTAAAAATTTCTATTCAATTTAATTAAAATTATATGTATTATTAGGTCAATATACATTCAGAATTTTACATATTTTTGACTTAATTTAAGTTAAATTTACAGTTTTCCTATAAAATCTAATTAAAACTCAAGAAAAAACGATTAATTAAGCTGTAAAACTTAGAGTATTTTTTTATTTTTATTTTATTTGTTTTGAAAAAAGCATTTACCAGATGAAAACTGGGATCCTATCTTAATGCCACTAAAGCTATCACCTTATTGTTTTTAAATAATTAGTAAAACAGAATTTATTAAAGAAAAAAATGAAATAGATCCAAAAGAACCATCAGTAACATGTCTCTTCCAGCAAATATCATCATAAAAATTTCTTTGAGTATTACGTCTTCGTTGCAGGGGCACTGGCCCCCGTTGGCCCCTGTCTAGAACCGCCCATGAGCCTCAGCCAGTGCTTTCTACCTGCTTCAGTCACATTACCATGTTTTACATCTTGTTCTGGTTCTCCTTCTCCTCTAACTTTGACAAAATTAATCAAAAAGTACCGTCAAAATTTTGAATCCAGTTTATTTAGCTGGTTGTAATAAAGGGGTAAAAAGGACTAATCCCAGGCTGATGCATTTCAAACGTTATTTTCTCTTAGTTATTTTGAAATGTAACCCAAAAATCTGTTTCTCAGAAATTTGATTATTGCACAAGACAATAATTCCTTATGCAGAAACAACATTTTATGGCCTAAACCACCATATAGTCCAGTAGAAAGCCTCTACAGGTGGGTGAGCTACATAAAGTCACTGTGCAAAAGAAGCAGAAACAGACTGATTCATCTAAGAAAGTTTTTCCTTCCACTAAACTTTCCATATATTAATGGAAAGTTTAGTGGAAGGAAAAACTTTCTTTCTGTGCCAAATATAACAGCATCCTGGAGTTAAGCGGATATTTACGGTGAGGACTACATTTTTATTCAGTCTGATTTAATCTTCTGTGCTTGATTGACCATATATGTGGCATGACAAAAATTAGACACCAGACCCTTCAGTACACAGGGCTTGATGTTAACCATCACCCGATCTCCCGGGGCAAGTAGTTTTTATTGTCGGGAGAGTACAAATTTCATTGCATTTGCCCGCCGGGCGAGTGCAATGATCGCAAAAAAGTATATTTATCACTCAAAATTACTTTAAAATCATCGACATTCGCTGAAAACGACCCAGCCGGCGCCATTTTTGTTGTTTTGTACACATTCTCGCGCGATTTGAAAAAGCCGCGAGATTTTCCGCCAGATGGCGTGATTTTTGTCCACCTAGCGGTAATTTTGATGTAGTTACCAAAACGACAAACAAGCTAGAAAGCGCTATCATATGGCAGTCTTCTGTACAGTGATGCAGGTCATACATTAAAAAATGTTCATTACATTTTTTTCTCTTAGACATTGGAGAGGTGCATTTAAATGTTATAGAGCTAAACATGTTAGATTGGTGACCTGTTATGTTATTATTATTTTCTTGTTGCTGCATTTATTTTGTCAGGGAAAACTAATCCTGAGTCCGTTAAAAGTCAGGGAATTCTGAAATGATGTCAGACGGTGGAAACCCTGAATAAAATAACCATATATGATGATTCTCTAGAAAAGTCACATTATATTAACAGTATTATCTTGTATAAACATACCGTCACTCTAAAATAAGTTATTAATTTGTGACATTGACCTCTATCTTGTGATTTATCTTAAGTTTTTAACCTTTTTTAGATTTTTAACCTTACAATTTATATTTTTCCAAGCACACAACAGTTTAAAGCAAAGTTTAGTTTGAAAAGAATGTGCAGGAAGGATTGAAAAGCATGTTAACACGGTAATGTAGGCTTGAGTTCATTATCTGACGCATGCAGATACACACCAGGAACCTGGAAACTTAAAAAATACTGAATTACAAAAAACATTTAAAAAACAATTGATATATATACAAAAATGAATATTAGGAACTATATTTATCAAACATTATACTGGGGAGGTAAAAATTGTTTCTGGGCAAATGAAATGTGAAAGTCACCTGCCCAAAGGGCAAGTGGTAAAAATCCTTAACGTCAACCCCTGGTACAAATGACCTAAAGGCCTAAATTAAAGCAACCTGGGTGTTTTCTGAACCCCTCTGCACCTCACAGGCTGATGTCGATGCCACAGTCAGGAGATGGTTTTCATCATCTGTCAGCTAGAATGATCAAAAACTAGAAAAATTAACTTTTGGTCCATGCTAATAAAAAATTATAATATAATCTATTACAAAATGCAATAAAGAAATAAAGAAAAATTGAATTAAAAAGAAAAATTAAGAAAATTATTCTGGAAGAACATTTAAAACCAACTTGACAGGTGAAAGACTAAACTGTTTAAAGCCGTTTTACCTGTGATGACTGAATGGACGACACTTTGTAGAGGACATCCAGTGTGCGCTGAATCCAGCTGTTGCTGTACGGGTGGCCGTAGGGGGGGCGGTAGAGGTCAAAGATCACCAGTTTGTGAGTCTGACCAGCAAGCTGCAGGAAGTCCTGCAGGCTGCAGATTGACTGGTTTTCTGCTTGGCGTCTCTCCTCCTGTCCCAGAGAACCAGCTGTCCCAAATGGATTTTGCTGAAAGGGGTAGAAAAGAAAAATCTAATCAATGTCCAGTTATTGCAACAAACTGATCGATATATTTTCCATTTGCTGGCAGAATGCAGTGCTGCTCTAGTTTCACTCATAAGAAAAATACTCCAACATGTCCCACTTAGACTTCAGCTGTTGACCTTCTGTTGCTTTGATGTTTTTGTCACCTAAAGACATTTTACTCATCCTATATTGGATTTTCTCTTTTTCCTAAAACATAAACAACATTTTTACCTCATTGTTTCAGTAAAAAAAAAATTTTTTTAATCGATATTAAGAACTGAAAGATGGATATATTGGGCATCTGAGCATCACGATATATCGCCTAATTGATTTTTTCCCCACATCCCTAGTGGATACTGTTTTACATTCAAGTTGAACTGCAAGGATGAATCTCACTTATGTCAGGTTAGATATTCTGGTGTTCTCAACACCTATGATCAGGCAGTGCATGGAGCAGCCCACCAGAGCCTGTATAAACTGCATTTTATGCTGTCAGCAGTGGCAGTTCTAGACCAAATGTACCAGGGGGCCAAGAGGGGGCCAGCGTGTTTTCATGGGGGCACAGAAAAAAGATTTAATAAAAAACAGCAAGGTATTCAAATAAATTAAGATAGCTGCATGAAGTAAATTTCTATTCAATTGGGTTTAATTAAACTTATATACGTTATTAGGTCAATATACATTCATAATTTTATATATTTTTGACTTAATTTAAGTTAAAATTATAGTTTTCCTATAAAATCTAATTAGAACTCAAGAAAAAACGAGTATTTTTATTTATTTTTTATTTTTTTAAACATTTAGCACATAAAAACTGGGATCCTATCTTAATGCCACTAAAGCTATCACCTTATTGTTTTTAAATAATCAGAAAAACTGAATTTATTAAAGAAAAAAATTAAATAGATCTAAAAGAACTATCAGTAACCATGTCTCTTCCAGCAAATATCATCATTAAAATTTCTTTGAGTATTATGTCTTCATTACAGGGGCACTGGCCCCCGTTGGCCCCTGTCTAGAACCGCCCATGAGTCTCAGCCAGTGCTTTCTACCTGCTTCAGTCAAATTACCATGTTTTACATCTTGTTCTGGTTCTCCTTGTCCTCTAACTTTGACAAAATTAATCAAAAAGTACCGTCAGAAGTTGAGCCTGTATAAACTGCATTTTATGCTGGTATGACAGCTGTGAACCGTAATTATTGGAGATAAAGTTTAAAAAAACAATCCACTGGACTTTGCTTCCAAGTTTGAAGATGTTTCTCTTCCCATCCTGGAGGTTTTTCAATTCAAAAAATGTCTGGATTAGCGTTGAGTTTGAGGCTTTATAGAGAGAGGACTTGTCATTTAAATCCCTTATCAAAGAGGTTTCTATTCTATTGTAATTCTTTACTATCAGGAAGTCCACAAACTGTAGTTAAAAGCCTTCAGCTGATTCAAAATGCTGCAGCCAGAGTTCTGATGAAAATGAAAAAGAGAGATCATATCTCTCCTATCCTGGCTTCTCTTCATTGGCTTCCTGTTAAATCCAGAATAGAATTTAAAATCCTCCTTCTCACATATAAAGCCTTAAATGGCCAAGCTCCATCTGATATCAGAGATCTGATTGTTCCTTATGTTCCTAACAGAGCACTTCGCTCTCAATCTGCAGGTTTACTAGTGGTTCCTAGAATTTCTAAAAGTAGAATGGGAGGCAGATCTTTTAGTTCTCAGGCTCCTCTCCTGTGGAACCAACTACCAGTTTTAGTCCGTGAGGCAGACACCCTGTCTACTTTTAAGGCTAGGCTTAAAACTTTCCTTTTTTGATAAAGCTTCTAGTTAGAGTGGCTCAGGTTATCCTGAGCTATCTCTATAGTTCTGCTGCTATAGGCTTAGATTGCTGGAGGACATAGGGACCCCTTTTTCATCATTCTGCTTCATTCTATCTCTATTCTCCCACTCTGCAGAATCTGTTAGTTCAATCTCTAACGTTCTGCTCTCTCTGCTTTTTCTCATAGTAGCTTCATCTGGTCTGTTCCTGTTTGGCTGTGACTCCATCCTGGAGAGAAATATCAGCTGTGCTGCTGCCATCAACATCTTTGTTCCTAGATGTTGGAGATCGGCCTGTTTTCCAGTGTAGTCCTGTTTCTCTGACTGTGACTAACTGGATGTGCTCTCTTCATCCTCTGACATGGGAGCTGGCTCGGAGCTTGTCTGCCTGGCTGTGTGTTTCCTGGACGGAGCCGCCTTTTACAGCTACTTTTTGTATCTATGCTTCTTTTTCTATGTCTGCTTCTGTCTCCTTGAACCCCAGTGGGCCTCAGCAGATGGCCGCTCACACTGAGCCTGGTTCTGCTGGAGGTTTCTTCCTGTTTCTCCTCTCCACTGTCACTACAAGCATGCTTAGTGTGAGGAATTGCCTTCAAGTCGATGCAATCAACTGGTTTTCCTACGATAGAAAACTTTGAAACAATTTGACTGGATGATCTGGTGAACTGTAACGTGCCTTGAGATGACATGATGTGAATTGGAGCTATAGAAATAAACAGAATTCAATTGAATTATGGCTTAGAAAACATGCAAACTGAAACAGAAGAACAGGTCCACTGCTTAGTAATGGAATGATTGGATGACTGAGAATCTTCACCAGCTTATTGTTAACTGATGGTTCTACTGCAGCCAGTAAATCCTACGTGCTCCAAATCCTTTGCTTAAGTTCTAGAATATTTTATCTAGGTTGGAAACGTTAGGTATAATTTACCAGAAGCCTTTAAGGCTTTGATCCAAATACTTCCGATTGCAGCTCCTACATCCTGCTTATAGCCTGAGCGTTTGAAAATGTTCTGAGACTCACAGACAGGAACCAGGAACCGGCGTTCAGACTCTCAAGCTCGCTCCAGGTGAACATGGCAGCAGGGGTGTTGGTCCGGTTTGGAAAAACCTCATGGATGTTGGTGGTGCGTTGGAGGTTGTGGTCATGCATGAGGAATGGCACACCATCATAACTGCAACCACGATAAGACAAAGGAAGCCTCAGTGAAGCCTAAAGAGAGCTGTTAGCCACTGTCGTCTCTACAACCGAACCTTTACTCAGTAAAGCTGCAACATGTTTGGTTCTAGGTGGCATCAAGCTACACCCACATGCTACAAACTGACCTTATAGCAACGTCTGTCTCCAGGCCGTCACATCCAGCTTCCACTGCCTTCTCAAAGGACATCAGTGTGTTTTCTGGAGCGAGCTGCACAGCGAGGACCAACAGAATCAGAACCTTAACTTCCTGCTGCAGTAACTCAGTGTTAATAACTGGATTAATCAGCAAATACAAACAGGCATCACCTCCAAGATCTAAATCACTTCTGCCAGAACTTAAAAACTGGATCTGACTGAAATAAGGGTCTATTTCCCAAAATATGGAAATAATTTTTAATACCTTCAGTAAGTTAAATTTCAGAGTCATTAGACATAAAAACATGTTTAAGCCTTTACTTATTTCTGATGATTATTATGGCTTCCATGTAATGAAAACAAAAAAAGTGATAACTTGTTGTTTTCCCTTCTTTATTTTTACTGAATTGTTAATAGATATACATATTATAACTAGCATCTGACCTGTTTCCATCTCTTAAATGACAGAGAATCTGGTATTTTTCAACATTTCTGATAAGTAAAGATGTGACTCAGCTCACCATGGGTGCTCCTCTGTGGCCAATCAGAGCCGGCGCAGGGCCCAGGGTCCCTTTCTCTTTGATGCAAGGAGAATACAAACCGAGCGGCACCAGGTAGAGAGTAAACAGGATGGCCAGATACACCCTAAAGATCAGCATCTTCCTCACTGAAACAGAGACAATCCTATTGCTAGTATTTTAATGTTTTCAGGATAAAAAAAAAGATTAAATAACCATAAAATTGTATTGTGTAGGTTCTTATTTTCTTTGTTAGTGTGAATTTTGCTTAGTGGTTAGAACCATATTATACAACAACAAAGTACCTAAATATCAACTTTTTAAGATTACAAAACTGCTTGAATTAAGAATCAAGAATTATCCTCAGTTCAGTGGCCCTCTGATTTTAGAACACAACACATAAAACAGACCCGTTATACAGATAGAGAAATGTTAATAGAATAGACATCCATTATCTGTTCTAGGTTGTGTCCCTCTCTTCTTGTCCCTTTTCTTCTTGTTTTCCTCTCTATGTTTTGTACTCAGCTGACTTTTCATGCTGTCTCTAAAGGAATGAAAGATTTTTTTCCAAGCACTAAGCTCACTTAGCTGATTGCTCCTTCCTGTGTTTCCAAAAAGACCAAAGTAAATAACCCAGTCCTTCTTTTCACTGTAGACAAGCCAAATTTAGCAACTTTTTTCTGCTACTGGAGACTTTGGAGACAACATCTAAAAGCAGCGAACTCTGCTCTCCAGAGCGAGTAGATTGGTAACCCCGCCTCCTGCTCTCCTCTATCTTGTCTGCTGTCATGATTCATGCAGCTATTATTTCATCCAAATGAAAAATGGAGAACAGATAAGCAGATCATGGCTTGTCTACAGTGAAAAGAAGGACTGGGTTATTTACTTTGGCCTTTTTGGAAACACAGGAGGGAGCAATCAGCTAAGTGAGCTTAGTGCTTGGAAAAAATCTTTCATTCCTTTAGAGACAGCATGAAAAGTCAGCTGAGTACAAAACATAGAGAGGAAAACAAGAAGAAAAGGGACAAGAAGAGAGGGACACAACCTAGAACAGATAATGGATGTCTATTCTATTAACATTTCTCTATCTGTATAATGGGTCTGTTTTATGTATTGTCTTCTCTATTCAGAGGGGCCCCTGCCTGTCTTTGCCTAAGGCCCCAAATGTTCAAAATCCGCCCCTGGGTCAGTGCTTAGGGGGTCTGTTTGGGATTGAGCCTTAGTGAGGACGTGAACATGTGGTGCTATCTAAGAGCTCCTCTGATTGGTAGATACAAGAAAAAAAGAGAAAAAAACATCTTACTGTATAATAATTATAGATAACTTGATTATAAAATGTTGACTAAAAGGAAATGTTAATGATGAGGAAAGTTTCACACAGCATCAATATGTTTAAAGCCACCTTATTTATCTGATTTGCTAAATGTTGACTCACATTGCTGAGCATTTGGCTACATCTAATATAATGTGGACTCATCCATCAGCATTTTACTGTGACCTCCTGCTTCTTTTTTTTGGCTAAATGACAGACATAAATAAAGAGAAAAAGGTGGAGGAAACTAACCTTAAGAGATTTTTACTAAAATTAAATCTATAAGAGCGACTTTTATTCCTACGATTCTACGACAGACCCAGAAAACGTTTTGTAAATCAATGTGTGGAGATGGAAGCCATAAGCTGACAGAGATGTCCGTTAAACACTAAAGGAAATACAGTTTTTTTTACTTTTAATCTTTTTATACAATAAATAAAATGTCACTTGCAATTAATTTGTGCAACAAACCACATGACTCACCTCTGCCGTTCATGCGAAAAATATGCAAAGCTATGGGCCAGGCCAACGATGTCATCAGCAGAACACTGCCAAGATGCAAATAAGGCGCCGTCACCTGATTAGGTTAAAAAACGTCAACCATCAGTGGAAATCAGACGGGAAGCAGGACAAGGCTGCTGGAGGAGAAGAGGAGGTGGTCACCTGGAAGGAGAGCAGCAGCGTTGTCCATTCTTCTCCCCACAGGTCAGACAAGACGGCAGTGGCTACGATGGAGAAAATCAGGCAGATCAGGATCCCGACCTGACCACAAACAGGTGGGGAGATGTTACAGATTTACACGTGATGGTGAAACCACAACTTGTTAACCGCAGCCTCCTATCTCACAAAGCAAAAGACTTAAGAGCACAGGTTGGAGACATTTACAATCCGATGATTATCTCATTCATTTAAATCAAAGAACAAAAGTATTATCTAATATAGACCTCAGAGCAGGGGTCTACCAACGTTTTCCAGGCCAAGGACCCCCAAACTGATGGCGAGATGGAGCAGGGACCCCCTAATTATATATATTGTATTAAATAGTGTTCTATCAAACTGGTCCTATAGTCACTCTATTACAGATGGAGTAATGTAACTAAAGTAATTTCTCCCTGGGATTATTAAATTTCAGATTCCTGGTTGATGGGACAGGTGTTGTGAATGAAACGGTGCCCAGCTTGAAAGAGCTCCTGTGTGTCGCTGAATGTGAGCATTGATGACTGAAAGACATCTGCCTCCATTTATCTGTTTACTACAGTCTGTTGAATTCATGTTAATGTGGATTTAAAGATATTTCAATTAGTGGGAAAAATTGCAGAGGGGAATATAAAAAAAAGTCTAACCAACCAAAATTTTCCCCCATGCAGTACCTCCGTTGACCCCCTAGGGGTCGCAGACCCCTGTTGAAGACCTCCGCCTTAGAGCAAAGAAAAATGCCAAAGAGAGAAGAAACCCAAACTATCTTTATTAATGAAACAATGCAATTTTACAGAAAGTATACATTCTTCTTAGTAGTCTGTAGATTAATGACAAAATAAACAGAACAGGGCTGCTCAGTGGCGCAGTGGGTAGAACTGCTGCCTTGCAGCAAGAGGGTTCCAGGTTCAATTCCGGTCTTTCTGCATTGAGTTTGCATGTTCTCTCTGGGTACTCCGGCTTCCTCCCACAGTCCAAAAACATGACTGTTAGGTTACTTGGCTTCTCTAAATTCCCCTTAGGTGTGAATGGTTGTTTGTTTCCCTGTGATGGACTTGCAACCTGCTCAGGAAGGACCCTGCCTGCACCCCAGGCACCAGCACCCCTCGTGACCCAACTTGGGATTAAGAGTGTCCCAAAAAAAAATGGTTTATGTTAGAAAACCTCATGTTTTTAACATTTTTGTCCAAAGTTATTCAGAGCAACTGCTGAGGGCCTAAAGAGCCATACGGGCTCAGGAGTCACAAGTTACAGACCCCTGGTTTAAAAAACATTATTTCTAAAGATGGCAGAAGCTTTCAAGGTTATTATTTGAAAACAAAAACACGGTCATAATAAAATGATGGACTTCAGTGTTTCGGAAATGGCCTGTAATCCTTCCTGGACTGATGGACAGCTGGGTCTGCCTCTATGATTGTCGCTGACATCTTCCCTTCGTTTAGCACCTCTATGGTTCACATCGAACTGGTAAAAGCTAAGCTTCTTCATTTTGCAAAGCAACATCTGGCTGCTGTTAAAATGCACTTACCTTGTGGCTCCAGTGTAAATGAAGCTTCTGGCCTTCGGAGAGTAAACAAACAGCAAGGAGCTGCAGAGAGGAAAAAAAACAGCTTGTTAAACTTAAAAGCTATGATTTATTCAAACATATCTGGATAAAACGATCTTCTTGCTCAGACCAGTTAGAGACCAGCAGCTGCCAGAGTAGCTTTCCTCCAAAACAGATTCTTAAAGGGTAGCATCATGTTCCGAGACTTCAGCAAATCGCTTTAGCCTCCAAGGAGCCTCGTAATTCCCGGGAGGTTAAGAATCCACAGATGTAGGAAACAGGGGGAGAAGCTCTGCGGAGAGTTTCTAAATGTCTAAAGTCAGTTTTTGCTGCTGTGGAGCTGTTAGTGTAGTCAGTGTCTGGTATCAATCATCCTGCTCCAGTCTAAGCTTTAGTAGGGTGATGACTTTTTGACTTTTTTTTTCTCCAAAATGATTTCCTGTAGCACGAATTTATGAACTTTTGCCTATTAATGACTCAAATGATGTTTATTCCATTGAAAAGTGTCACGCACAAACCACTTTGAAAAAAATCACCGTTACTCTCAATGGGACTAAATTGGTTAAACCTGTGGAAGAATTAGTGGGAAAAAAGTATTCAACTGTTCACCCTAGTTAAATAAACGGAGATCGATGGATTTAATTCAGTCGGCACTTTATTTTCTTATCTTTGCAAAGAGAGAACAGTTCATCATAGAGCTTTTACGGCATAGTAATCAGCCCTGTTCTGATTTGACAGAGTTTGTCTCCCTTATTTATGTTGATGGAAAAACTGTGAAGGTTGTGTCTGAGTCAAAACAAATTACACACATTTTACCAAACCTTGAGAAACAATTTGGCTTGTCGTGGGAATAACTATGTTTTGTCTAAAACCATCCCTCACTCAGACATTTTCTCAGCTTTGCAGCTGAAACAAACTGAGTAAAAACCTTTTTCACTGGATCAATAGCATAACTAAATATATAAGACAAGAGAAATCTAAATTTTCCGAACACAACTAAAAATACATGAAACACTTTTAATTTGTTCTTGTGGGCAGCTGTGATATGATTGTTTAAAATCATAATGAGTATAAAATTAGAACAATTTTATTTGGTGGTTGGTGCCTCTAACGTTGCTCAACTGCAGAGAGTGCAAAACCACCGCAGCACGTCTTTTATCTATGGAGGATAAAAAGTGCCAAAATTAAATAAATAAATACAGCATTAAATAAATAATTAAATGTGTCAATAATTAATTTAAATCTGGAATTAAATGTGTTATTCATTTTTTAAAACCACGTCACCAATATAAAGTGCCACAATTAAATAAATACAGCGATAAACAATTAATTAAATGTGTAATTCATTAAATAAATAAGGAATTAAATATATAAATGTGTCATTAATTTAATAAAATACGTCTTCATTTTATTAAAAAAAAATATATAATTAATTCAGTGTGCATTTAATTATTTCATGGTCCTGTGTCGCAGTGCATCGAAACCATTAAAAGAATCTGTCAAACTCACCCATCAAAGTTAGGGGCAAGGGTTAACGCGAATCGAGTCTCTGTAATCGATGTGCTTCGCCTTAAAGGAATAGTACACCCAAAACATGATTAGCCTTCATTTTCTACTCACCCCCATGCTGAACAACACTCTGGAGTACTTTTTTGATATCTCAAATGCATCTGGAGATCTGGGAGGCTTCTTGCTGTCTGCTGACATTCAAATAATGGAGGTGCCCAGCGCCCGAGGCAGAAAGGTCCATAAAAGTCCACAAATATTGACACGTTTTTTGTGGACTTTTATGGACCTTTCTGTCTCGGGCACCATAGACCTCCATTATTTGAATGTCAGCAGACAGCAAGAAGCCTCCCAGATCTCCAGATGCATTTGAGATATCAAAAAAGTACTCCAGAGTGTTGTTCAGCATGGGGGTGAGTAGAAAATGATGCCTAATCATGTTTTGGGTGTACTATTCCTTTAATGTGCAGGGTGACCAATCAGGTGTTAGATAACCGCCCCCTAACTTTGATGGGTGAGTTTGACAGATTCTTTTAATGGTTTCGATGCACTGCAACACAGGACCATGAAATAATTAAATGCACACTGAAATAATTATTCAATTCCTTATTTATTTAATGAATTACACATTTAATTAATTGTTTATCGCTGTATTTATTTATTTAATTGTGGCACTTTATATTAGTGACGTGGTTTTAATTAATGAATGACACATTTATTTATTTAATTCCACATTTAATTAATTATTGACACATTTAATTATTTATTTAATGCTGTATTTATTTATTTAATTTTGGCACTTTTTATCCTCCATATTTATCTGGCATCTGTCGTAAATATGAGCCTCATTAGACTGGCTCCCTGTACATTTTAGGATTCATTTTAAAGTTCTTTTATTTGTTTTTTGTTTTGTTTTCCACTATTATCTTTATGTTTTTGACAATAGAAGGAACAATGCGCTGATTTCAGCCCTCTGATCATCAGCAAAGTACAAAACCAAAACAAAATGATCACTCGAACCTAAGACAGCAGCCGGTTGTCGTGATGCAAAAGTCAGACAGTTTCCTAGGCTAATTTATATGTTATCCATTTTTCCCATTTTTCTTTAAATTGAGCTTTTTTCAATCTTAAAATGAAAGTCATTCTTTCTATAGTGAATATTTCCTCCACAATGTCCATCCACTGAGTATGGTTGGGTGGCTCAGGTCTTCTTGTTATGCGTTTCCTCCCCGCTGACAGTAATATCTTTGTCATGATGGGGTCTATGAGAGTAAAGCCCACGATGCAGAACACACACGGAGAACGTTGGTAAAAAGTCCAAAGAGTTTATTGTAACACAAGCACGTAGTAAATATGCAGGAACAGTTCAGTCCGGGGGCTGGTTCACTGGGGTATGTGCGGGGAACGGAGGATGGCTGGTACTCTGAGATCATGAGGGGCTAAGCTTCTAGCTGTGAGCTTAGCAAGGCTAAGTTGGATCTGAGCTTCCAGCTCAACACAGAGAACAACAGGGGATAATCCACACGGAAACCTCTGGGGAAACTCCTCGAAGAAGTCTTCTGGTTTCATCCACGTAGGGATCTGTGGGTTGGCTCACCAGGGCAGTTTAGCAGGTTGGGCTTCCCAAGAGCTTCTGGCTTGAGACTGGTTTCCTGTGACGCAGCTCTCCCATAGCTGCGGGTCAGAGACAGGGTTCCAGTGAGGGTGCTCTCCCTAAGCTTCACCAGGAGACAGGAGGTTAAGCTCATCCAGAGCTTTCACGAGGGACAGGATTCCTGTGAGGCAGAGATAAGGAAGATATTAGAATCTGGTCTCGACCTAGGAACAACCAAGACTCAGTTAATAGCAGAAGGTTCAGGAAGCTAACCAACTAAGATCAACACTGCGGCGTGGGATCAAGGTCTGAAGTCAGCTTATATACTGTGGTCCTCCTGATTAGTAGATCAGCCACAGGTGTGTGGGAGGTTCAGCTCAGGAGGACCCACGGCGCACTCTGCTGGAGGCAGAGGGTAATCTCCAGAACCTTGACAGTGACTCCAGCCCTAAGGGAAAGACAAAGAGAGCAGAAGAGGATCCCCGGCGCCCTCTGGTGGGCAAGCCTGAGGATCCCAACAGAGCCCCCCCCTCAAGGGCGGATTCCAGACGCCCCCTGAAAAAAAAAAAAGTCCAAAAAACAACCCACTCAGGGTGGGCGGAGGGGGCACTAGGGCGAGGAGGGCCAGAGACAACAGACAATAGAGTCCAGAAAACAAAAACAACCCACCCAGGGCGGGCGGAGGGGGCACTAGGGCGAGGAGGGCCAGAACCAACAGAAAAAAAGGTCCAACAAACAAAAAACAACCCACCCAGGGTGGGCGAAGGGGGAAACAGGCCAGGAGGGCAGAAAACAAAAAACGATCCACTTATGGTGGACGAAAACAAAAGAAAACCCGACAACTTTCTTGGGCAAAGTCTCTGGTGGCCGGCCGAGGGACCGGCAGTGGGACAGATTCTCAGGTGGCCGGCCGAGGGGCCAGCTGCGGGACACAGTCTCGGGTGGCCGGCCGAGGGGCAGGCTGCAGGACACAGCCTCAGGTGGCCTGCCGTGGGGCCGGCTGCAGGACACAGTCTCAGGTGGCCTGCCGTGGGGCCGGCAGCGGAGGCGTAGAAGCTGCTCAGGAGGCCGACCACGGGGCTGGGAACGAAGCAGCGTCTTATAAGGACCACTGCTGGGCCGGAGGCATGGCAGAGGTTCAGGGGGCCGGCCGAGGATCCGGTAACGGAGCAAAGTCTTTGGTGGCCGGTTGCAGGGTCGGAGGCGAGACAGATGTTCAGGAGGTCGACCATGGGGCTGGAGACGAAGCAGCATCTTGGGAGGACCACTGCTGGGCCGTAGGCACGGTTGAGGTTCAGGATACCGGCCTAGGATCCGGCTACGGAGCAGAGTCTTAGGTGGCCGGCTGCGGGGTCGAAGGCGACGCCGACACTCTGGGGGTCTGCCACGGGGCCGGAGGTGAAGATGACGCTCCGGGGTTCTGCCGCGGGGCCGGAGGTGAAGATGACGCTCCGGGGTTCTGCCGCGCGACCGGAGGTGAAGATGACGCTCCGGAGGTCTGCCCAGGGCCGGAGGTGAAGATGACGCTTTGGAGGTCTGCCGCGGGGCCGGAGGCGAAGCTGACGCTCTGGAGGTCTGCCGCGGGGCCGTAGGCGAAGCAGCTTATCAGGAGGATGACGCCCAAGCTTCAGCAGGTACCCCCACGGGGTACCCCGTCCCCTCCTCGGCCGCTCAGGCTCTGTAGCGACCGCCGACTGCGGCTCTGGAGGAGGCTCTGAAGAGGCCGCCGACAGCGGCTCAGGAGGAGGCTCTGAGGGAACCGCCGACAGCGGCTCAGGAGGAGGCTCTGAGGGAACCGCCGACAGCGGCTCAGGAGGAGGCTCTGAGGGAACCGCCGACAGCGGTTCAGGAGGAGGCTCTGAGGGAACCGCTGGTTGCGGCTCAGGAGGAGGCTCTGAGGAGCCCGCCGGCTGCGGCTCTGGAGCAGGGGAGCCCGCCGATT